GAAAAGACAGCGGCTGTGAAGAAGACACCTCGTCAAGCTGCGTCAAGTGTTGAAGCAAGTGGAAGACCAAGCTTCGCTATACCGGTGGGTACCTGTCCAGTAAGGGCGAAGTCAGGAAATGACGTCACTGGATGACGTCATTGCATGACGTCAGTGGGTGACGTCAGTGGGTGACGTCACTGGATGACGTCACTGCGAATAATAGGCTTAGAGGTAGTATTCAAAGTTGCGAACTAAGTACCTATTATAAATATATATTTACTTTGCGTTTTGCACTCGGACCAAGAAGTCTAAAGTTCATCAGGTTATGAGCCCAAGTTCGTCAGACTCTGAAACCGCCAACAATTCAAGCTTAGCTGCCATGGACGCTTCCTCCCTCCGCATCTCCAAGTTCGATGGAACTAACTTCCACGCCTGGAAGTTCAAGATGCAGATGGTGCTGGAGGAACGGGACCTATGGGAGGTCGTCAGCGGTGAGATCAAGGCGGAACAGTGCGAGACTCAGTTGGACCAAGCGACGTACAAGAGGAAGTCAAGAAAGGCGATGGCAGTGATCTGTCTAGCCATGGAAGATTCCCAGCTACCGTTGGTCCGGTCGGCAAGTGGTGCATGCGACGCATGGTCAAGGTTGGAAGACCACTTCGAGAAGAAGATTCTTGCCAACAAGCTGTTCTTGCGCCGTCGCTTCTTCACGACAATGATGGAAGAAGGCGAAGATGTGCTCGAACACATCAACAAGCTCAAGACGCTGGCGGAACAGCTAGAAGCGGTGGGGGCTCCAGTCTGCGAGGACGATCTGGTGATCACACTTCTCGGCAGCCTGAGTGACTCGTATCAATTCTTGATCACAGCTTTGGAGTCGCGCTCAGACACTCTTAGCTGGGAGCTCGTGACGTCTCGACTGCTTCATGAAGAAATGAAGCGGAAGGAGCAAGGAAGTAAAGGTGATGAAGCTTCGCAAGGTCAAGCGTTCATCACAAGGGACAATCAGCGCAAAGGGCGACCAGTGAAGAAGTCCTGGCCGTGCCACAATTGCGGAAAGATTGGTCACTGGATGGCGGAGTGCCCCTCGCGCATCCAAGAAAACACGGAGGGACACCGGCCACAGCGTGCTCAAGACAGCGGCGACCGCTATCGATCACAACGTGCAAACGTCGCTCAAGAAGAAGACTCGGGCGACTACCTCTTTTCGATCGGTGAAACGACATCTGCAAAATCGAGCGACATCTGGCTGGTCGACTCCGGGGCGACGCAGCACATGACGTGCTCCAAGAAGTTCATGCGGAACTACAAGGGGTTTGACGCTGTGGATGTCCATCTCGCGGATGATGGAATCGTCCAAGCAATCGGCAGTGGGGACATTGTCATGTCGATGAAGACACCCCAAGGGATGAAGAAAGGTGTGCTCACAAACGTGTGGCACATCCCAAAGTTATCCAGAAACCTGTTCTCGGTCGGCCGCTTCACCAAGGATGTCGGCCCAGTGACGTTCACGAAGGATGGGTGCTATGGAGAAGCGAAAGGGACCAAGTGGAAAATTGGTGCCCGTGAAGGTAAAGGACTGTTCAAGCTGCAAATGACTCCAGTGGCGCCGGAACAAGCAAATGCAGCCAAGTCGTCGGGATGTCAAGGGGGCACCAAGTCGTACCTCTGGCACCTTCGGCTTGGCCACATAGGTCACGATGGACTCAATTGCATCGTGACGAAGAACATTGGAATTGGCATCGACATATCTTCGGTGAAGAAGTGGGACGTGTGTGAAGGTTGTGCTCTGGGAAAACAGACTCGAGTGCGCTTCCAATCAAACACTACAGCTCGCACCTCCAAACTCCTCGAAGTGATTCACAGCGACGTATGCGGACCGATGTCGATGGCAACTTTCAGTGGAAAACGGTACTTCGTGACATTCATTGATGACAAGTCAAGATACTGTGTCGTCTATCTGCTCAAGAGCAAATCTGAAGTTGCGGCGAAGTTCATGGAATACGCTGCGATGGCCGAAACGCAAACCGGAAAGCGCGTGAAGTACCTTCAAAGCGACAATGGGGGTGAATACAAGTCCGACAAGCTGGCACGATTCTGCGCGGAACGGGGAATACAACAAAGGTTCACACCCCCATATACTCCTCAGCTAAACGGAGTAGCTGAGAGAATGAATCGCACGCTGGTCGAGTGTGCGCGTTGCATGATGGAACACGCTGGACTGGGAAAGAGCTACTGGGGTGAAGCAGTGATGACGGCGATGTTTCTTCGAAACCGCTGTCCAACACGTGCCATTCACCAAGACAAGTCTCCATATCAAGTGTGGACGATGAAGAAACCGATTCTGGCCAACCTTAAAGTGTTTGGATGCCACGCGTATGTTCAAGTGCCTCAAGACAAACGCGCGAAGTTCGACTCCAAGTCATCACTCTGTCGTTTCCTGGGATACGCCGAACACCAGAAGTCATATCGATTTGAGGAAGTGTCAACAGGAGCGATCAAGATCAGTCGCGATGCCACATTCATGGAAGACAAGTTTGATGAAGGTCCGCGCAACTACAACGATGAGTCAAGTGTCGTTGAGTTTGATGATCATGATGAGGACGAAGAAAAAGAAGAAGGTAAAACTGACGACGACATGGACTCGAGCGACGATGACAACGAAGACACCAGGTCTTCGAAGAGCAACATCAAGAGACACACGCGCACTCAATCACTTGAGAAAGCTACCGTCATTCCAAGTCCCAAGCGAAGAACATACAGAGGTCCGTCGCTTGAGCATGTGTCAGCGGCTGCAATGGATTTTGAAGCAGCCTACATCGTTGATTCAGTGGGGGAAACGCCGACTACATTCAAGTCGGCGATGGAATCAAGCGACTCCGGCAAGTGGAAAGAAGCGTGTGACTCGGAGTTCGATTCGCTTCAGAGAAACGACACGTGGGAAATCGTGCCTCTTCCGAAAGGTCGCAAGGCCATCGGGTGCCGATGGGTTTTTCGTGTAAAGGAGAATCAAGATGGCGAAGTTGAACGTTTCAAGGCAAGACTTGTGGCCAAAGGATTCTCACAGAAATTCGGAGTTGACTATGAAGAAACTTTCGCACCGGTGGCCAAGTTCACATCGATTCGTGTGGTGCTCAGTATGGCGGCCAAGTACGGCCTAATGCTACATCAGATGGACGTCAAGACAGCGTTTCTTAACGGCTCCCTCAACGAAGACATCTACATGGACCAGCCGGACGGATACCTGGATGCAACACAGCCGGACTATGTGTGCAAGCTAAAGAGATCACTCTACGGCTTGAAGCAATCGCCTCGCATGTGGAACCAAACAATCGATGGGTTCATGATCAAGATGGGATTCAAGAAGTGCGAATCGGACCACTGCATCTACATCAAGCGAGACGACCAAGACATGATTCTCGTGGTGCTCTACGTCGATGATCTCATCCTGGCCAGTAGCAACAACGAACTCCTCAAGTCAACCAAGATGGCGCTGAGCAAACGCTTCGAAATGACGGATCTCGGTGAGCTCGATTACTTTCTCGGCATGGAGATCAAGAACGACCGTAAGACGGGAATGGTGACTGTGCAACAAACCAAGTTTCTCAAGTCCGTGTTAACCAAGTTCGGAATGGATAACAGCAAGCCAGTGAAGACGCCTCAAGATCCCGGCCTGAAGCTAACCAAGAACATGTGTGAACAAGAATGCAAGCACGAAGACACCATGTGCAACGTGCCATATCGAAGTGCTGTCGGAGGCATCATGTATCTCATGGTCGCCACACGTCCGGATCTAGCTGCTGCAGTGGGATCATTATCCCAGTTCTCGTCCGACCCATGCCCGACTCACTGGCAAGCTTTGAAGCGTGTGCTGAGATACCTGCAAGCAACGCCCAATCATGGTCTTGAGTTTACACGTGAAGAAGGAAGCCGTATCTGCGGGTACACCGACGCAGACTGGGCCGGCGACATTGAGTCAAGACGAAGTACAAGCGGATATGTGTTCATGATGAGCGGAGGATGCATCAGCTGGAAAAGCCAGAAACAACGGACGGTCGCGCTATCTTCAACAGAAGCAGAATACATGGCGCTTTCCGAAGCAACCAAAGAAGCAGTATGGCTCAAAGTGCTTTTGGGGGAACTTGGTGAGATGACAAGCGACGAAGCGATCAAGATGTATGAAGACAACCAAGGATCAATCGCTCTCGCCAAGAACCCGGAGTTCCATAAGAGAACAAAACACATCGACATACGCTACCATTTTGTGCGTGAGAAGGTGGAATCAGGTGAAGTCGTTTTGGAGTATTGCCCGACTCAAGATATGCTGGCAGACATGATGACCAAGCCGATCGCCGCTGTACAATTTGAAAACATTCGCGATCGACTTGGGATCCATGGTGCCGCAGCTAACGAGTCGAGAGGGAGTGTTGAAAAGACAGCGGCTGTGAAGAAGACACCTCGTCAAGCTGCGTCAAGTGTTGAAGCAAGTGGAAGACCAAGCTTCGCTATACCGGTGGGTACCGGTATGTACCAGTAAGGGCGAAGTCAGGAAATGACGTCACTGGATGACGTCATTGCATGACGTCAGTGGGTGACGTCAGTGGGTGACGTCACTGGATGACGTCACTGCGAATAATAGGCTTAGAGGTGTTGAAAAGACAGCGGCTGTGAAGAAGACACCTCGTCAAGCTGCGTCAAGTGTTGAAGCAAGTGGAAGACCAAGCCTCGCTATACCGGTGGGTACCGGTATGTACCAGTAAGGGCGAAGTCAGGAAATGACGTCACTGGATGACGTCATTGCATGACGTCAGTGGGTGACGTCAGTGGGTGACGTCACTGGATGACGTCACTGCGAATAATAGGCTTAGAGGTAGTATTCAAAGTTGCGAACTAAGTACCTATTATAAATATATATTCACTTTGCGTTTTGCACTCGGACCAAGAAGTCTAAAGTTCATCAGGTTATGAGCCCAAGTTCGTCAGACTCTGAAACCGCCAACAATTCAAGCTTAGCTGCCATGGACGCCTCCTCCCTCCGCATCTCCAAGTTCGATGGAACTAACTTCCACGCCTGGAAGTTCAAGATGCAGATGGTGCTGGAGGAACGGGACCTATGGGAGGTCGTCAGCGGTGAGATCAAGGCGGAACAGTGCGAGACTCAGTTGGACCAAGCGACGTACAAGAGGAAGTCAAGAAAGGCGATGGCAGTGATCTGTCTAGCCATGGAAGATTCCCAGCTACCGTTGGTCCGGTCGGCAAGTGGTGCATGCGACGCATGGTCAAGGTTGGAAGACCACTTCGAGAAGAAGAGTCTTGCCAACAAGCTGTTCTTGCGCCGTCGCTTCTTCACGACAATGATGTAAGAAGGCGACGATGTGCTCGAACACATCAACAAGCTCAAGACGCTGGCGGAACAGCTAGAAGCGGTGGGGGCTCCAGTCTGCGAGGACGATCTGGTGATCACACTCCTCGGCAGCCTGAGTGACTCGTATCAATTCTTGATCACAGCTTTGGAGTCGCGCTCAGACACTCTTAGCTGGGAGCTCGTGACGTCTCGACTGCTTCATGAAGAAATGAAGCGGAAGGAGCAAGGAAGTAAAGGTGATGAAGCTTCGCAAGGTCAAGCGTTCATCACAAGGGACAATCAGCGCAAAGGGCGACCAGTGAAGAAGTCCTGGCCGTGCCACAATTGCGGAAAGATTGGTCACTGGATGGCGGAGTGCCCCTCGCGCATCCAAGAAAACACGGAGAGACACCGGCCACAGCGTGCTCAAGACAGCGGCGACCGCTATCGATCACAACGTGCAAACGTCGCTCAAGAAGAAGACTCGGGCGACTACCTCTTTTCGATCGGTGAAACGACATCTGCGAAATCGAGCGACATCTGGCTGGTCGACTCCGGGGCGACGCAGCACATGACGTGCTCCAAGAAGTTCATGCGGAACTACAAGGGGTTTGACGCTGTGGATGTCCATCTCGCGGATGATGGAATCGTCCAAGCAATCGGCAGTGGGGACATTGTCATGTCGATGAAGACACCCCAAGGGATGAAGAAAGGTGTGCTCACAAACGTGTGGCACATCCCAAAGTTATCCAGAAACCTGTTCTCGGTCGGCCGCTTCACCAAGGATGTCGGCCCAGTGACGTTCACGAAGGATGGGTGCTATGGAGAAGCGAAAGGGACCAAGTGGAAAATTGGTGCCCGTGAAGGTAAAGGACTGTTCAAGCTGCAAATGACTCCAGTGGCGCCGGAACAAGCAAATGCAGCCAAGTCGTCGGGATGTCAAGGGGGCACCAAGTCGTACCTCTGGCACCTTCGGCTTGGCCACATAGGTCACGATGGACTCAATTGCATCGTGACGAAGAACATTGGAATTGGCATCGACATATCTTCGGTGAAGAAGTGGGACGTGTGTGAAGGTTGTGCTCTGGGAAAACAGACTCGAGTGCGCTTCCAATCAAACACTACAGCTCGCACCTCCAAACTCCTCGAAGTGATTCACAGCGACGTATGCGGACCGATGTCGATGGCAACTTTCAGTGGAAAACGGTACTTCGTGACATTCATTGATGACAAGTCAAGATACTGTGTCGTCTATCTGCTCAAGAGCAAATCTGAAGTTGCGGCGAAGTTCATGGAATACGCTGCGATGGCCGAAACGCAAACCGGAAAGCGCGTGAAGTACCTTCAAAGCGACAATGGGGGTGAATACAAGTCCGACAAGCTGGCACGATTCTGCGCGGAACAGGGGAATACAACAAAGGTTCACACCCCCATATACTCCTCAGCTAAACGGAGTAGCTGAGAGAATGAATCGCACGCTGGTCGAGTGTGCGCGTTGCATGATGGAACACGCTGGACTGGGAAAGAGCTACTGGGGTGAAGCAGTGATGACGGCGATGTTTCTTCGAAACCGCTGTCCAACACGTGCCATTCACCAAGACAAGTCTCCATATCAAGTGTGGACGATGAAGAAACCGATTCTGGCCAACCTTAAAGTGTTTGGATGCCACGCGTATGTTCAAGTGCCTCAAGACAAACGCGCGAAGTTCGACTCCAAGTCATCACTCTGTCGTTTCCTGGGATACGCCGAACACCAGAAGTCATATCGATTTGAGGAAGTGTCAACAGGAGCGATCAAGATCAGTCGCGATGCCACATTCATGGAAGACAAGTTTGATGAAGGTCCGCGCAACTACAACGATGAGTCAAGTGTCGTTGAGTTTGATGATCATGATGAGGACGAAGAAAAAGAAGAAGGTAAAACTGACGACGACACGGACTCGAGCGACGATGACAACGAAGACACCAGGTCTTCGAAGAGCAACATCAAGAGACACACGCGCACTCAATCACTTGAGAAAGCTACCGTCATTCCAAGTCCCAAGCGAAGAACATACAGAGGTCCGTCGCTTGAGCATGTGTCAGCGGCTGCAATGGATTTTGAAGCAGCCTACATCGTTGATTCAGTGGGGAAACGCCGACTACATTCAAGTCGGCGATGGAATCAAGCGACTCCGGCAAGTGGAAAGAAGCGTGTGACTCGGAGTTCGACTCGCTTCAGAGAAACGACACGTGGGAAATCGTGCCTCTTCCGAAAGGTCGCAAGGCCATCGGGTGCCGATGGGTTTTTCGTGTAAAGGAGAATCAAGATGGCGAAGTTGAACGTTTCAAGGCAAGACTTGTGGCCAAAGGATTCTCACAGAAATTCGGAGTTGACTATGAAGAAACTTTCGCACCGGTGGCCAAGTTCACATCGATTCGTGTGGTGCTCAGTATGGCGGCTAAGTACGGCCTAATGCTACATCAGATGGACGTCAAGACAGCGTTTCTTAACGGCTCCCTCAACGAAGACATCTACATGGACCAGCCGGACGGATACCTGGATGCAACACAGCCGGACTATGTGTGCAAGCTAAAGAGATCACTCTACGGCTTGAAGCAATCGCGTCGCATGTGGAACCAAACAATCGATGGGTTCATGATCAAGATGGGATTCAAGAAGTGCGAATCGGACCACTGCATCTACATCAAGCGAGACGACCAAGACATGATTCTCGTGGTACTCTACGTCGATGATCTCATCCTGGCCAGCAGCAACAACGAACTCCTCAAGTCAACCAAGATGGCGCTGAGCAAACGCTTCGAAATGACGGATCTCGGTGAGCTCGATTACTTTCTCGGCATGGAGATCAAGAACGACCGTAAGACGGGAATGGTGACTGTACAACAAACCAAGTTCCTCAAGTCCGTGTTAACCAAGTTCGGAATGGATAACAGCAAGCCAGTGAAGACGCCTCAAGATCCCGGCCTGAAGCTAACCAAGAACATGTGTGAACAAGAATGCAAGCACGAAGACACCATGTGCAACGTGCCATATCGAAGTGCTGTCGGAGGCATCATGTATCTCATGGTCGCCACACGTCCGGATCTAGCTGCTGCAGTGGGATCATTATCCCAGTTCTCGTCCGACCCATGCCCGACTCACTGGCAAGCTTTGAAGCGTGTGCTGAGATACCTGCAAGCAACGCCCAATCATGGTCTTGAGTTTACACGTGAAGAAGGAAGCCGTATCTGCGGGTACACCGACGCAGACTGGGCCGGCGACATTGAGTCAAGACGAAGTACAAGCGGCTATGTGTTCATGATGAGCGGAGGATGCATCAGCTGGAAAAGCCAGAAACAACGGACGGTCGCGCTATCTTCAACAGAAGCAGAATACATGGCGCTTTCCGAAGCAACCAAAGAAGCAGTATGGCTCAAAGTGCTTTTGGGGGAACTTGGTGAGATGACAAGCGACGAAGCGATCAAGATGTATGAAGACAACCAAGGATCAATCGCTCTCGCCAAGAACCCGGAGTTCCATAAGAGAACAAAACACATCGACATACGCTACCATTTTGTGCGTGAGAAGGTGGAATCAGGTGAAGTCGTTTTGGAGTATTGCCCGACTCAAGATATGCTGGCAGACATGATGACCAAGCCGATCGCCGCTGTACAATTTGAAAACATTCGCGATCGACTTGGGATCCAAGGTGCCGCAGCTAACGAGTCGAGAGGGAGTGTTGAAAAGACAGCGGCTGTGAAGAAGACACCTCGTCAAGCTGCGTCAAGTGTTGAAGCAAGTGGAAGACCAAGCCTCGCTATACCGGTGGGTACCGGTATGTACCAGTAAGGGCGAAGTCAGGAAATGACGTCACTGGATGACGTCATTGCATGACGTCAGTGGGTGACGTCAGTGGGTGACGTCACTGGATGACGTCACTGCGAATAATAGGCTTAGAGGTAGTATTCAAAGTTGCGAACTAAGTACCTATTATAAATATATATTCACTTTGCGTTTTGCACTCGGACCAAGAAGTCTAAAGTTCATCAGCAAGTGCCCCGGATGACTCTGAATCGCACCAAGCGAAGCGACGATCAAGCGCTCGAGTCAATCTGGACGAAGAGCAAAAGGGCAGTGACAAAGATAACGAGGATGCTACACCTCAAGTCTTTTGGCGAGCGAGTGCAATGCAGTCGAAGGTACTGACTTGTCTGAGCCGACAACGTTTGAAGATGCTGTTGGTGGACCAGATCAAGTGCATTGGCGCAAGGCAATCTGTGCCGAGTTGGACTCGATGAAACTTCGTGGCGTGTTTCGAGCGACCAAACTGCCGTCTGGACAGCATACCATTGGCACCAAGTGGGTATTCAAGATCAAACGGAAAGCTGATGGATCCATCGAGAAATACAAGGCGCGTCTCGTGGCAAAAGAGTTCAAGCAGAAATATGGCATCGACTACACGGAAACGTTTTCGCCGGTAGTCAAGTACGTGACGCTGCGCATGGTGGTTGCAATCACGAAGTACTTTGGCTGGACACTGGACCAACTGGACGTGGTGACAGCTTTCCTTTACGGAGAAATGAAGGAAAAGGTATTCTGCGCGATCCCAGAAGGAGTCGAAGTTGATGAAGACTTTGACTGCTTTGAACTGGTCAAGGCGATCTACAGACTAAAACAAGCATCGCGCGTATGGAACGAGACTTTTCATGAGTTCGTCTGCTCCATTCGATTTCAAGTCTTCGATTTTGACCCGTGTCTTTATCTCAAGATTACAAGTGGCGAGTGCGTGCTTTTGCTGGTATACGTCGATGATGCGTTGGTGACTGGCAGCTCAACCGAACTGATTTTTTGCACCAAGAGTGACTTAAAGGCGCGTTTCGAAATGACCGACAGTGGGAAGTGCGCATTCGTGTTGGGCATCGAGCTGGTGGACAACGACAACGGTAGCGTGACGATGTGCCAGCGACGCTACGTGGAAGATGTTCTCAAGCGTTTTGGCATGAGCGACTGCAAAGCCGTCACCAGCCCAACAGACATCAGTTCTCGACTCATACCAAGTACCGCAGCAACTAAAATCGACGCCCCGTTTCGTGAAGCGGTAGGCGCTCTGATGCACTTGATGACCGCGACACGACCGGACATTGCCTTTGCTGTGAGTTACGTTTCGCGCTTCATGGAAAACCCCAACTCGAGCATTGGATGGCGGTCAAGCGCATTTTGCGATACTTACAAGGGACTAAGTCGCACGGTATCTGTTTCAAGACTGATGACAAGATAGACTTCTGTGGCTACTCGGATGCAGACTGGGCCGGCGACCATGCAGACCGCAAGTCGACTTCAGGATATGCGTTTATCCTGATGGGTGCTCCGGTGAGCTGGGGAAGCAAAAAGCAGTCAAGTGTGTCGCTGTCAACAAGTGAAGCTGAGTACATTGCACTAAGTCTGGCGATTCAAGAAGGCAATGTTGAAAAGACAGCGGCTGTGAAGAATGTTGAAAAGACAGCGGCTGTGAAGAAGACACCTCGTCAAGCTGCGTCAAGTGTTGAAGCAAGTGGAAGACCAAGCTTCGCTAAACCGGTGGGTACCGGTATGTACCAGTAAGGACGAAGTCAGGAAATGACGTCATTGGATGACGTCATTGCATGACGTCAGTGGGTGACGTGACTGGATGACGTCACTGCGAATAATAGGCTTAGAGGTAGTATTCAAAGTTGCGAACTAAGTACCTATTATAAATATATATTCACTTTGCGTTTTGCACTCGGACCAAGAAGTCTAAAGTTCATCAGGTTATGAGCCCAAGTTCGTCAGACTCTGAAACCGCCAACAATTCAAGCTTAGCTGCCATGGACGCCTCCTCCCTCCGCATCTCCAAGTTCGATGGAACTAACTTCCACGCCTGGAAGTTCAAGATGCAGATGGTGCTGGAGGAACGGGACCTATGGGAGGTCGTCAGCGGTGGGATCAAGGCGGAACAGTGCGAGACTCAGTTGGACCAAGCGACGTACAAGAGGAAGTCAAGAAAGGCGATGGCAGTGATCTGTCTAGCCATGGAAGATTCCCAGCTACCGTTGGTCCGGTCGGCAAGTGGTGCATGCGACGCATGGTCGAGGTTGGAAGACCACTTCGAGAAGAAGAGTCTTGCCAACAAGCTGTTCTTGCGCCGTCGCTTCTTCACGACAATGATGGAAGAAGGCGACGATGTGCTCGAACACATCAACAAGCTCAAGACGCTGGCGGAACAGCTAGAAGCGGTGGGGGCTCCAGTCTGCAAGGACGATCTGGTGATCACACTCCTCGGCAGCCTGAGTGACTCGTATCAATTCTTGATCACAGCTTTGGAGTCGCGCTCAGACACTCTTAGCTGGGAGCTCGTGACGTCTCGACTGCTTCATGAAGAAATGAAGCGGAAGGAGCAAGGAAGTAAAGGTGATGAAGCTTCGCAAGGTCAAGCGTTCATCACAAGGGACAATCAGCGCAAAGGGCGACCAGTGAAGAAGTCCTGGCCGTGCCACAATTGCGGAAAGATTGGTCACTGGATGGCGGAGTGCCCCTCGCGCATCCAAGAAAACACGGAGAGACACCGGCCACAGCGTGCTCAAGACAGCGGCGACCGCTATCGATCACAACGTGCAAACGTCGCTCAAGAAGAAGACTCGGGCGACTACCTCTTTTCAATCGGTGAAACGACATCTGCGAAATCGAGCGACATCTGGCTGGTCGACTCCGGGGCGACGCAGCACATGACGTGCTCCAAGAAGTTCATGCGGAACTACAAGGGGTTTGACGCTGTGGATGTCCATCTCGCGGATGATGGAATCGTCCAAGCAATCGGCAGTGGGGACATTGTCATGTCGATGAAGACACCCCAAGGGATGAAGAAAGGTGTGCTCACAAACGTGTGGCACATCCCAAAGTTATCCAGAAACCTGTTCTCGGTCGGCCGCTTCACCAAGGACGTCGGCCCAGTGACGTTCACGAAGGATGGGTGCTATGGAGAAGCGAAAGGGACCAAGTGGAAAATTGGTGCCCGTGAAGGTAAAGGACTGTTCAGGCTGCAAATGACTCCAGTGGCGCCGGAACAAGCAAATGCAGCCAAGTCGTCGGGATGTCAAGGGGGCACCAAGTCGTACCTCTGGCACCTTCGGCTTGGCCACATAGGTCACGATGGACTCAATTGGATCGTGACGAAGAACATTGGAATTGGCATCGACATATCTTCGGTGAAGAAGTGGGACGTGTGTGAAGGTTGTGCTCTGGGAAAACAGACTCGAGTGCGCTTCCAATCAAACACTACAGCTCGCACCTCCAAACTCCTCGAAGTGATTCACAGCGACGTATGCGGACCGATGTCGATGGCAACTTTCAGTGGAAAACGGTACTTCGTGACATTCATTGATGACAAGTCAAGATACTGTGTCGTCTATCTGCTCAAGAGCAAATCTGAAGTTGCGGCGAAGTTCATGGAATACGCTGCGATGGCCGAAACGCAAACCGGAAAGCGCGTGAAGTACCTTCAAAGCGACAATGGGGGTGAATACAAGTCCGACAAGCTGGCACGATTCTGCGCGGAACGGGGAATACAACAAAGGTTCACACCCCCATATACTCCTCAGCTAAACGGAGTAGCTGAGAGAATGAATCGCACGCTGGTCGAGTGTGCGCGTTGCATGATGGAACACGCTGGAGTGGGAAAGAGCTACTTGTTGAAAAGACAGCAGCTGTGAAGAAGACACCTCGTCAAGCTGCGTCAAGTGTTGAAGCAAGTGGAAGACCAAGCTTCGCTATACCGGTGGGTACCGGTATGTACCAGTAAGGGCGAAGTCAGGAAATGACGTCACTGGATGACGTCATTGCATGACGTCAGTGGGTGACGTCAGTGGGTGACGTCACTGGATGACGTCACTGCGAATAATAGGCTTAGAGGTAGTATTCAAAGTTGCGAACTAAGTACCTATTATAAATATATATTCACTTTGCGTTTTGCACTCGGACCAAGAAGTCTAAAGTTCATCACTACTGGGGTGAAGCAGTGATGACGGCGATGTTTCTTCGAAACCGCTGTCCAACACGTGCCATTCACCAAGACAAGTCTCCATATCAAGTGTGGACGATGAAGAAACCGATTCTGGCCAACCTTAAAGTGTTTGGATGCCACGCGTATGTTCAAGTGCCTCAAGACAAACGCGCGAAGTTCGACTCCAAGTCATCACTCTGTCGTTTCCTGGGATACGCCGAACACCAGAAGTCATATCGATTTGAGGAAGTGTCAACAGGAGCGATCAAGATCAGTCGCGATGCCACATTCATGGAAGACAAGTTTGATGAAGGTCCGCGCAACTACAACGATGAGTCAAGTGCCGTTGAGTTTGATGATCAAGACGAGGACGAAGAAAAAGAAGAAGGTAAAACTGACGTCGACATGGACTCGAGCGACGATGACAACGAAGACACCAGGTCTTCGAAGAGCAACATCAAGAGACACACGCGCACTCAATCACTTGAGAAAGCTACCGTCATTCCAAGTCCCAAGCGAAGAACGTACAGAGGTCCGTCGCTTGAGCATGTGTCAGCGGCTGCAATGGATTTTGAAGCAGCCTACATCGTTGATTCAGTGGGGAAACGCCGACTACATTCAAGTCGGCGATGGAATCAAGCGACTCCGGCAAGTGGAAAGAAGCGTGTGACTCGGAGTTCGACTCGCTTCAGAGAAACGACACGTGGGAAATCGTGCCTCTTCCGAAAGGTCGCAAGGCCATCGGGTGCCGATGGGTTTTTCGTGTAAAGGAGAATCAAGATGGCGAAGTTGAACGTTTCAAGGCAAGACTTGTGGCCAAAGGATTCTCACAGAAATTCGGAGTTGACTATGAAGAAACTTTTGCACCGGTGGCCAAGTTCACATCGATTCGTGTGGTGCTCAGTATGGCGGCCAAGTACGGCCTAATGCTACATCAGATGGACGTCAAGACAGCGTTTCTTAACGGCTCCCTCAAAGAAGACATCTACATGGACCAGCCGGACGGATACCTGGATGCAACACAGCCGGACTATGTGTGCAAGCTAAAGAGATCACTCTACGGCTTGAAGCAATCGCCTCGCATGTGGAACCAAACAATCGATGGGTTCATGATCAAGATGGGATTCAAGAAGTGCGAATCGGACCACTGCATCTACATCAAGCGAGACGACCAAGACATGATTCTCGTGGTGCTCTACGTCGATGATCTCATCCTGGCCAGCAGCAACAACGAACTCCTCAAGTCGACCAAGATGGCGCTGAGAAAACGCTTCGAAATGACGGATCTCGGTGAGCCTCGATTATTTCTCGGCATGGAGATCAAGAACGACCGTAAGACGGGAATGGTGACTGTACAACAAACCAAGTTTCTCAAGTCCGTGTTAACCAAGTTCGGAATGGATAACAGCAAGCCAGTGAAGACGCCTCAAGATCCCGGCCTGAAGCTAACCAAGAACATGTGTGAACAAGAATGCAAGCACGAAGACACCATGTGCAACGTGCCATATCGAAGTGCTGTCGGAGGCATCATGTATCTCATGGTCGCCACACGTCCGGATCTAGCTGCTGCAGTGGGATCATTATCCCAGTTCTCGTCCGACCCATGCCCGACTCACTGGCAAGCTTTGAAGCGTGTGCTGAGATACCTGCAAGCAACGCCCAATCATGGTCTTGAGTTTACACGTGAAGAAGGAAGCCGTATCTGCGGGTACACCGACGCAGACTGGGCCGGCGACATTGAGTCAAGACGAAGTACAAGCGGCTATGTGTTCATGATGAACGGAGGATGCATCAGCTGGAAAAGCCAGAAACAACGGACGGTCGCGCTATCTTCAACAGAAGCAGAATACATGGCGCTTTCCGAAGCAACCAAAGAAGCAGTATGGCTCAAGGTGCTTTTGGGGGGAACTTGGTGAGATGACAAGCGACGAAGCGATCAAGATGTATGAAGACAACCAAGGATCAATCGCTCTCGCCAAGAACCCGGAGTTCCATAAGAGAACAAAACACATCGACATACGCTACCATTTTGTGCGTGAGAAGGTGGAATCAGGTGAAGTCGTTTTGGAGTATTGCCCGACTCAAGATATGCTGGCAGACATGATGACCAAGCCGATCGCCGCTGTACAATTTGAAAACATTCGCGATCGACTTGGGATCCAAGGTGCCGCAGCTAACGAGTCGAGAGGGAGTGTTGAAAAGACAGCGGCTGTGAAGAAGACACCTCGTCAAGCTGCGTCAAGTGTTGAAGCAAGTGGAAGACCAAGCTTCGCTATACCGGTGGGTACCGGTATGTACCAGTAAGGGCGAAGTCAGGAAATGACGTCACTGGATGACGTCATTGCATGACGTCAGTGGGTGACGTCAGTGGGTGACGTCACTGGATGACGTCACTGCGAATAATAGGCTTAGAGGTAGTATTCAAAGTTGCGAACTAAGTACCTATTATAAATATATATTCACTTTGCGTTTTGCATTCGGACCAAGAAGTCTAAAGTTCATCAGAGGATGCATCAGCTGGAAAAGCCAGAAACAACGGACGGTCGCGCTATCTTCAACAGAAGCAGAATACATGGCGCTTTCCGAAGCAACCAAAGAAGCAGTATGGCTCAAAGTGCTTTTGGGGGAACTTGGTGAGATGACAAGCGACGAAGCGATCAAGATGTATGAAGACAACCAAGGATCAATCGCTCTCGCCAAGAACCCGGAGTTCCATAAGAGAACAAAACACATCGACATACGCTACCATTTTGTGCGTGAGAAGGTGGAATCAGGTGAAGTCGTTTTGGAGTATTGCCCGACTCAAGATATGCTGGCAGACATGATGACCAAGCCGATCGCCGCTGTACGATTTGAAAACATTCGCGATCGACTTGGGATCCAAGGTGCCGCAGCTAACGAGTCGAGAGGGAGTGTTGAAAAGACAGCGGCTGTGAAGAAGACACCTCGTCAAGCTGCGTCAAGTGTTGAAGCAAGTGGAAGACCAAGCTTCGCTATACCGGTGGGTACCGGTATGTACCAGTAAGGGCGAAGTCAGGAAATGACGTCACTGGATGACGTCATTGCATGACGTCAGTGGGTGACGTCAGTGGGTGACGTCACTGGATGACGTCACTGCGAATAATAGGCTTAGAGGTAGTATTCAAAGTTGCGAACTAAGTACCTATTATAAATATATATTCACTTTGCGTTTTGCACTCGGACCAAGAAGTCTAAAGTTCATCACTACTGGGGTGAAGCAGTGATGACGGCGATGTTTCTTCGAAACCGCTGTCCAACACGTGCCATTCACCAAGACAAGTCTCCATATCAAGTGTGGACGATGAAGAAACCGATTCTGGCCAACCTTAAAGTGTTTGGATGCCACGCGTATGTTCAAGTGCCTCAAGACAAACGCGCGAAGTTCGACTCCAAGTCATCACTCTGTCGTTTCCTGGGATACGCCGAACACCAGAAGTCATATCGATTTGAGGAAGTGTCAACAGGAGCGATCAAGATCAGTCGCGATGCCACATTCATGGAAGACAAGTTTGATGAAGGTCCGCGCAACTACAACGATGAGTCAAGTGCCGTTGAGTTTGATGATCAAGACGAGGACGAAGAAAAAGAAGAAGGTAAAACTGACGTCGACATGGACTCGAGCGACGATGACAACGAAGACACCAGGTCTTCGAAGAGCAACATCAAGAGACACACGCGCACTCAATCACTTGAGAAAGCTACCGTCATTCCAAGTCCCAAGCGAAGAACGTACAGAGGTCCGTCGCTTGAGCATGTGTCAGCGGCTGCAATGGATTTTGAAGCAGCCTACATCGTTGATTCAGTGGGGGAAACGCCGACTACATTCAAGTCGGCGATGGAATCAAGCGACTCCGAGTCACACGCTTCTTTCCACTTGCCGGAGTTCGACTCGCTTCAGAGAAACGACACGTGGGAAATCGTGCCTCTTCCGAAAGGTCGCAAGGCCATCGGGTGCCGATGGGTTTTTCGTGTAAAGGAGAATCAAGATGGCGAAGTTGAACGTTTCAAGGCAAGACTTGTGGCCAAAGGATTCTCACAGAAATTCGGAGTTGACTATGAAGAAACTTTCGCACCGGTGGCCAAGTTCACATCGATTCGTGTGGTGCTCAGTATGGCGGCCAAGTACGGCCTAATGCTACATCAGATGGACGTCAAGACAGCGTTTCTTAACGGCTCCCTCAAAGAAGACATCTACATGGACCAGCCGGACGGATACCTGGATGCAACACAGCCGGACTATGTGTGCAAGCTAAAGAGATCACTCTACGGCTTGAAGCAATCGCCTCGCATGTGGAACCAAACAATCGATGGGTTCATGATCAAGATGGGATTCAAGAAGTGCGAATCGGACCACTGCATCTACATCAAGCGAGACGACCAAGACATGATTCTCGTGGTGCTCTACGTCGATGATCTCATCCTGGCCAGCAGCAACAACGAACTCCTCAAGTCGACCAAGATGGCGCTGAGAAAACGCTTCGAAATGACGGATCTCGGTGAGCTCGATTATTTCTCGGCATGGAGATCAAGAACGACCGTAAGACGGGAATGGTGACTGTGCAACAAACCAAGTTTCTCAAGTCCGTGTTGACCAAGTTCGGAATGGATAACAGCAAGCCAGTGAAGACGCCTCAAGATCCCGGCCTGAAGCTAACCAAGAACATGTGTGAACAAGAATGCAAGCACGAAGACACCATGTGCAACGTGCCATATCGAAGTGCTGTCGGAGGCATCATGTATCTCATGGTCGCCACACGTCCGGATCTAGCTGCTGCAGTGGGATCATTATCCCAGTTCTCGTCCGACCCATGCCCGACTCACTGGCAAGCTTTGAAGCGTGTGCTGAGATACCTGCAAGCAACGCCCAATCATGGTCTTGAGTTTACACGTGAAGAAGGAAGCCGTATCTGCGGGTACACCGACGCAGACTGGGCCGGCGACATTGAGTCAAGACGAAGTACAAGCGGCTATGTGTTCATGATGAACGGAGAATGCATCAGCTGGAAAAGCCAGAAACAACGGACGGTCGCGCTATCTTCAACAGAAGCAGAATACATGGCGCTTTCCGAAGCAACCAAAGAAGCAGTATGGCTCAAAGTGCTTTTGGGGGAACTTGGTGAGATGACAAGCGACGAAGCGATCAAGATGTATGAAGACAACCAAGGATCAATCGCTCTCGCCAAGAACCCGGAGTTCCATAAGAGAACAAAACACATCGACATACGCTACCATTTTGTGCGTGAGAAGGTGGAATCAGGTGAAGTCGTTTTGGAGTATTGCCCGACTCAAGATATGCTGGCAGACATGATGACCAAGCCGATCGCCGCTGTACAATTTGAAAACATTCGCGATCGACTTGGGATCCAAGGTGCCGCAGCTAACGAGTCGAGAGGGAGTGTTGAAAAGACAGCGGCTGTGAAGAAGACACCTCGTCAAGCTGCGTCAAGTGTTGAAGCAAGTGGAAGACCAAGCTTCGCTAAACCGGTGGGTACCGGTATGTACCAGTAAGGACGAAGTCAGGAAATGACGTCATTGGATGACGTCATTGCATGACGTCAGTGGGTGACGTGACTGGATGACGTCACTGCGAATAATAGGCTTAGAGGTAGTATTCAAAGTTGCGAACTAAGTACCTATTATAAATATATATTCACTTTGCGTTTTGCACTCGGACCAAGAAGTCTAAAGTTGATCAGGTTATGAGCCCAAGTTCGTCAGACTCTGAAACCGCCAACAATTCAAGCTTAGCTGCCATGGACGCCTCCCCTCCCTCCGCATCTCCAAGTTCGATGGAACTAACTTCCACGCCTGGAAGTTCAAGATGCAGATGGTGCTGGAGGAACGGGACCTATGGGAGGTCGTCAGCGGTGGGATCAAGGCGGAACAGTGCGAGACTCAGTTGGACCAAGCGACGTACAAGAGGAAGTCAAGAAAGGCGATGGCAGTGATCTGTCTAGCCATGGAAGATTCCCAGCTACCGTTGGTCCGGTCGGCAAGTGGTGCATGCGACGCATGGTCAAGGTTGGAAGACCACTTCGAGAAGAAGAGTCTTGCCAACAAGCTGTTCTTGCTGTTGAAAAGACAGCGGCTGTAAAGAAGACACCTCGTCAAGCTGCGTCAAGTGTTGAAGCAAGTGGAAGACCAAGCCTCGCTATACCGGTGGGTACCGGTATGTACCAGTAAGGGCGAAGTCAGGAAATGACGTCACTGGATGACGTCATTGCATGACGTCAGTGGGTGACGTCAGTGGGTGACGTCACTGGATGACGTCACTGCGAATAATAGGCTTAGAGGTAGTATTCAAAGTTGCGAACTAAGTACCTATTATAAATATATATTCACTTTGCGTTTTGCACTCGGACCAAGAAGTCTAAAGTTCATCAGGTTATGAGCCCAAGTTCGTCAGACTCTGAAACCGCCAACAATTCAAGCTTAGCTGCCATGGACGCCTCCTCCCTCCGCATCTCCAAGTTCGATGGAACTAACTTCCACGCCTGGAAGTTCAAGATGCAGATGGTGCTGGAGGAACGGGACCTATGGGAGGTCGTCAGCGGTGAGATCAAGGCGGAACAGTGCGAGACTCAGTTGGACCAAGCGACGTACAAGAGGAAGTCAAGAAAGGCGATGGCAGTGATCTGTCTAGCCATGGAAGATTCCCAGCTACCGTTGGTCCGGTCGGCAAGTGGTGCATGCGACGCATGGTCAAGGTTGGAAGACCACTTCGAGAAGAAGAGTCTTGCCAACAAGCTGTTCTTGCGCCGTCGCTTCTTCACGACAATGATGGAAGAAGGCGACGATGTGCTCGAACACATCAACAAGCTCAAGACGCTGGCGGAACAGCTAGAAGCGGTGGGGGCTCCAGTCTGCGAGGACGATCTGGTGATCACACTCCTCGGCAGCCTGAGTGACTCGTATCAATTCTTGATCACAGCTTTGGAGTCGCGCTCAGACACTCTTAGCTGGGAGCTCGTGACGTCTCGACTGCTTCATGAAGAAATGAAGCGGAAGGAGCAAGGAAGTAAAGGTGATGAAGCTTCGCAAGGTCAAGCGTTCATCACAAGGGACAATCAGCGCAAAGGGCGACCAGTGAAGAAGTCCTGGCCGTGCCACAATTGCGGAAAGATTGGTCACTGGATGGCGGAGTGCCCCTCGCGCATCCAAGAAAACACGGAGAGACACCGGCCACAGCGTGCTCAAGACAGCGGCGACCGCTATCGATCACAACGTGCAAACGTCGCTCAAGAAGAAGACTCGGGCGACTACCTCTTTTCGATCGGTGAAACGACATCTGCGAAATCGAGCGACATCTGGCTGGTCGACTCCGGGGCGACGCAGCACATGACGTGCTCCAAGAAGTTCATGCGGAACTACAAGGGGTTTGACGCTGTGGATGTCCATCTCGCGGATGATGGAATCGTCCAAGCAATCGGCAGTGGGGACATTGTCATGTCGATGAAGACACCCCAAGGGATGAAGAAAGGTGTGCTCACAAACGTGTGGCACATCCCAAAGTTATCCAGAAACCTGTTCTCGGTCGGCCGCTTCACCAAGGATGTCGGCCCAGTGACGTTCACGAAGGATGGGTGCTATGGAGAAGCGAAAGGGACCAAGTGGAAAATTGGTGCCCGTGAAGGTAAAGGACTGTTCAAGCTGCAAATGACTCCAGTGGCGCCGGAACAAGCAAATGCAGCCAAGTCGTCGGGATGTCAAGGGGGCACCAAGTCGTACCTCTGGCACCTTCGAATTGGTCACATAGGTCACGATGGACTCAATTGCATCGTGACGAAGAACATTGGAATTGGCATCGACATATCTTCGGTGAAGAAGTGGGACGTGTGTGAAGGTTGTGCTCTGGGAAAACAGACTCGAGTGCGCTTCCAATCAAACACTACAGCTCGCACCTCCAAACTCCTCGAAGTGATTCACAGCGATGTATGCGGACCGATGTCGATGGCAACTTTCAGTGGAAAACGGTACTTCGTGACATTCATTGATGACAAGTCAAGATACTGTGTCGTCTATCTGCTCAAGAGCAAATCTGAAGTTGCGGCGAAGTTCATGGAATACGCTGCGATGGCCGAAACGCAAACCGGAAAGCGCGTGAAGTACCTTCAAAGCGACAATGGGGGTGAATACAAGTCCGACAAGCTGGCACGATTCTGCGCGGAACGGGGAATACAACAAAGGTTCACACCCCCATATACTCCTCAGCTAAACGGAGTAGCTGAGAGAATGAATCGCACGCTGGTCGAGTGTGCGCGTTGCATGATGGAACACGCTGGACTGGGAAAGAGCTACTGGGGTGAAGCAGTGATGACGGCGATGTTTCTTCGAAACCGCTGTCCAACACGTGCCATTCACCAAGACAAGTCTCCATATCAAGTGTGGACGATGAAGAAACCGATTCTGGCCAACCTTAAAGTGTTTGGATGCCACGCGTATGTTCAAGTGCCTCAAGACAAACGCGCGAAGTTCGACTCCAAGTCATCACTCTGTCGTTTCCTGGGATACGCCGAACACCAGAAGTCATATCGATTTGAGGAAGTGTCAACAGGAGCGATCAAGATCAGTCGCGATGCCACATTCATGGAAGACAAGTTTGATGAAGGTCCGCGCAACTACAACGATGAGTCAAGTGTCGTTGAGTTTGATGATCATGATGAGGACGAAGAAAAAGAAGAAGGTAAAACTGACGACGACATGGACTCGAGCGACGATGACAACGAAGACACCAGGTCTTCGAAGAGCAACATCAAGAGACACACGCGCACTCAATCACTTGAGAAAGCTACCGTCATTCCAAGTCCCAAGCGAAGAACATACAGAGGTCCGTCGCTTGAGCATGTGTCAGCGGCTGCAATGGATTTTGAAGCAGCCTACATCGTTGATTCAGTGGGGGAAACGCCGACTACATTCAAGTCGGCGATGGAATCAAGCGACTCCGGCAAGTGGAAAGAAGCGTGTGACTCGGAGTTCGACTCGCTTCAGAGAAACGACACGTGGGAAATCGTGCCTCTTCCGAAAGGTCGCAAGGCCATCGGGTGCCGATGGGTTTTTCGTGTAAAGGAGAATCAAGATGGCGAAGTTGAACGTTTCAAGGCAAGACTTGTGGCCAAAGGATTCTCACAGAAATTCGGAGTTGACTATGAAGAAACTTTTGCACCGGTGGCCAAGTTCACATCGATTCGTGTGGTGCTCAGTATGGCGGCTAAGTACGGCCTAATGCTACATCAGATGGACGTCAAGACAGCGTTTCTTAACGGCTCCCTCAAAGAAGACATCTACATGGACCAGCCGGACGGATACCTGGATTGATGAACTTTAGACTTCTTGGTCCGAGTGCAAAACGCAAAGTGAATATATATTTATAATAGGTACTTAGTTCGCAACTTTGAATACTACCTCTAAGCCTATTATTCGCAGTGACGTCATCCAGTGACGTCACCCACTGACGTCACCCACTGACGTCATGCAATGACGTCATCCAGTGACGTCATTTCCTGACTTCGTCCTTACTGGTACATACCGGTACCCACCGGTATAGCGAGGCTTGGTCTTCCACTTGCTTCAACACTTGACGCAGCTTGACGAGGTGTCTTCTTCACAGCCGCTGTCTTTTCAACACTCCCTCTCGACTCGTTAGCTGCGGCACCTTGGATCCCAAGTCGATCGCGAATGTTTTCAAATTGTACAGCGGCGATCGGCTTGGTCATCATGTCTGCCAGCATATCTTGAGTCGGGCAATACTCCAAAACGACTTCACCTGATTCCACCTTCTCACGCACAAAATGGTAGCGTATGTCGATGTGTTTTGTTCTCTTATGGAACTCCGGGTTCTTGGCGAGAGCGATTGATCCTTGGTTGTCTTCATACATCTTGATCGCTTCGTCGCTTGTCATCTCACCAAGTTCCCCCAAAAGCACTTTGAGCCATACTGCTTCTTTGGTTGCTTCGGAAAGCGCCATGTATTCTGCTTCTGTTGAAGATAGCGCGACCGTCCGTTGTTTCTGGCTTTTCCAGCTGATGCATCCTCTGATGAACTTTAGACTTCTTGGTCCGAATGCAAAACGCAAAGTGAATATATATTTATAATAGGTACTTAGTTCGCAACTTTGAATACTACCTCTAAGCCTATTATTCGCAGTGACGTCATCCAGTGACGTCACCCACTGACGTCACCCACTGACGTCATGCAATGACGTCATCCAGTGACGTCATTTCCTGACTTCGCCCTTACTGGTACATACCGGTACCCACCGGTATAGCGAAGCTTGGTCTTCCACTTGCTTCAACACTTGACGCAGCTTGACGAGGTGTCTTCTTCACAGCCGCTGTCTTTTCAACACTCCCTCTCGACTCGTTAGCTGCGGCACCTTGGATCCCAAGTCGATCGCGAATGTTTTCAAATTGTACAGCGGCGATCGGCTTGGTCATCATGTCTGCCAGCATATCTTGAGTCGGGCAATACTCCAAAACGACTTCACCTGATTCCACCTTCTCACGCACAAAATGGTAGCGTATGTCGATGTGTTTTGTTCTCTTATGGAACTCCGGGTTCTTGGCGAGAGCGATTGATCCTTGGTTGTCTTCATACATCTTGATCGCTTCGTCGCTTGTCATCTCACCAAGTTCCCCCAAAAGCACTTTGAGCCATACTGCTTCTTTGGTTGCTTCGGAAAGCGCCATGTATTCTGCTTCTGTTGAAGATAGCGCGACCGTCCGTTGTTTCTGGCTTTTCCAGCTGATGCATCCTCCGCTCATCATGAACACATAGCCGCTTGTACTTCGTCTTGACTCAATGTCGCCGGCCCAGTCTGCGTCGGTGTACCCGCAGATACGGCTTCCTTCTTCACGTGTAAACTCAAGACCATGATTGGGCGTTGCTTGCAGGTATCTCAGCACACGCTTCAAAGCTTGCCAGTGAGTCGGGCATGGGTCGGACGAGAACTGGGATAATGATCCCACTGCAGCAGCTAGATCCGGACGTGTGGCGACCATGAGATACATGATGCCTCCGACAGCACTTCGATATGGCACGTTGCACATGGTGTCTTCGTGCTTGCATTCTTGTTCACACATGTTCTTGGTTAGCTTCAGGCCGGGATCTTGAGGCGTCTTCACTGGCTTGCTGTTATCCATTCCGGAACTTGGTTAACACGGACTTGAGAAACTTGGTTTGTTGTACAGTCACCATTCCCGTCTTACGGTCGTTCTTGATCTCCATGCCGAGAAAGTAATCGAGCTCACCGAGATCCGTCATTTCGAAGCGTTTGCTCAGCGCCATCTTGGTCGACTTGAGGAGTTCGTTGTTGCTGCTGGCCAGGATGAGATCATCGACGTAGAGCACCACGAGAATCATGTCTTGGTCGTCTCGCTTGATGTAGATGCAGTGGTCCGATTCGCACTTCTTGAATCCCATCTTGATCATGAACCCATCGATTGTTTGGTTCCACATGCGAGGCGATTGCTTCAAGCCGTAGAGCGATCTCTTTAGCTTGCACACATAGTCCGGCTGTGTTGCATCCAGGTATCCGTCCGGCTGGTCCATGTAGATGTCTTCGTTGAGGGAGCCGTTAAGAAACGCTGTCTTGACGTCCATCTGATGTAGCATTAGGCCGTACTTAGCCGCCATACTGAGCACCACACGAATCGATGTGAACTTGGCCACCGGTGCGAAAGTTTCTTCATAGTCAACTCCGAATTTCTGTGAGAATCCTTTGGCCACAAGTCTTGCCTTGAAACGTTCAACTTCGCCATCTTGATTCTCCTTTACACGAAAAACCCATCGGCACCCGATGGCCTTGCGACCTTTCGGAAGAGGCACGATTTCCCACGTGTCGTTTCTCTGAAGCGAATCGAACTCCGAGTCACACGCTTCTTTCCACTTGCCGGAGTCGCTTGATTCCATCGCCGACTTGAATGTAGTCGGCGTTTCCCCCACTGAATCAACGATGTAGGCTGCTTCAAAATCCATTGCAGCCGCTGACACATGCTCAAGCGACGGACCTCTGTATGTTCTTCGCTTGGGACTTGGAATGACGGTAGCTTTCTCAAGTGATTGAGTGCGCGTGTGTCTCTTGATGTTGCTCTTCGAAGACCCGGTGTCTTCGTTGTCATCGTCGCTCGAGTCCATGTCGTCGTCAGTTTTACCTTCTTCTTTTTCTTCGTCCTCATCATGATCATCAAACTCAACGACACTTGACTCATCGTTGTAGTTGCGCGTACCTTCATCAAACTTGTCTTCCATGAATGTGGCATCGCGACTGATCTTGATCGCTCCTGTTGACACTTCCTCAAATCGATATGACTTCTGGTGTTCGGCGTATCCCAGGAAACGACAGAGTGATGACTTGGAGTCGAACTTCGCGCGTTTGTCTTGAGGCACTTGAACATACGCGTGGCATCCAAACACTTTAAGGTTGGCCAGAATCGGTTTCTTCATCGTCCACACTTGATATGGAGACTTGTCTTGGTGAATGGCACGTGTTGGACAGCGGTTTCGAAGAAACATCGCCGTCATCACTGCTTCACCCCAGTAGCTCTTTCCCAGTCCAGCGTGTTCCATCATGCAACGCGCACACTCGACCAGCGTGCGATTCATTCTCTCAGCTACTCCGTTTAGCTGAGGAGTATATGGGGGTGTGAACCTTTGTTGTATTCCCCGTTCCGCGCAGAATCGTGCCAGCTTGTCGGACTTGTATTTACCCCCATTGTCGCTTTGAAGGTACTTCACGCGCTTTCCGGTTTGCGTTTCGGCCATCGCAGCGTATTCCATGAACTTCGCCGCAACTTCAGATTTGCTCTTGAGCAGATAGACGACACAGTATCTTGACTTGTCATCGATGAATGTCACGAAGTACCGTTTTCCACTGAAAGTTGCCATCGACATCGGTCCGCATACGTCGCTGTGAATCACTTCGAGGAGTTTGGAGGTGCGAGCTGTAGTGTTTGATTGGAAGCGCACTCGAGTCTGTTTTCCCAGAGCACAACCTTCACACACGTCCCACTTCTTCACCGAAGATATGTCGATGCCAATTCCAATGTTCTTCGTCACGATGCAATTGAGTCCATCGTGACCTATGTGGCCAAGCCGAAGGTGCCAGAGGTACGACTTGGTGCCCCCTTGACATCCCGACGACTTGGCTGCATTTGCTTGTTCCGGCGCCACTGGAGTCATTTGCAGCTTGAACAGCCCTTTACCTTCACGGGCACCAATTTTCCACTTGGTCCCTTTCGCTTCTCCATAGCACCCATCCTTCGTGAACGTCACTGGGCCGACATCCTTGGTGAAGCGGCCGACCGAGAACAGGTTTCTGGATAACTTTGGGATGTGCCACACGTTTGTGAGCACACCTTTCTTCATCCCTTGGGGTGTCTTCATCGACATGACAATGTCCCCACTGCCGATTGCTTGGACGATTCCATCATCCGCGAGATGGACATCCACAGCGTCAAACCCCTTGTAGTTCCGCATGAACTTCTTGGAGCACGTCATGTGCTGCGTCGCCCCGGAGTCGACCAGCCAGATGTCGCTCGATTTCGCAGATGTCGTTTCACCGATCGAAAAGAGGTAGTCGCCCGAGTCTTCTTCTTGAGCGACGTTTGCACGTTGTGATCGATAGCGGTCGCCGCTGTCTTGAGCACGCTGTGGCCGGTGTCTCTCCGTGTTTTCTTGGATGCGCGAGGGGCACTCCGCCATCCAGTGACCAATCTTTCCGCAATTGTGGCACGGCCAGGACTTCTTCACTGGTCGCCCTTTGCGCTGATTGTCCCTTGTGATGAACGCTTGACCTTGCGAAGCTTCATCACCTTTAATTCCTTGCTCCTTCCGCTTCATTTCTTCATGAAGCAGTCGAGACGTCACGAGCTCCCAGCTAAGAGTGTCTGAGCGCGACTCCAAAGCTGTGATCAAGAATTGATACGAGTCACTCAGGCTGCCGAGGAGTGTGATCACCAGATCGTCCTCGCAGACTGGAGCCCCCACCGCTTCTAGCTGTTCCGCCAGCGTCTTGAGCTTGTTGATGTGTTCGAGCACATCGCCGCCTTCTTCCATCATTGTCGTGAAGAAGCGACGGCGCAAGAACAGCTTGTTGGCAAGACTCTTCTTCTCGAAGTGGTCTTCCAACCTTGACCATGCGTCGCATGCACCACTTGCCGACCGGACCAACGGTAGCTGGGAATCTTCCATGGCTAGACAGATCACTGCCATCGCCTTTCTTGACTTCCTCTTGTACGTCGCTTGGTCCAACTGAGTCTCGCACTGTTCCGCCTTGATCTCACCGCTGACGACCTCCCATAGGTCCCGTTCCTCCAGCACCATCTGCATCTTGAACTTCCAGGCGTGGAAGTTAGTTCCATCGAACTTGGAGATGCGGAGGGAGGAGGCGTCCATGGCAGCTAAGCTTGAATTGTTGGCGGTTTCAGAGTCTGACGAACTTGGGCTCATAACCTGATCAACTTTAGACTTCTTGGTCCGAGTGCAAAACGCAAAGTGAATATATATTTATAATAGGTACTTAGTTCGCAACTTTGAATACTACCTCTAAGCCTATTATTCGCAGTGACGTCATCCAGTGACGTCACCCACTGACGTCACCCACTGACGTCATGCAATGACGTCATCCAGTGACGTCATTTCCTGACTTCGCCCTTACTGGTACATACCGGTACCCACCGGTATAGCGAAGCTTGGTCTTCCACTTGATGAACTTTAGACTTCTTGGTCCGAGTGCAAAACGCAAAGTGAATATATATTTATAATAGGTACTTAGTTCGCAACTTTGAATACTACCTCTAAGCCTATTATTCGCAGTGACGTCATCCAGTGACGTCACCCACTGACGTCACCCACTGACGTCATGCAATGACGTCATCCAGTGACGTCATTTCCTGACTTCGCCCTTACTGGTACATACCGGTACCCACCGGTATAGCGAAGCTTGGTCTTCCACTTGCTTCAACACTTGACGCAGCTTGACGAGGTGTCTTCTTCACAGCCGCTGTCTTTTCAACACTCCCTCTCGACTCGTTAGCTGCGGCACCTTGGATCCCAAGTCGATCGCGAATGTTTTCAAATTGTACAGCGGCGATCGGCTTGGTCATCATGTCTGCCAGCATATCTTGAGTCGGGCAATACTCCAAAACGACTTCACCTGATTCCACCTTCTCACGCACAAAATGGTAGCGTATGTCGATGTGTTTTGTTCTCTTATGGAACTCCGGGTTCTTGGCGAGAGCGATTGATCCTTGGTTGTCTTCATACATCTTGATCGCTTCGTCGCTTGTCATCTCACCAAGTTCCCCCAAAAGCACCTTGAGCCATACTGCTTCTTTGGTTGCTTCGGAAAGCGCCATGTATTCTGCTTCTGTTGAAGATAGCGCGACCGTCCGTTGTTTCTGGCTTTTCCAGCTGATGCATCCTCCGTTCATCATGAACACATAGCCGCTTGTACTTCGTCTTGACTCAATGTCGCCGGCCCAGTCTGCGTCGGTGTACCCGCAGATACGGCTTCCTTCTTCACGTGTAAACTCAAGACCATGATTGGGCGTTGCTTGCAGGTATCTCAGCACACGCTTCAAAGCTTGCCAGTGAGTCGGGCATGGGTCGGACGAGAACTGGGATAATGATCCCACTGCAGCAGCTAGATCCGGACGTGTGGCGACCATGAGATACATGATGCCTCCGACAGCACTTCGATATGGCACGTTGCACATGGTGTCTTCGTGCTTGCATTCTTGTTCACACATGTTCTTGGTTAGCTTCAGGCCGGGATCTTGAGGCGTCTTCACTGGCTTGCTGTTATCCATTCCGAACTTGGTTAACACGGACTTGAGAAACTTGGTTTGTTGTACAGTCACCATTCCCGTCTTACGGTCGTTCTTGATCTCCATGCCGAGAAAGTAATCGAGCTCACCGAGATCCGTCATTTCGAAGCGTTTGCTCAGCGCCATCTTGGTTGACTTGAGGAGTTCGTTGTTGCTGCTGGCCAGGATGAGATCATCGACGTAGAGCACCACGAGAATCATGTCTTGGTCGTCTCGCTTGATGTAGATGCAGTGGTCCGATTCGCACTTCTTGAATCCCATCTTGATCATGAACCCATCGATTGTTTGGTTCCACATGCGAGGCGATTGCTTCAAGCCGTAGAGTGATCTCTTTAGCTTGCACACATAGTCCGGCTGTGTTGCATTCAGGTATCCGTCCGGCTGGTCCATGTAGATGTCTTCGTTGAGGGAGCCGTTAAGAAACGCTGTCTTGACGTCCATCTGATGTAGCATTAGGCCGTACTTAGCCGCCATACTGAGCACCACACGAATCGATGTGAACTTGGCCACCGGTGCGAAAGTTTCTTCATAGTCAACTCCGAATTTCTGTGAGAATCCTTTGGCCACAAGTCTTGCCTTGAAACGTTCAACTTCGCCATCTTGATTCTCCTTTACACGAAAAACCCATCGGCACCCGATGGCCTTGCGACCTTTCGGAAGAGGCACGATTTCCCACGTGTCGTTTCTCTGAAGCGAATCGAACTCCGAGTCACACGCTTCTTTCCACTTGCCGGAGTCGCTTGATTCCATCGCCGACTTGAATGTAGTCGGCGTTTCCCCCACTGAATCAACGATGTAGGCTGCTTCAAAATCCATTGCAGCCGCTGACACATGCTCAAGCGACGGACCTCTGTATGTTCTTCGCTTGGGACTTGGAATGACGGTAGCTTTCTCAAGTGATTGAGTGCGCGTGTGTCTCTTGATGTTGCTCTTCGAAGACCTGGTGTCTTCGTTGTCATCGTCGCTCGAGTCCATGTCGTCGTCAGTTTTACCTTCTTCTTTTTCTTCGTCCTCATCATGATCATCAAACTCAACGACACTTGACTCATCGTTGTAGTTGCGCGGACCTTCATCAAACTTGTCTTCCATGAATGTGGCATCGCGACTGATCTTGATCGCTCCTGTTGACACTTCCTCAAATCGATATGACTTCTGGTGTTCGGCGTATCCCAGGAAACGACAGAGTGATGACTTGGAGTCGAACTTCGCGCGTTTGTCTTGAGGCACTTGAACATACGCGTGGCATCCAAACACTTTAAGGTTGGCCAGAATCGGTTTCTTCATCGTCCACACTTGATATGGAGACTTGTCTTGGTGAATGGCACGTGTTGGACAGCGGTTTCGAAGAAACATCGCCGTCATCACTGCTTCACCCCAGTAGCTCTTTCCCAGTCCAGCGTGTTCCATCATGCAACGCGCACACTCGACCAGCGTGCGATTCATTCTCTCAGCTACTCCGTTTAGCTGAGGAGTATATGGGGTTGTGAACCTTTGTTGTATTCCCCGTTCCGCGCAGAATCGTGCCAGCTTGTCGGACTTGTATTCACCCCCATTGTCGCTTTGAAGGTACTTCACGCGCTTTCCGGTTTGCGTTTCGGCCATCGCAGCGTATTCCATGAACTTCGCCGCAACTTCAGATTTGCTCTTGAGCAGATAGACGACACAGTATCTTGACTTGTCATCGATGAATGTCACGAAGTACCGTTTTCCACTGAAAGTTGCCATCGACATCGGTCCGCATACGTCGCTGTGAATCACTTCGAGGAGTTTGGAGGTGCGAGCTGTAGTGTTTGATTGGAAGCGCACTCGAGTCTGTTTTCCCAGAGCACAACCTTCACACACGTCCCACTTCTTCACCGAAGATATGTCGATGCCAATTCCAATGTTCTTCGTCACGATGCAATTGAGTCCATCGTGACCTATGTGGCCAAGCCGAAGGTGCCAGAGGTACGACTTGGTGCCCCCTTGACATCCCGACGACTTGGCTGCATTTGCTTGTTCCGGCGCCACTGGAGTCATTTGCAGCTTGAACAGCCCTTTACCTTCACGGGCACCAATTTTCCACTTGGTCCCTTTCGCTTCTCCATAGCACCCATCCTTCGTGAACGTCACTGGGCCGACATCCTTGGTGAAGCGGCCGACCGAGAACAGGTTTCTGGATAACTTTGGGATGTGCCACACGTTTGTGAGCACACCTTTCTTCATCCCTTGGGGTGTCTTCATCGACATGACAATGTCCCCACTGCTGATTGCTTGGACGATTCCATCATCCGCGAGATGGACATCCACAGCGTCAAACCCCTTGTAGTTCCGCATGAACTTCTTGGAGCACGTCATGTGCTGCGTCGCCCCGGAGTCGACCAGCCAGATGTCGCTCGATTTCGCAGATGTCGTTTCACCGATCGAAAAGAGGTAGTCGCCCGAGTCTTCTTCTTGAGCGACGTTTGCACGTTGTGATCGATAGCGGTCGCCGCTGTCTTGAGCACGCTGTGGCCGGTGTCTCTCCGTGTTTTCTTGGATGCGCGAGGGGCACTCCGCCATCCAGTGACCAATCTTTCCGCAATTGTGGCACGGCCAGGACTTCTTCACTGGTCGCCCTTTGCGCTGATTGTCCCTTGTGATGAACGCTTGACCTTGCGAAGCTTCATCACCTTTACTTCCTTGCTCCTTCCGCTTCATTTCTTCATGAAGCAGTCGAGACGTCACGAGCTCCCAGCTAAGAGTGTCTGAGCGCGACTCCAAAGCTGTGATCAAGAATTGATACGAGTCACTCAGGCTGCCGAGGAGTGTGATCACCAGATCGTCCTCGCAGACTGGAGCCCCCACCGCTTCTAGCTGTTCCGCCAGCGTCTTGAGCTTGTTGATGTGTTCGAGCACATCGTCGCCTTCTTCCATCATTGTCGTGAAGAAGCGACGGCGCAAGAACAGCTTGTTGGCAAGACTCTTCTTCTCGAAGTGGTCTTCCAACCTTGACCATGCGTCGCATGCACCACTTGCCGACCGGACCAACGGTAGCTGGGAATCTTCCATGGCTAGACAGATCACTGCCATCGCCTTTCTTGACTTCCTCTTGTACGTCGCTTGGTCCAACTGAGTCTCGCACTGTTCCGCCTTGATCTCACCGCTGACGACCTCCCATAGGTCCCGTTCCTCCAGCACCATCTGCATCTTGAACTTCCAGGCGTGGAAGTTAGTTCCATCGAACTTGGAGATGCGGAGGGAGGAGGCGTCCATGGCAGCTAAGCTTGAATTGTTGGCGGTTTCAGAGTCTGACGAACTTGGGCTCATAACCTGATGAACTTTAGACTTCTTGGTCCGAGTGCAAAACGCAAAGTGAATATATATTTATAATAGGTACTTAGTTCGCAACTTTGAATACTACCTCTAAGCCTATTATTCGCAGTGACGTCATCCAGTGACGTCACCCACTGACGTCACCCACTGACGTCATGCAATGACGTCATCCAGTGACGTCATTTCCTGACTTCGCCCTTACTGGTACATACCGGTACCCACCGGTATAGCGAGGCTTGGTCTTCCACTTGCTTCAACACTTGACGCAGCTTGACGAGGTGTCTTCTTCACAGCCGCTGTCTTTTCAACATGGATGCAACACAGCCGGACTATGTGTGCAAGCTAAAGAGATCACTCTACGGCTTGAAGCAATCGCCTCGCATGTGGAACCAAACAATCGATGGGTTCATGATCAAGATGGGATTCAAGAAGTGCGAATCGGACCACTGCATCTACATCAAGCGAGACGACCAAGACATGATTCTCGTCGTGCTCTACGTCGATGATCTCATCCTGGCCAGCAGCAACAACGAACTCCTCAAGTCGACCAAGATGGCGCTGAGCAAACGCTTCGAAATGACGGATCTCGGTGAGCTCGATTACTTTCTCGGCATGGAGATCAAGAACGACCGTAAGACGGGAATGGTGATTGTGCAACAAACCAAGTTTCTCAAGTCCGTGTTGACCAAGTTCGGAATGGATAACAGCAAGCCAGTGAAGACGCCTCAAGATCCCGGCCTGAAGCTAACCAAGAACATGTGTGAACAAGAATGCAAGCACGAAGACACCATGTGCAACGTGCCATATCGAAGTGCTGTCGGAGGCATCATGTATCTCATGGTCGCCACACGTCCGGATCTAGCTGCTGCAGTGGGATCATTATCCCAGTTCTCGTCCGACCCATGCCCGACTCACTGGCAAGCTTTGAAGCGTGTGCTGAGATACCTGCAAGCAACGCCCAATCATGGTCTTGAGTTTACATGTGAAGAAGGAAGCCGTATCTGCGGGTACACCGACGCAGACTGGGCCGGCGACATTGAGTCAAGACGAAGTACAAGCGGCTATGTGTTCATGATGAGCGGAGGATGCATCAGCTGGAAAAGCCAGAAACAACGGACGGTCGCGCTATCTTCAACAGAAGCAGAATACATGGCGCTTTCCGAAGCAACCAAAGAAGCAGTATGGCTCAAGGTGCTTTTGGGGGAACTTGGTGAGATGACAAGCGACGAAGCGATCAAGATGTATGAAGACAACCAAGGATCAATCGCTCTCGCCAAGAACCCGGAGTTCCATAAGAGAACAAAACACATCGACATACGCTACCATTTTGTGCGTAAGAGGGTGGAATCAGGTGAAGTCGTTTTGGAGTATTGCCCGACTCAAGATATGCTGGCAGACATGATGACCAAGCCGATCGCCGCTGTACAATTTGAAAACATTCGCGATCGACTTGGGATCCAAGGTGCCGCAGCTAACGAGTCGAGAGGGAGTGTTGAAAAGACAGCGGCTGTGAAGAATGTTGAAAAGACAGCGGCTGTGAAGGAGACACCTCGTCAAGCTGCGTCAAGTGTTGAAGCAAGTGGAAGACCAAGCCTCGCTAAACCGGTGGGTACCGGTATGTACCAGTAAGGACGAAGTCAGGAAATGACGTCATTGGATGACGTCATTGCATGACATCAGTGGGTGACGTCACTGGGTGACGTCACTGGATGACGTCACTGCGAATAATAGGCTTAGAGGTAGTATTCAAAGTTGCGAACAAAGTACCTATTATAAATATATATTCACTTTGCGTTTTGCACTCGGACCAAGAAGTCTAAAGTTCATCAGGCAAGTGGGTGCATCGATTGCTGTGCGAGATTCTGGATGCCGCAGAGGACAAGTCTGGACCCGAGCTCAAGATCATGGAAGACAACCAGTCGTGCATCAAGATGACGAAGAATCCTGTGAACCATGGTCGGGCCAAGCACATCGACATCAAGTACCATCACATTCCTGATGAAGTCAAGCGTGGTGATGTCAAGTTGGAGTACTGTGAGACTGCGACTATGTTGGCGGACATCATGACGAAGGGACTGCCAGGACCGCGTCACAAGGACTTGACGGCAGCGCTCGGCATACACGCGTGTTCGCATTGAGGGGGCGTATTGTGGGTTGACGGTTGAGGTACTGCTATCAGCTACCATGGGAACCGTAAACCTGTCCAAGTCGATCCCGCGTAATTACGGTGAGTTTTTACCAATGATTAGACGCATAGGATGATAGGATGACCTACATGATTAATGATTCATGATTTTTATGTGGACAACATATAAATCAGTGCAGAGATAAATCAGGTAGCTTTAACAAAACCCACAAATAAATTTGCTTCCAATTATTCCTTCTCCTACACAAGTCGTCTTCACTTCGCAGTGTAGACTTCTTTCAAGCCTTTCAAGCTTCTTTCTCTCGCCCAGTGCTCTTCAGACTTTAACAGTTTATGAGCCCAAGCACGATGTCCTCTGCTTAAGATTACCGACCCCAGTGGCCGAGTGGTAGACCACTGGATCTGGGACCGGGAGGTACCTGGATCGAAACTTGGTGGGGGTTCGATTACAGGGCGCCGGAGATAGGCTAATAATGTAGACGAGCCACCACCAATGGGTGGCCGGTGCCGTCCGGAGGCCCTACAAGCCGAAAAGCCCCATAGTGTAATGAGGGGTGCGGGTTCTGTAAGGAGTTCAAACTAAGTCAGAGTACTCGCAGTTCACCCCAGGGTGATCTGAAGGACCGCACTGTTGTAAGTGCATGATGCACTGGATGTTAGAATTAACTAGGTTGCGGAGCTGATGAGAAGAAGAAGATGGCTTACGGCCGGGGATGAAAACCGAAAAGTGAGTTGTATTCAAATTGTTCCTAGCTTCGAAAACGAATGGCTAGTAGTAGCCGGTGACTCTCAGCCACCTATTTCGTGCCCTGTCTCCACCGCTTTCTGTTTTACCTATCACTGGGTAATTACGTCTCGTAAATACCTTTCGTAAAAACTCTGCTGTGTCATATGCTGAATGAAAACGATTGCGTGGGTGGGGGACGTAACGTATGCGGGCGGGTCACAGTTCTGGTGAACCCCAAACACCAGGTCGTGAGTGTCAGTCACAATTAACTTGTACACGGCGGGGATCGAACCCGCACTCACCCGCGTGGAATCCCCCTTCCCAAACGACTGAGCCAATCCGATGACTTGTCGTTTCGCTAACATCCCACAATATAAACCTGCCAAAGAACAATACAACTAATGCAAATATGCAATATACACCCTGCACAAGTCGCCGCATCATCACTCGCTAACACTCTCCCTTGATGTGCGTGCGACGTGTGACCCCTACACCGCCATGCACAGACCCGTGATGAACTTGCTGTGCTTGTCTCTTGGAAGTGCTTTGGTGAATCCATCCGCGACCATTTCTTCTGTCGGCTTGAACTCTAGCGCGATAACTGCACTTGCAACCTTTTCACGCAAAAAGTGAAACTTGATGTCGATGTGCTTCGTGCGCGAGTGGTACACAGGATTCTTGGCCAGCGCGATGCAACCTTGATTGTCTTGAAAAATCGTCGTCGCGTTCTTGGCACAGTAGTTCAGGTCCTTGAGCAGACCTCGAAGCCAAATTGCTTCCTGCGTCGCGCTGTACAGGCTCATGTACTCTGCTTCCGTACTTGAGGTCGCGACCGTTGGTTGACGCTTCGAGTTCCACGATATCACGCTTCCGTTCAGGAAGAAAACGTATCCTGTTGTCGAACGCCGCGTGTCGAGGTCGCCAGCCCAGTTTGCATCCGCAAATCCAATCAGCTCTCCCTTGTTGATGCCGCTGAAAACGATGCTTAAGTCTTGAGTCGTCTTGAGATACTTGAGAATCCGCTTTGCTGCTGTCCAATGCGACTTGTCGTAGCGCTCGCAAAACTTCGCAACTTCGCCAACCGCATGCGCAATGTCCGGTCGTGTACATGTGGCGGTGTACATTAAAGCGCCCACCAGCTCACGGTATGGGTACTTTGGTACAAACGCTTCCTCTTGACCCATCTTGATCAGCTTCGAATTACTGTCCGCCGGCGTGTGCATGTCCTTGCAGTTCTCAACGCCGAACTTCTCCGAAAGTCGCTTGATGTACGCCTTCTGGTTCATCTTGATCGTTCCATCTTCGCGCTTGCGATGAATCTCGATCCCGAGGCAGTACTTGAGATCTCCAAGATCTTTAATGCTGAAATCTTCCATCAATGAGTTCTTGATACTTGCGATGTGCTCCTTCGTCTTGCAGAAAATCATCAAGTCGTCCACGTAGATCACGATGATGCTGTACTCCTCTCTTGTCACTCGAACGAACACACACGGGTCCGCTGTACTGCTCTTGAATCCTTGATCAACCAAGTGCTGACTCAACTTGTTGTTCCACTGCCGCGCCGCTTGCTTCGTCCCGTATAGCGCCTTCTGCAGCAAACACTTCTTATTCGGGCTTCCTTCATCTTCAAAACCGTCAGGTTGGTCCATGTAGATCTCCTCCTCCACTTCGCCGTAGAGAAACGCTGTGTCGACATCAACGTTTTCTGCTTCCAGGTCTTCGGCTGCAGCGATCGCCAACACTGTGTTGATTAGATTCCTTGCGCGCCACTGGTGCGAAGGTCTCGTTATAGTCGATGCCAGGACGCTGCGTGAACCCTTTCGCAACCAAGCGTGCCTTGAACTTGATGATCTCGCCACTTGGATCGCGTTTAATCTTGAAGACCCACTTGCAGCCAACGGCCTTCTTGCCCGGTGGCATGTCCATTAGCTTCCATGTGCTGTGTTCTTCAAGCGACTTCATCTCACTCTTCATTGCCTGGAGCCACTGCTCCTTGTAGCCGCTCTTCATCACTTCTCGATAGCTGGACGCTTGTTCCCCATCTTCTTCAGCCGAGAAACAGTAGAAAGAGTCGAAGTCACCTTCGTAGTCGTCCAAATTGAAGCGACCGCGACGATGGCTTGGAAATTCTTGTTCGTAGCGAACCACGCCGCGCTTCTTTCGAACCGGTCGCACCATCCACTCTTCTTCTCCATTTCTTCCGGGTGTGCTGGATGCGCGCGTAGGAATGGTGTCGCTTGGTCGAACACTTGGTCCGTGATGAGAGCTGTTCTGCGCTCGAAGTGGTGGGGTGCGCAGCTCTTCTTCGGTCACCGGCGCTGGTATGTCTTCATCATCGGTTAGCGACGCCTCCACACTTTCATCTTCTTCAATGACATCGAAGACCTGCGTGTCTCTGCTTTTCGATGCTTTCGTGACAGAATGCTCAGCGAACGTGACGCTTCTTGAAATCACGATCGAGCCATCGTCCGCGTTGAGAAGCCGATACGCCTTTTGGTCCTTCTCATAGCCGAGAAAGAAACATCGCACGCCTGAGTCGTCCAGCTTCTTTCTCTTCTCCTTCGCCACATGCGCATAGCATTGCGCACCAAACACGCGCATGTGATCGATGCGCGGAACCTTCTTGAACACCATTTCGTGTGGGCTTGAGTTCTTGTTCGACGCGTTCGGCAGAATGTTTCTGATGTCTGCCGCTGTCATTAGTGCCTCGCACCAATAGGACTTGTCGAGGCCGCTTTCCTTGAGCATACAGCGCGTCATCTCCACCAGCGTGCGGTTCATCCGCTCCGCCATCCCGTTCTGCTCTGGATTGTACGGAACCGTGAACTCTTGCTTAATGAACTTTGCCTTGCAAAAGCTGTTCATCGTTTCGTTCCGGTATTCGCCGCCGTTGTCACTTCGCAACACCTTTATCTTCGTTCCAGATGCTGTCTTGACATCTTGGTAAAACCGCTTGAACGCACTTCGCAACGTCGCTCTTCTTTCGCAACGGATAGACCGTTACATACCTGCTCTTCATCATGATGAAGGTTACGGCGTAACTGAAACCAGACTTGGACGCTGGCGTGATAGGTCCGAGAACGTCGGAGCACACCACCACGTCGGAACGCGAACTCTCCCTGGTTTCAGCGTCTTCTTCACTTGTCTTGAATGACTTGCGCACTTGCTTTGACGTTGCGCATACGTCACACGCAACGTTCGTCTTCATCGTTGCGCCCTTGATCCTTCCGTCCTTGACCATGGCATTCAGCGTACCATACGACACGTGACCCAATCTTCTATGCCATAGCTCTGTATCGTCTTCGGCCATGTGGCACTCCGTACCACAGTCAGCATTGAGATACAGGAGGAACCCCTGCTTCCTTCCTGTTGCGACGGGTGTGCCGCCACGCTTGACCACGCACTCGTTGCGCGTTATCTCCACTGTCATGCCGCGCGCTGCCGCAGCCGTGAGCGAAAACAGGTTCTTGGACAAATCTTGAACGTGAAGTGTGTTCTCAAGGCGAGCGTCGATCCACGCATGTCCTGTCCAGACGCGCAGCTTCACTGTCCCATGTCCAATGACATTCAGCTTCACGTCGCTCTTTGCGCTTGAAATGCTTCGCGCATGATGCACTTCTTCGTACTCTTCGAACGCATCTCGATCCTTGCACACGTGTGCTGACGCGCCACTGTCCATGACCCAGCTGTTGCTCGCGAAACCTTCGCTGGCATGAAACGCGACATTCGACTGGTCATGCTGTTGCTCCCTTGGCCCTCGACCGGAGCGACAATCTCTGGCGTAGTGTCCGACCTTGCCACAGTTGTAGCAGGTCCCTGATGGTCCTTTCGCGCGCCGTCCTTGTTGCTTCTTCGGGTACTGCTTACCCTTCCTCTTGCCTGCGTAGAGCGCCGTTGCATCTTCTACTCGTGCTCCCTCATTCTGGCGCACTTCTTCGGCGATCAACTTGCTCACGAGGTCACTGAAACTGAAGCTTGCGACGGACATGCGGAATGCCTGTACCAAGCTCTCGAAGCTTGAAGGTAGACTCCGCAACAGTACTGCGCACACGTCCTCTTCACTTGGACCGCAGTTCGCGCGCTTCATCTTCATCACGAGGTCCTCCAGCTCCATCACATGACCGCTCATGCTTGATGCTGCATACTTGAACGACGCGAACTTTTCCTTCAGCCAAAGTCGATTCGCCATGTCATGACTGTGATGAAATCGCGCCAGACGTCCCCACGCTTCTCTTGCGGTGGCCGAGTCGATGACATGCATCAACTGTGAATCGCTCAGATTCAGCACGATCGCGGCGTGGGCTTGCTGTTCCTTGGCCTCACTTGTTGTCTCATCGCCCGCGATCGCGCCCCACAGCCCCTTCGACATCAGGTACATCTTCATCTTGTAACTCCACAACCCATAGTTCGAGCCGTCGAAAGGCTCGACCTTGAAACCGGAGTCGTTACTTGGGCTCATAACCTGTTAGAATTAACTAGGTTGCGGAGCTGATGAGAAGAAGAAGATGGCTTACGGCCGGGGATGAAAACCGAAAAGTGAGTTGTATTCAAATTGTTCCTAGCTTCGAAAACGAATGGCTAGTAGTAGCCGGTGACTCTCAGCCACCTATTTCGTGCCCTGTCTCCACCGCTTTCTGTTTTACCTATCACTGGGTAATTACGTCTCGTAAATACCTTTCGTAAAAACTCTGCTGTGTCATATGCTGAATGAAAACGATTGCGTGGGTGGGGGACGTAACTGCGGGCGGGTCACAGTTCTGGTGAACCCCAAACACCAGGTCGTGAGTGTCAGTCACAATTAACTTGTACACGGCGGGGATCGAACCCGCACTCACCCGCGTGGAATCCCCCTTCCCAAACGACTGAGCCAATCCGATGACTTGTCGTTTCGCTAACATCCCACAATATAAACCTGCCAAAGAACAATACAACTAATGCAAATATGCAATATACACCCTGCACAAGTCGCCGCATCATCACTCGCTAACACTGGATTCAACTCCAGAGATTCGACCCATGATAGGGTATGTCTAGAATGTTCTTTAGGGTTCTATGCATTATTATAGGTCGTACGGCAGCTAGACGTATGGATAGTTCTCACTTGTAGATTGACAAACCACTGATGAGGCCCCCGGCGGGGGGCCGAAACGCGTCTGGTGCGCGGTAATATACAAGTCATTTACTTTACTTAACTCCTACTTCTTACAGGTTATGAGCCCAAGTGCTCGCTGCAGACACCTCACCAAGGACCAACTTGTGCGAGGGACACCGCGTCAGAGAAGGCGCTCGATGCACGAGTAAGGCGCCGAAGAATTCATCGACAGGGATCGTTGACGGTGCGCGTGCAGTCGAAAAGGGTTTGTGCAAGGGTGGTGACGCGAGATGGTCTGAATGCGCGAGTGCTATCGAAGGAAGAGTCAAGTCAAGTGGTGACAAGTGTATTTGTGGTCAAGAAGAAGTGGAAACTACATCCAAGGCGAACGACGACTACGAGATGTCAAGATGTGACATGGTGCTAGACGATGGGGGAGCTGGAATACCTGGAACGCTCGGTATCATCGAGGTTGGCTGGAGCGCAGGGGCAAGACTCAATCAAGATTCCCATGGTGCACGGATGCAGCAGTGAGGATTACAGGCGGGTCGATACCAAAGTGGTCTGCATCTCATGTCGTCGAGGGGGAGTGTTGTAAGTGCATGATGCACTGGATTCGACTCCAGAGATTCGACCCATGATAGGGTATGTCTAGAATGTTCTTTAGGGTTCTATGCATTATTATAGGTCGTACGGCAGCTAGACGTATGGATAGTTCTCACTTGTAGATTGACAAACCACTGATGAGGCCCCCGGCGGGGGGCCGAAACGCGTCTGGTGCGCGGTAATATACAAGTCATTTACTTTACTTAACTCCTACTTCTTACACGCACGGCATAAATCTCTCTGCTCAAGATTCCGCCACCAAGATCTCTATCGATAGATTCGATGGGGACAAATACGCGACGTGGAGCCTCTAGATGCGTGGCGTGTTCCTGACCAAGTCGACGTGGCACGTGGTCAACCGGGAGACCACCCCCACCTTCGCCGATCCTCGCGCCAGTGATGAGTACGTCAAGACGAACAACATTGCGCTCGGCTTGATGTTAATTCACATGAGCGCGGACTATCATCACGTGGTTGATGACTGCGACGAGGCATGGGTTGCGTGGACACGGTTGAAGACTCTCTACGGCGGATCGCAGAAGGCGGGACGGATCTTCTTGAAGCGCCAGCTGTTCAGCATGGAGATGGCGGAAGGCGGCAATGTAATGCATCGTTGCAATGAAGTTCTCAACATCAGCTCCAAGCTCAGCAGCATCGGCGCCAAGATGGAGGATGAGGACGTGGCGATCTGCTTGTTGCGAAGCCTCCCCAAGAGCTACGAGAACGTCGTGCTGAACTTGGAGATGAGCAGCGCGGAACTGCGGACGCAAGACGTCGTGAGAGTGCTGACGAATGAGCACATCAAGAGACAAGGGAAAAAGACGACATCGGTGAAAACTGAAGAAGCGACCAAGGCCTTCAGTACCGAGCGTGAGGTTCGTCAGTGTACGTTCTGCGGAAAATTGGGGCACACGGTGGAAAAGTGCTGGACCAAGCAGAAGGAAGACAATCGGGGAGCTCGACGCGGCGGCAATGCACGTGGACGCGGAGCGAATCAAGTTCAGTGGCAAGGCTACAACGGCAACAGCAACTGTGACTATGATCGAGTGGCGTTTGCTGTTTCGCTGGAATGCGGACTTTCAACGACCAAGAGCATGTCTGGAATGTGGGCGATTGACAGCGGTGCAACACATCACATCTGCTATGACAAGTCCAAGTTCGAATTTCTGGACGAGCGCAATAAAGGCGAAGTGTTGGTTGCAGATGGGAACAAGGCTGCGATCAACGGTGTCGGGACAATCATCGAAAAGGTGACCCTGTCTAACGGTGAAGAGCGCGTAGTCGAGATCAAGAACGCGCTTTACGTCCCGAGCATGAATAAAAACTTGCTTTCGATACCACAAATCAACAAAAGCGGCAAGTTTCAAGTGGTGTTTGATGGTAACGAGATGAAGATTTCGCACAAAGGCTCCAAGCAAGTAATAGCGATGGCCGATCTTGTGGATGGCCTCTACTGGCTTCGTATATCCCAACGATCGGTGAATGCGGCTTCAGGACCAAGAGTCGAAAACCTTCATGCGCGTACGGGCCACGCACCGATTGATGTCTTGTGCAGAATGGTCTCCAAGGGCATGATCAAGGATGCCAAGAAGCCAGCAAAATTGAGCGGATCAAGCGTGTGTCAAGGTTGTCTAGAAGGAAAAATGGTTCAACGACCGTTCCCGAGCAATCCAAACAAGCGCCACTACGATCCGTTTGAGCTTCTACACATCGACACTTGTGGTCCAATGGAAGTCGACTCGCTAGGTGGAAGCAAGTACGTGCTACTGATCGTCGATGAAGGCAGCGGATGTATGAAGGGTTTCAGTCTGCGCGCCAAGTCCGACAGCGAAGAGTGCATCAAGAAGTACATCATGGCAGTACAGAAGCAGTTTGACTACAAGGTCAAGTTCGTTTGACACGATAGTGCACGAGAATTTGCGGCGAATTCGCTCAAGGCATTTTAAGATGATCAAGGAATCGAGCAGCAAGTTACCGTTCCGTATGCGCATCAGACCAACGGCACGGCGGATCGGACAATTCGGACCATTGTGACGATCGGGAGCAGCATGCTTCACTACGCCAAGCTGGACAAGTGTTTTTGGGCTGAAGCAGCAATGACGGCGATCTGGTAAAGTCTGAAGAGCACTGGGCGAGAGAACGAAGCTTGAAAGGCTTGAAAGAAGTCTACACTGCGAAGTGAAGACGACTTGTGTAGGAGAAGGAATAATTGGAAGCAAATTTATTTGTGGGTTTTGTTAAAGCTACCTGATTTATCTCTGCACTGATTTATATGTTGTCCACATATAAATCATGAATCATAAATCATGTAGGTCATCCAATCATCCTATGCGTCTAATCATTGGTAAAAACTCACCGTAATTACGCGGGATCGACTTGGACAGGTTTACGGTTCCCATGGTAGCTGATAGCAGTACCTCAACCGTCAACCCACAATACGCCCCCTCAATGCGAACACGCGTGTATGCCGAGCGCTGCCGTCAAGTCCTTGTGACGCGGTCCTGGCAGTCCCTTCGTCATGATGTCCGCCAACATAGTCGTAGTCTCACAGTACTCCAACTTGACATCACCACGCTTGACTTCATCAGGAATGTGATGGTACTTGATGTCGATGTGCTTGGCCCGACCATGGTTCACAGGATTCTTCGTCATCTTGATGCACGACTGGTTGTCTTCCATGATCTTGAGCTCGGGTCCAGACTTGTCCTCTGCGGCATCCAGAATCTCGCACAGCAATCGATGCACCCACTTGCCTTCTTGAATCGCCAGACTTAGTGCAATGTACTCAGCTTCACTTGTTGACAGCGACACACTTGACTGCTTTTTGCTTCCCCAGCTCACCGGAGCACCCATCAGGATAAACGCATATCCTGAAGTCGACTTGCGGTCTGCATGGTCGATGGCCCAGTCTGCATCCGAGTAGCCACAGAAGTCTATCTTGTCATCAGGCTTGAAACAGATACCGTGCGACTTAGTCCCTTGTAAGTATCGCAAAATGCGCTTGACCGCCATCCAATGCTCGAGTTGGGGTTTTCCATGAAGCGCGAAACGTAACTCACAGCAAAGGCAATGTCCGGTCGTGTCGCGGTCATCAAGTGCATCAGAGCGCCTACCGCTTCACGAAACGGGGCGTCGATTTTAGTTGCTGCGGTACTTGGTATGAGTCGAGAACTGATGTCTGTTGGGCTGGTGACGGCTTTGCAGTCGCTCATGCCAAAACGCTTGAGAACATCTTCCACGTAGCGTCGCTGGCACATCGTCACGCTACCGTTGTCGTTGTCCACCAGCTCGATGCCCAACACGAATGCGCACTTCCCACTGTCGGTCATTTCGAAACGCGCCTTTAAGTCACTCTTGGTGCGCATAATCAGTTCGGTTGAGCTGCCAGTCACCAACGCATCATCGACGTATACCAGCAAAAGCACGCACTCGCCACTTGTAATCTTGAGATAAAGACACGGGTCAAAATCGGAGACTTGAAATCGAATGGAGCAGACGAACTCATGAAAAGTCTCGTTCCATACGCGCGATGCTTGTTTTAGTCTGTAGATCGCCTTGACCAGTTCAAAGCAGTCAAAGTCTTCATCAACTTCGACTCCTTCTGGGATCGCGCAGAATACCTTTTCCTTCATTTCTCCGTAAAGGAAAGCTGTCACCACGTCCAGTTGGTCCAGTTTCCAGCCAAAGTACTTCGTGATTGCAACCACCATGCGCAGCGTCACGTACTTGACTACCGGCGAAAACGTTTCCGTGTAGTCGATGCCATATTTCTGCTTGAACTCTTTTGCCACGAGACGCGCCTTGTATTTCTCGATGGATCCATCAGCTTTCCGTTTGATCTTGAATACCCACTTGGTGCCAATGGTATGCTGTCCAGACGGCAGTTTGGTCGCTCGAAACACGCCACGAAGTTTCATCGAGTCCAACTCGGCACAGATTGCCTTGCACCAATGCACTTGATCTGGTCCACCAACAGCATCTTCAAACGTTGTCGGCTCAGACAAGTCAGTACCTTCGACTGCATTGGCACTCGCTCGCCAAAAGACTTGAGGTGTAGCATCCTCGTTATCTTTGTCACTGCCCTTTTGCTCTTCGTCCAGATTGTCTCGAGCGCTTGATCGTCGCTTCGCTTGGTGCGATTCAGAGTCATCCGGGGCACTTGCTTCTTCTAACCCGGTTCCACGACGCTCAAGAAGTGTTCGTTGTAGAACTTGTTCTTGACTGTTTGAACGGCTTTTGCGTTTTCCAGTTTGCTTGAACTGCATGGGGTGAGGCTCATCGCTGATGTTCATCAATTCGATATCCAGGGCAGTGTCATCAACAATTTCTTGTGGTAGCATCGGCGAGAAACCAAGCGTTGATTCGTCAAATGTGAAATCGCGAGATATCACCACTTGGTCCGCTTCAATGTCGTAAACGCGATATGCCTTAGACACTTCTTCGTACCCCATGAATAGTCCTTCACGAGCCTTCGGATCCCATTTCGATCTCTTTTCCTTACGGGTCAGCACAAACGTTCGGCAGCCGTGTTGCATTGTAGATCGGAGCGAGGAAAGCGGAGCGAACGGAGCGGAGAGACCGAAGAGAGTAGAGCAGAAAACACTTGCCCAATAGTTGGAAGATTCGAAAGTGATTGATTATCGGGGCTTACTACTTACTACATGATTTATATGTGGTGCACATATAAATCATGTGAAGCGTCTCATCATCCTACGCGTCTAATCAACTATGGTAATTACCGTAAGAACTACGTCGTAAATACGAAGCTGAACAGGCGGTTCGGATTGGACCGGTCACGGTTACCAATACTGGTAGAAAACCGATGACCGTCAACACGCCCCCTCAATCCGAACTCGCACGAATGCCGAGAGCCGTCGTCAAGTCCTTGTGACGCGGTCCATGAAGTGCCTTGGTCATGATGCCTGCTTACATCACCGTAGTCTTACAGTACTTGAGCTTGACTTGGCCGCGCTAGACCTCATCACGGATGTGATGGTACTTGATGTCGACGTGCTTGGCACGGCCATGGTTGACTGGGTTCTTCGTCATCTTGATACATGACTGATTGTCTTCATGAATCATGAGTTCCGGTCCTTCTTCATTGGCAGCCATCACGATCTCACAAAGCAGACGATGAATCCACTTGCCCCTCTTGAATCGCCAAGCTGAGTGCGATGTATTCGGCTTCACTCGTGGACAACGAAACACTTGGCTGCTTCTTGCTGCCCCAACTGACTGGCGCACCGAGTAGCATGAACGTGTACCCCGATGTTGACTTGCGGTCGGTAAGATCACCAGCCCAATCCGCATCCGAATATCCACGGAAGTCGATCCTTGCACTTGGCTTGTAGCAAATTCCATGCGTCTTGGTGCCTTGTAGGTAGCGAAAGATACGCTTAACTGCAACCCAGTGTTCTTCTTGGGGATTTTCCATGAACCGCGACACATAGCCCACAGCAAACGCAATGTCCGGACGCGTTGCAGTGGTCAGGTGCATCAACGCACCAACAGCTTCGCGAAAAGGAGCATCGACCTTGGTAGTTGCATCACTTGAAACAAGTCGAGAGCTCATGTCGACTGGACTTGCGACTGCCTTGCAATCATCCATGCCAAAGCGCTTGAGGATATCATCGACATACCGACGCTGACATAGTGTCACACTGCCATCTTCACCGTCCAAAAGCTCAATTCCAAGAACAAATGCACACTTGCCGCTATCAGTCATCTCGAAGCGTGTCTTCAGGTCTTCCTTGGTGTGTGCAATCAACTTGGGTGAGCTTCCTGTCACCAACACGTCATCCACATAGACCAAAATTAATACGCATTGGTCTTCCATAATCTTGATGTAGAGACATGGGTCGAAGTCTGACACTTGAAATCCAATGGAACACACAAACTCGTCAAAAGTCTCGTTCCATACTCGCGAAGCTTGCTTCAGGCCGTAAATTGCCTTCACCAATTCCAGTCAAAGTCATCATCCAGTTCGACGCCTTCAGGAATCACGCAAAACACTTGTTCCTTCATTACTCCATACAGGAATGCTGTAATCACGTCAAGCTGGTCAATTGTCCATCCAAAATGCTTGAAAATTGCGATCACTATTCGCAGCGTCACATACTTGACCACGGGCGAAAACGTCTCGGTGTAGTCGATTCCATACTTCGAGCGAAAGCCCTTTGCCGCGAGACGTGCCTTGTACTTCTCGATCGATCCATCCGCCTTGCGCTTGATCTTGAACACCCATTTTGTGCCAATGGCGCGTTGTCCGTTGGGCAGCTTGGCTGCATGAAACACACCGCGAAGTCGCATTGACTCGAGCCCTGCATGAATTGCTTTTCTCCAGTGCACTTGGTCAGGGCCGCTTACTGCTGCTTCAAATGCTGAGGGCTCTGATAAGTCCACTGCTGCTTCAACGGCATTTGCACTCGCACGCCAAAACACAGGCGGTGTTGAATCACCAGAATCCTTCGTTTCTTCGTCTTCTTCTTGGCGTGACGAGTTGTTTTCCGGCGCGCTTGACTCTTCTAGTCCTGGTCGTTGACGCACTGCACGCGGTCGTGGAGCTGCTGTATCTTCATCATTGAGTCGGTTCTTGCGCTTGCCTGTTTGCTTGTACTCCATTTGACGCAGCTCTTCGTCATCAAGATCCAGCAATTCGAAGTCCAGGTCATCGACATCTTCATCAGTGATCGGCAGTTGAAGTCCAAAGGTGGACTCGTCGAAGTTGACATCGCGGCTGATAACCACCTGCCCCGCCTCGATGTCATAAACACGATATGCCTTCGAAACTTCTTCGTAGCCCACGAATATGCCAGCGCGAGCCTTTGGATCCCACTTGAGTCGATTCTCTTTAGGTGTCAGTATGTATGTCTGACACCCGAATGTTCGTATGTGCTTGACGCTTGGTTTCAAGTTATAGAAGATCTCAAACGGGGTCTTGTGCACGACTTTAGGCGACGGCAGTCGATTCTTGACGTAGATGGCCTTCATCGCTGCTTCGGCCCAGAAACACTTGTCCAGTTTGGCATGATGAAGCATGCTGCGGCCGATCGTGACAATAGTCCTAATGGCATCGCTCTGCTGTTCCGTTTGTTTGATGTGCATACTGTTGACGGTCATCGGTTTCTACCAGTATTGATAACCGTGACCGGTCCAATCCGAACCGCCTGTTCAGCTTAGTATTTACGACGTAGTTCTTACGGTAATTACCATAGTTGATTAGACGCGTAGGATGATGAGACGCTTCACATGATTTATATGTGCACCACATATAAATCATGTAGTAAGTAGTAAGCCCCGATAATCAATCACTTTCCAATCTTCCATCTATCCCCCCCCAAGTGTCTTCTCCGGTCTTCCGAGTGGACTCCCAGCATCACTCCCAGTTTCGGTCGTCAAGCTTTTCATCTAACAACAGGTTATGAGCCCAAGCACGATGTCCTCTGCTCATGATGCCACCACCAAGATCTCCATTGACAAGTTCGACGGCGACAACTACGCGACGTGGAGCCGCTACATGCGTGGTGTGTTCCTCACCAAGTCGGTGTGGCATGTGGTCAACCGGGAGACCACCCCCACCTTCGCCGATCCTCGCGCCAGTGATGACTACGTCAAGACGAACAACATTGCGTTCGGCTTGATGCTGCTGCACATGAGCGCGGATTATCATCACGTGGTTGATGACTGTGAAGAGGCGTGGGTCGCGTGGGCGCGTTTGAAGACGCTGTACGGTGGATCGCAGAAGGCTGGACGCATCTACTTGAAGCGCCAGCTGTTCAGCATGGAGATGGCGGAAGGCGGCAATGTGATGCATCATTGCAACGAAGTCCTCAACATCAGCGCGAAGCTCAGCAGCATCGGCGCCAAGATGGAGGACGAGGACGTGGCGATCTGCTTGTTGCGCAGCCTCCCTAAGAGCTACGAGAACGTCGTTCTCAACTTGGAGATGAGCAGCGCGGAACTGCGATCGCGAGACGTCGTGAGAGTGCTCACGAATGAGCACATCAAGAGGCAAGGTGACAAGACGACATCGGTGAAGACTGAAGACGCGGCGAAGACGTTCAGTACCGAGCGTGAACCTCGCCAGTGTACATACTGCGGAAAATTGGGGCACACGGCGGAGCGGTGCTGGACCAAGCAGAAGCACGAAAATCAAGGTGGAGCTCGACGCGGCGGCAACAATGCTCGTGGACGCGGAGCCAACAACGTTCAGTGGCGAACCAACAACAACAACGACGACAACTACGATCGAGTTGCGTTCGCGGTTTCGCTGGAGGCTGGACTTTCGACGGGCAAGAATATGCCAGGGATGTGGGCAGTCGACAGCGGTGCGACGCATCACATCTGCAACGACAAAGCCAAGTTTGCAATCCTGAATGAGCGAGAGGAAGGCGAACTATCAGTGGCTGATGGCAGCAAGGCTGCGATCAAGGGTGTGGGAACCATCATGGAACGGGTGGTTCTGCCCAGGAGTGACGAACGCGACATCGAGATCAAGGACGCACTATTCGTACCAAGTATGAGCAAGAATCTGCTTTCGGTGCCACAAATCAACAAGGGTGGCAGGTTCCAAGTCGTGTTCGATGGATCCAAGATGCAAGTGAAGCGCAAGAATTCCACACAAGTCGTGGCAACAGCGGATCTTGTCGATGGACTTTACTGGCTGCGGACTCCTCAACGATCGGCAAATGCAGCAACACGCAACGGGACTATAGACTTGCATGCGCGCATGGGTCATGCACCCCTCGAAGTTCTGCGCAAGATGGTGGCCACTGGCATGATCAAGGACGCCAAGGCACCTCTCAACGCGACTGGTCCAAGTGTGTGTCGCGGTTGCCAGCAAGGAAAGATGGTCCAAAAACCATTCCCAAACAACCGTGACAAACGCCAATATGGTGTGTTCGAGTTGCTGCACTTCGACATCTGCGGGCCAATGGAACAAGTCTCGATCGGCGGCAGCAGATACTTACTGCTTGTGGTTGACGAAGCCAGCGGCTGCATGAAGGGCTTCTGTCTGCGGTCCAAGTCTGAGAGTGAAGTCTGTATCAAGAACCACATTATCAAGATTCAAACTCAGTTCGGCACGAAGATCAAGTTTGTTCGGCACGATGGAGCGCATGAGTTTGCGACCAACTCCATCAAGACCTTCTACGAAGATCAAGGCATAGAGCAGCAGGTCACAGTGCCGTATGCACACCAGACCAACGGCACTGCAGAACGCGCAATACGGACCATCGTCACGATCGGACGCAGCTTGTTGCATCATGCAAAACTGGAGAAGTGTTTCTGGGCTGAAGCGGCAATGACGGCGATCTACATCAAGAACCGCCTGCCTTCACCCAAGATCGACCACAAGACTCCGTTCGAAATCGTGTACAAGTCGAAACCAAGTGTCAAGCACATGCGCGTGTTTGGATGTCGGACGTTTATCCTGACACCAAGGGAGAAGCGATTGAAGTGGGACCCGAAGGCTCGTGAAGGGATGTTCATGGGCTACGAAGAAGCTTCAAAAGCTTATCGAGTGTACGACATTGAGGCGGGCCAAGTGGTGATCAGTCGTGACATCACCTTCGACGAATCGACTTTTGACTTTTCGGTGGACCGACCAAGTGACGATGATGAAGATGCGGAGTTGGACCTCGACCTCCTGGCGATCAACGAGGATGACGTGCGTCAAACCGTCTACAAGAAAACTGGCAAGCGCAAGAGTGAAGCAAGACCCGGCATGTCACGTTCAGCTTGCCCTCGAACTGGGTTGGAACAAGCAAGTGCGCCAGAACACGTCTCCAACCGTCACCAGAAACGATGATCAAGTGCTCCAGAAACGATGTCTGATGACGAAGAAGATGCAAGCGTCTACGATCAAGATGACGACTCGACGCCTCCAACATTTTGGCGTGCAAGTGCAAACGCAGTGGAAGCAACGGACCTAGCAGAACCTGTGACTTTTCAAGACGCGATCAATGGTCCTGATCAAGCTCACTGGCGAAATGCTGTGAAGGCGGAACTCAAGTCGATGCATCTTCGTGGATTTTTCCGTGCGGCAAAACTGCCAAGAGGCCAAGGCGCGATCGGCACCAAGTGGGTGTTCAAGATCAAGCGCAAAGCGGATGGATCGGTCGAGAAATACAAGGCGCGTCTCGTTGCCAAGGGCTTCAAGCAGAAGTACGGCATCGACTACACAGAGACGTTCTCGCCCGTGGTCAAGTACGTGACACTGCGTATGGTGATCGCGATCACCAAGTATTTCGACTGGCCACTGGACCAACTCGATGTGGTGACAGCCTTTCTCTACGGAGTGATGAAGGAGAAGGTGTATTGCGTGATACCAGAAGGCGTCGAGATGGATGGCGACTTCGACTGTCTCGAGTTGGTGAAGGCGATCTACGGTCTCAAGCAAGCTTCACGTGTGTGGAACGAGACTTTCGACGAGTTCGTATGCTCTATCGGTTTCGAAGCGTCGGCGTTCGACCCATGTCTCTACATCAAGGTTGTCGACGGTCACTGTGTGCTCGTGCTGGTCTACGTGGATGACGTGTTGTTCACCGGCAGCTCGCTCGAGTTGATTGCGCAGACAAAGGCCGACCTCAAGACGCGTTTCGAGATGACCGACAGTGGCAAGTGTACTTTTGTACTGGGCATCGAACTGGTGGACGAATCGGATGGCAGCGTGACGATGTGCCAGCGACGGTATGTCAACGACATCCTCAAGTGCTTCGGCATGGATGAGTGCAAGGCCACAGCAAGTCCGGTCGACTTGAGCACTCGGCTTGTCGCAAGCAGCGAAGCGGCCAAGATCGACGTTCCGTTTCGTGAAGCTGTGGGAGCTTTGATGCACTTGACGACTGCGACACGCCCGGACATTGCGTATGCTGTGGGATACGTCTCGCGCTTCATGGAGAATCCGCAGCAAGAAAATTGGACGGCGGTGAAGCGCATCTTTCGTTACTTGCAAGGGACCAAGTCGCACGGACTCCGCTTCCAGCCAAGCGACAAGATCGACTTTCGTGGCTACTCGGACGCGGACTGGGCCGGCGACCACGCTGATCGCAAGTCGACTTCGGGTTACACTTTCATGCTGATGGGTGCTCCTGTGAGTTGGGGAAGCAAGAAGCAGTCAACTGTGTCGCTGTCGACGAGTGAAGCGGAATACATCGCACTGAGTCTGGCCATCCAGGAAGGCAAGTGAGTGCATCGCCTGCTATGCGAGATTTTGGCGGCCGCAAACGAACCAGGACCGGACCTCGTCATCCGTGAAGACAACCAGTCGTGCATCAAGATGACGAAGAATCCGGTGAATCATGGCCGCGCCAAGCACATCGACATCAAGTACCATCACATCCGTGATGAGGTCAAGCGCGGTGAAGTGCAGCTCGAGTATTGCGAGACTACCGTGATGATGGCGGACATCATGACCAAGGGACTTTCGGGACCTCGTCACAAGGACTTGACGACGGCTCTCGGCATTCGTGCGAGTTCGGATTGAGGGGGCGTGTTGACGGTCATCGGTTTCTACCAGTATTGATAACCGTGACCGGTCCAATCCGAACCGCCTGTTCAGCTTAGTATTTACGACGTAGTTCTTACGGTAATTACCATAGTTGATTAGACGCGTAGGATGATGAGACGCTTCACATGATTTATATGTGCACCACATATAAATCATGTAGTAAGTAGTAAGCCCCGATAATCAATCGCTTTCCAATCTTCCATCTACCCCCCCCAAGTGTCTTCTCCGGTCTTCCGAGTGGACTCCCAGCATCACTCCCAGTTTCGGTCGTCAAGCTTTTCATCTAACAACAGGTTATGAGCCCAAGCACGATGTCCTCTGCTCATGATGCCACCACCAAGATCTCCATTGACAAGTTCGACGGCGACAACTACGCGACGTGGAGCCGCTACATGCGTGGCGTGTTCCTGACCAAGTCGGCGTGGCACGTGGTGAACCGGGAGACCACCCCCACCTTCGCCGATCCTCGCGCCAGTGATGACTACGTCAAGACGAACAACATTGCGTTCGGCTTGATGCTGCTGCACATGAGCGCGGATTATCATCACGTGGTAGATGACTGTGAAGAGGCGTGGGTCGCGTGGGCGCGTTTGAAGACGCTGTACGGTGGATCGCAGAAGGCTGGACGCATCTACTTGAAGCGCCAGCTGTTCAGCATGGAGATGGCGGAAGGCGGCAATGTGATGCATCATTGCAACGAAGTCCTCAACATCAGCGCGAAGCTCAGCAGCATCGGCGCCAAGATGGAGGACGAGGACGTGGCGATCTGCTTGTTGCGCAGCCTCCCCAAGAGCTACGAGAACGTCGTTCTCAACTTGGAGATGAGCAGCGCGGAACTGCGATCGCGAGACGTCGTGAGAGTGCTCACGAATGAGCACATCAAGAGGCAAGGTGACAAGACGACATCGGTGAAGACTGAAGACGCGGCGAAGACGTTCAGTACCGAGCGTGAACCTCGCCAGTGTACATACTGCGGAAAATTGGGGCACACGGCGGAGCGGTGCTGGACCAAGCAGAAGGACGAAAATCAAGGTGGAGCTCGACGCGGCGGCAACAATGCTCGTGGACGCGGAGCCAACAACGTTCAGTGGCGAACCAACAACAACAACGACGACAACTACGATCGAGTTGCGTTCGCGGTTTCGCTGGAGGCTGGACTTTCGACGGGCAAGAATATGCCAGGGATGTGGGCAGTCGACAGCGGTGCGACGCATCACATCTGCAACGACAAAGCCAAGTTTGCAATCCTGAATGAGCGAGAGGAAGGCGAACTATCAGTGGCTGATGGCAGCAAGGCTGCGATCAAGGGGTGTGGGAACCATCATGGAACGGGTGGTTCTGCCCAGGAGTGACGAACGCGACATCGAGATCAAGGACGCACTATTCGTACCAAGTATGAGCAAGAATCTGCTTTCGGTGCCACAAATCAACAAGGGTGGCAGGTTCCAAGTCGTGTTCGATGGATCCAAGATGCAAGTGAAGCGCAAGAATTCCACACAAGTCGTGGCGACTGCAGATCTTGTCGATGGACTTTACTGGCTGCGGACTCCTCAACGATCGGCAAATGCAGCAACACGCAACGGGACTATAGACTTGCATGCGCGCATGGGTCATGCACCCCTCGAAGTTCTGCGCAAGATGGTGGCCACTGGCATGATCAAGGACGCCAAGGCACCTCTCAACGCGACTGGTCCAAGTGTGTGTCGCGGTTGCCAGCAAGGAAAGATGGTCCAAAAACCATTCCCAAACAACCGTGACAAACGCCAATATGGTGTGTTCGAGTTGCTGCACTTCGACATCTGCGGGCCAATGGAACAAGTCTCGATCGGCGGCAGCAGATACTTACTGCTTGTGGTTGACGAAGCCAGCGGCTGCATGAAGGGCTTCTGTCTGCGGTCCAAGTCTGAGAGTGAAGTCTGTATCAAGAACCACATTATCAAGATTCAAACTCAGTTCGGCACGAAGATCAAGTTTGTTCGGCACGATGGAGCGCATGAGTTTGCGACCAACTCCAACAAGACCTTCTACGAAGATCAAGGCATAGAGCAGCAGGTCACAGTGCCGTATGCACACCAGACCAACGGCACTGCAGAACGCGCAATACGGACCATCGTCACGATCGGACGCAGCTTGTTGCATCATGCAAAACTGGAGAAGTGTTTCTGGGCTGAAGCGGCAATGACGGCGATCTACATCAAGAACCGCCTGCCTTCACCCAAGATCGACCACAAGACTCCGTTCGAAATCGTGTACAAGTCGAAACCAAGTGTCAAGCACATGCGCGTGTTTGGATGTCGGACGTTTATCCTGACACCAAGGGAGAAGCGATTGAAGTGGGACCCGAAGGCTCGTGAAGGGATGTTCATGGGCTACGAAGAAGAGTCAAAAGCTTATCGAGTGTACGACATTGAGGCGGGCCAAGTGGTGATCAGTCGTGACATCACCTTCGACGAATCGACTTTTGACTTTTCGGTGGACCGACCAAGTGACGATGATGAAGATGCGGAGTTGGACCTCGACCTCCTGGCGATCAACGAGGATGACGTGCGTCAAACCGTCTACAAGAAAACTGGCAAGCGCAAGAGTGAAGCAAGACCCGGCATGTCACGTTCAGCTTGCCCTCGAACTGGGTTGGAACAAGCAAGTGCGCCAGAACACGTCTCCAACCGTCACCAGAAACGATGATCAAGTGCTCCAGAAACGATGTCTGATGACGAAGAAGATGCAAGCGTCTACGATCAAGATGACGACTCGACGCCTCCAACATTTTGGCGTGCAAGTGCAAACGCAGTGGAAGCAACGGACCTAGCAGAACCTGTGACTTTTCAAGACGCGATCAATGGTCCTGATCAAGCTCACTGGCGAAATGCTGTGAAGGCGGAACTCAAGTCGATGCATCTTCGTGGAGTTTTCCGTGCGGCAAAACTGCCAAGAGGCCAAGGCGCGATCGGCACCAAGTGGGTGTTCAAGATCAAGCGCAAAGCGGATGGATCGGTCGAGAAATACAAGGCGCGTCTCGTTGCCAAGGGCTTCAAGCAGAAGTACGGCATCGACTACACAGAGACGTTCTCGCCCGTGGTCAAGTACGTGACACTGCGTATGGTGATCGCGATCACCAAGTATTTCGACTGGCCACTGGACCAACTCGATGTGGTGACAGCCTTTCTCTACGGAGTGATGAAGGAGAAGGTGTATTGCGTGATACCAGAAGGCGTCGAGATGGATGGCGACTTCGACTGTCTCGAGTTGGTGAAGGCGATCTACGGTCTCAAGCAAGCTTCACGTGTGTGGAACGAGACTTTCGACGAGTTCGTATGCTCTATCGGTTTCGAAGCGTCGGCGTTCGACCCATGTCTCTACATCAAGGTTGTCGACGGTCACTGTGTGCTCGTGCTGGTCTACGTGGATGACGTGTTGTTCACCGGCAGCTCGCTCGAGTTGATTGCGCAGACAAAGGCCGACCTCAAGACGCGTTTCGAGATGACCGACAGTGGCAAGTGTACTTTTGTACTGGGCATCGAACTGGTGGACGAATCGGATGGCAGCGTGACGATGTGCCAGCGACGGTATGTCAACGACATCCTCAAGTGCTTCGGCATGGATGAGTGCAAGGCCACAGCAAGTCCGGTCGACTTGAGCACTCGGCTTGTCGCAAGCAGCGAAGCGGCCAAGATCGACGTTCCGTTTCGTGAAGCTGTGGGAGCTTTGATGCACTTGACGACTGCGACACGCCCGGACATTGCGTATGCTGTGGGATACGTCTCGCGCTTCATGGATAATCCGCAGCAAGAAAATTGGACGGCGGTGAAGCGCATCTTTCGTTACTTGCAAGGGACCAAGTCGCACGGACTCCGCTTCCAGCCAAGCGACAAGATCGACTTTCGTGGCTACTCGGACGCGGACTGGGCCGGCGACCACGCTGATCGCAAGTCGACTTCGGGTTACACTTTCATGCTGATGGGTGCTCCTGTGAGTTGGGGAAGCAAGAAGCAGTCAACTGTGTCGCTGTCGACGAGTGAAGCGGAATACATCGCACTGAGTCTGGCCATCCAGGAAGGCAAGTGAGTGCATCGCCTGCTATGCGAGATTTTGGCGGCCGCAAACGAACCAGGACCGGACCTCGTCATCCGTGAAGACAACCAGTCGTGCATCAAGATGACGAAGAATCCGGTGAATCATGGCCGCGCCAAGCACATCGACATCAAGTACCATCACATCCGTGATGAGGTCAAGCGCGGTGAAGTGCAGCTCGAGTATTGCGAGACTACCGTGATGATGGCGGACATCATGACCAAGGGACTTTCGGGACCTCGTCACAAGGACTTGACGACGGCTCTCGGCATTCGTGCGAGTTCGGATTGAGGGGGCGTGTTGACGGTCATCGGTTTCTACCATTATTGGTAACCGTGACCGGTCCAATCCGAACCGCCTGTTCAGCTTAGTATTTACGACGTAGTTCTTACGGTAATTACCATAGTTGATTAGACGCGTAGGATGATGAGACGCTTCACATGATTTATATGTGCACCACATATAAATCATGTAGTAAGTAGTAAGCCCCGATAATCAATCACTTTCCAATCTTCCATCTACCCCCAAGTGTCTTCTCCGGTCTTCCGAGTGGACTCCCAGCATCACTCCCAGTTTCGGTCGTCAAGCTTTACACCTAACAACACATACGGCACCGTTGTCTGCTGTTCAATGCCTTCGTCTTCGTAGAACAGTTGAAGCGAGTTGGTTGCAAACTCGCGAGCTCCGTCGTGTCGCACGAACTTGACCTTCTTACAGAATTGCGTCTGTACCATGGTGATATGTTTCCGGATGTAGTCTTCACTCTCGGGACTTCACTCGTAGACAAAAGCCCTTCATGCATCCACTGGCTTCGTCGATGATCAGCAGCAAATATTTGCTGCCACCGAGCGAATCCTTTTCCATGGGCCCGCAGATGTCCAGATGAAGTAGCTCAAACGTATCGTAGCCGCGCTTGTCTCGGTTGCTTGGAAATGGTTTTTGGACCATTTTCCCTTGTTGACATCCTCGACATGTAGTTGCTCCACCCGACTTGAGAGGGACTCGCACATCCTTGATCATGTTGGTCGCGATCATCTTGCGAAGTACATCGACTGGAGCATGACCCATTCTCGCATGTAGATCGGCACAACTGGTTCCACTTGTTGTCACATTCGCTGATCGTTGAGTCGTCCGAAGCCAGTAGAGTCCATCCACGAGATCCGCTGTCGCCATCACTTGCTGTGAGTTCTTGAGAGTCACATACATCTTGGACCCGTCAAACACGACTTGGAATTTGCCATGCCTGTTGATCTGTGGCACCGAAAGCACGTTTTTGCTCATACTTGGAACATATAGCGCGTTCTTGATTTCGATCTCACGCTCTTCACCGTTGGGCAGAACCACCTTTTCCATGATGGTTCCCACACCCTCGATGGCCACCTTGTTGCCATCAGCCACCAAGAGTTCGCCCTCATTGCGCTCTGCCAAACTTGCGAACTTGGTCTTGTCGTGGCAAATGTAGTGCGTTGCACCACTGTCGACGGCCCACATTCCAGACACGTCCTTGCTCGTCGAAACTCCACATTCGAACGAGACTGCAAACGTGTTGACGGTCATCGGTTTCTACCAGTATTGGTAACCGTGACCGGTCCAATCCGAACCGCCTGTTCAGCTTAGTATTTACGACGTAGTTCTTACGGTAATTACCATAGTTGATTAGACGCGTAGGATGATGAGACGCTTCACATGATTTATATGTGCACCACATATAAATCATGTAGTAAGTAGTAAGCCCCGATAATCAATCACTTTCCAATCTTCCATCTACCCCCCAAGTGTCTTCTCCGGTCTTCCGAGTGGACTCCCAGCATCACTCCCAGTTTCGGTCGTCAAGCTTTTTACCGATCAACAGGTTATGAGCCCAAGCACGATGTCCTCTGCTCATGATGCCACCACCAAGATCTCCATTGACAAGTTTGACGGCGACAACTACGTGACGTGGAGCCGCTACATGCGTGGCGTGTTCCTGACCAAGTCGGCGTGGCACGTGGTGAACCGGGAGACCACCCCCACCTTCGCCGATCCTCGCGCCAGTGACGACTACGTCAAGACGAACAACATTGCGTTCGGCTTGATGCTTCTGCACATGAGCGCCGATTATCATCACGTGGTTGATGACTGTGAAGAGGCGTGGGTCGCGTGGGCGCGTTTGAAGACGCTGTACGGCGGGTCGCAAAAAGCCGGACGCATCTACTTGAAGCGCCAGCTGTTCAGCATGGAGATGGCGGAAGGCGGCAATGTGATGCATCATTGCAACGAAGTCCTCAACATCAGCGCGAAGCTCAGCAGCATCGGCGCCAAGATGGAGGACGAGGACGTGGCGATCTGCTTGTTGCGCAGCCTCCCCAAGAGCTACGAGAACGTCGTTCTCAACTTGGAGATGAGCAGCGCGGAACTGCGATCGCGAGACGTCGTGAGAGTGCTCACGAATGAGCACATCAAGAGGCAAGGTGACAAGACGACATCGGTGAAGACTGAAGACGCGGCGAAGACGTTCAGTACCGAGCGTGAACCTCGCCAGTGTACATACTGCGGAAAATTGGGGCACACGGCGGAGCGGTGCTGGACCAAGCAGAAGGACGAAAATCAAGGTGGAGCTCGACGCGGCGGCAACAATGCTCGTGGACGCGGAGCCAACAACGTTCAGTGGCGAACCAACAACAACAACGACGACAACTACGATCGAGTTGCGTTCGCGGTTTCGCTGGAGGCTGGACTTTCGACGGGCAAGAATATGCCAGGGATGTGGGCAGTCGACAGCGGTGCGACGCATCACATCTGCAACGAAAAAGCCAAGTTTGCAATCCTGAATGAGCGAGAGGAAGGCGAACTATCAGTGGCTGATGGCAGCAAGGCTGCGATCAAGGGTGTGGGAACCATCATGGAACGGGTGGTTCTGCCCAGGAGTGACGGACGCGACATCGAGATCAAGGACGCACTATTCGTACCAAGTATGAGCAAGAATCTGCTTTCGGTGCCACAGATCAACAAGGGTGGCAGGTTCCAAGTCGTGTTCGATGGGTCCAAGATGTAAGTGAAGCGCAAGAATTCCACACAAGTCGTGGCAACAGCGGATCTCGTCGATGGACTTTACTGGCTGCGGACTCCTCAACGATCGGCAAATGCAGCAACACGCAACGGGACTATAGACTTGCATGCGCGCATGGGTCATGCACCCCTCGAAGTTCTGCGCAAGATGGTGGCCACTGGCATGATCAAGGACGCCAAGGCACCTCTCAACGCGACTGGTCCAAGTGTGTGTCGCGGTTGCCAGCAAGGAAAGATGGTCCAAAAACCATTCCCAACCAACCGTGACAAACGCCAATATGGTGTGTTCGAGTTGCTGCACTTCGACATCTGCGGGCCAATGGAACAAGTCTCGATCGGCGGCAGCAGATACTTACTGCTTGTGGTTGACGAAGCCAGCGGCTGCATGAAGGGCTTGTCTGCGGTCCAAGTCTGAGAGTGAAGTCTGTATCAAGAACAACATTATCAAGATTCAAACTCAGTTCGGCACGAAGATCAAGTTTGTTCGGCACGATGGAGCGCATGAGTTTGCGGCCAACTCCATCAAGACCTTCTACGAAGATCATGGTATCGAACAACAGATCACGGTGCCGTATGCACACCAGACCAACGGCACCGCAGAACGCGCGATAAGGACCATCGTCACGATCGGACGCAGCTTGTTGCATCATGCAAAACTGGAGAAGTGTTTCTGGGCTGAAGCGGCAATGACGGCGATCTACATCAAGAACCGCCTGCCTTCACCCAAGATCGACCACAAGACTCCGTTCGAAATCGTGTACAAGTCGAAACCAAGTGTCAAGCACATGCGCGTGTTTGGATGTCAGGCGTTTATCTTGACACCAAGGGAGAAGCGATTGAAGTGGGACCCGAAGGCTCGTGAAGGGATGTTCATGGGCTACGAAGAAGAGTCAAAAGCTTATCGAGTGTACGACATTGAGGCGGGCCAAGTGGTGATCAGTCGTGACATCACCTTCGACGAATCGACTTTTGACTTTTCGGTGGACCGACCAAGTGACGATGATGAAGATGCGGAGTTGGACCTCGACCTCCTGGCGATCAACGAGGATGACGTGCGTCAAACCGTCTACAAGAAAACTGGCAAGCGCAAGAGTGAAGCAAGACCCGGCATGTCACGTTCAGCTCGCCCTCGAACTGGGTTGGAACAAGCAAGTGCGCCAGAACACGTCTCCAACCGTCACCAGAAACGATGATCAAGTGCTCCAGAAACGATGTCTGATGACGAAGAAGATGCAAGCGTCTACGATCAAGATGACGACTCGACGCCTCCAACATTTTGGCGTGCAAGTGCAAACGCAGTGGAAGCAACGGACCTAGCAGAACCTGTGACTTTTCAAGACGCGATCAATGGTCCTGATCAAGCTCACTGGCGAAATGCTGTGAAGGCGGAACTCAAGTCGATGCATCTTCGTGGAGTTTTCCGTGCGGCAAAACTGCCAAGAGGCCAAGGCGCGATCGGCACCAAGTGGGTGTTCAAGATCAAGCGCAAAGCGGATGGATCGGTCGAGAAATACAAGGCGCGTCTCGTTGCCAAGGGCTTCAAGCAGAAGTACGGCATCGACTACACGGAGACGTTCTCGCCCGTGGTCAAGTACGTGACACTGCGTATGGTGATCGCGATCACCAAGTATTTCGACTGGCCACTGGACCAACTCGATGTGGTGACAGCCTTTCTCTACGGAGTGATGAAGGAGAAGGTGTACTGCGTGATACCAGAAGGCGTCGAGATGGATGGCGACTTCGACTGTCTCGAGTTGGTGAAGGCGATCTACGGTCTCAAGCAAGCTTCACGTGTGTGGAACGAGACTTTCGACGAGTTCGTATGCTTCATCGGTTTCGAAGTGTCGGCGTTCGACCCATGTCTCTACATCAAGGTTGTGGATGGTCACTGCGTGCTGCTGCTGGTATACGTGGATGACGTGTTGTTCACCGGCAGCTCGCTCGAGTTGATTGCGCAGACAAAGGCCGACCTCAAGACGCGTTTCGAGATGACCGAAAGTGGCAAGTGTACTTTTGTACTGGGCATCGAACTGGTGGACGAATCGGATGACAGCGTGACGATGTGCCAGCGACGGTATGTCAACGACATCCTCAAGCGTTTCGGCATGTATGAGTGCAAGGCCACAGCAAGTCCGGTCGACTTGAGCACTCGGCTTGTCGCAAGCAGCGAAGCGGCCAAGATCGACGTTCCGTTTCGTGAAGCTGTGGGAGCTTTGATGCACTTGACGACTGCGACACGCCCGGACATTGCGTATGCTGTGGGATACGTCTCGCGCTTCATGGATAATCCGCAGCAAGAAAATTGGACGGCGGTGAAGCGCATCTTTCGTTACTTGCAAGGGACCAAGTCGCACGGACTCCGCTTCCAGCCAAGCGACAAGATCGACTTTCGTGGCTACTCGGACGCGGACTGGGCCGGCGACCATGCTGATCGCAAGTCAACTTCGTGTTACACTTTCATGCTGATGGGTGCTCCTGTGAGTTGGGGAAGCAAAAAGCAGTCAAGCGTGTCACTGTCGACAAGTGAAGCGGAATACATCGCCCTGAGTCTGGTCATCCAGGAAGGCAAGTGAGTGCATCGCCTGCTATGCGAGATTTTGGCGGCCGCAAACGAACCAGGACCGGACCTCGTCATCCGTGAAGACAACCGGTCGTGTATCAAGATGACGAAGAATCCTACAAAATGGTCGAGCCAAGCATATCGACATCAAGTACCATCACATTCGTGATGAGGTCAAGCGCGGTGAAGTGCAGCTCGAGTATTGCGAGACTACCGTGATGATGGCGGACATCATGACCAAGGGACTTTCGGGACCTCGTCACAAGGACTTGACGACGGCTCTCGGCATTCGTGCGAGTTCGGATTGAGGGGGCGTGTTGACGGTCATCGGTTTCTACCAGTATTGGTAACCGTGACCGGTCCAATCCGAACCGCCTGTTCAGCTTAGTATTTACGACGTAGTTCTTACGGTAATTACCATAGTTGATTAGACGCGTAGGATGATGAGACGCTTCACATGATTTATATGTGCACCACATATAAATCATGTAGTAAGTAGTAAGCCCCGATAATCAATCACTTTCCAATCTTCCATCTACCCCCAAGTGTCTTCTCCGGTCTTCCGAGTGGACTCCCAGCATCACTCCCAGTTTCGGTCGTCAAGCTTTACACCTAACAACACATACGGCACCGTTGTCTGCTGTTCAATGCCTTCGTCTTCGTAGAACAGTTGAAGCGAGTTGGTTGCAAACTCGCGAGCTCCGTCGTGTCGCACGAACTTGACCTTCTTACAGAATTGCGTCTGTACCATGGTGATATGTTTCCGGATGTAGTCTTCACTCTCGGACTTCACTCGTAGACAAAAGCCCTTCATGCATCCACTGGCTTCGTCGATGATCAGCAGCAAATATTTGCTGCCACCGAGCGAATCCTTTTCCATGGGCCCGCAGATGTCCAGATGAAGTAGCTCAAACGTATCGTAGCCGCGCTTGTCTCGGTTGCTTGGAAATGGTTTTTGGACCATTTTCCCTTGTTGACATCCTCGACATGTAGTTGCTCCACCCGACTTGAGAGGGACTCGCACATCCTTGATCATGTTGGTCGCGATCATCTTGCGAAGTACATCGACTGGAGCATGACCCATTCTCGCATGTAGATCGGCACAACTGGTTCCACTTGTTGTCACATTCGCTGATCGTTGAGTCGTCCGAAGCCAGTAGAGTCCATCCACGAGATCCGCTGTCGCCATCACTTGCTGTGAGTTCTTGAGAGTCACATACATCTTGGACCCGTCAAACACGACTTGAAACTTGCCATGGCTGTTAATCTGTGGCACCGAGAGCAGGTTCTTGCTCATACTTGGAACATATAGCGCGTTCTTGATTTCGATCTCACGCTCTTCACCGTTGGGCAGAACCACCTTTTCCATGATGGTTCCCACACCCTCGATGGCCACCTTGTTGCCATCAGCCACCAAGAGTTCGCCCTCATTGCGCTCTGCCAAACTTGCGAACTTGGTCTTGTCGTGGCAAATGTAGTGCGTTGCACCACTGTCGACGGCCCACATTCCAGACACGTCCTTGCTCGTCGAAACTCCACATTCGAACGAGACTGCAAACGTGTTGACGGTCATCGGTTTCTACCAGTATTGGTAACCGTGACCGGTCCAATCCGAACCGCCTGTTCAGCTTAGTATTTACGACGTAGTTCTTACGGTAATTACCATAGTTGATTAGACGCGTAGGATGATGAGACGCTTCACATGATTTATATGTGCACCACATATAAATCATGTAGTAAGTAGTAAGCCCCGATAATCAATCACTTTCCAATCTTCCATCTACCCCCAAGTGTCTTCTCCGGTCTTCCGAGTGGACTCCCAGCATCACTCCCAGTTTCGGTCGTCAAGCTTTTTACCGATCAACAGGTTATGAGCCCAAGCACGATGTCCTCTGCTCATGATGCCACCACCAAGATCTCCATTGACAAGTTCGACGGCGACAACTACGCGACGTGGAGCCGCTACATGCGTGGTGTGTTTCTCACCAAGTCGGTGTGGCATGTGGTCAACCGGGAGACCACCCCCACCTTCGCCGATCCTCGCGCCAGTGATGACTACGTCAAGACGAACAACATTGCGTTCGGCTTGATGCTGCTGCACATGAGCGCGGATTATCATCACGTGGTTGATGACTGTGAAGAGGCGTGGGTCGCGTGGGCGCGTTTGAAGACGCTGTACGGTGGATCGCAGAAGGCTGGACGCATCTACTTGAAGCGCCAGCTCTTCAGTATGGAGATGGCGGAAGGCGGCAATGTGATGCATCATTGCAACGAAGTCCTCAACATCAGCGCGAAGCTCAGCAGCATCGGCGCCAAGATGGAGGACGAGGACGTGGCGATCTGCTTGTTGCGCAGCCTCCCCAAGAGCTACGAGAACGTCGTTCTCAACTTGGAGATGAGCAGCGCGGAACTGCGATCGCGAGACGTCGTGAGAGTGCTCACGAATGAGCACATCAAGAGGCAAGGTGACAAGACGACATCGGTGAAGACTGAAGACGCGGCGAAGACGTTCAGTACCGAGCGTGAACCTCGCCAGTGTACATACTGCGGAAAATTGGGGCACACGGCGGAGCGGTGCTGGACCAAGCAGAAGGACGAAAATCAAGGTGGAGCTCGACGCGGCGGCAACAATGCTCGTGGACGCGGAGCCAACAACGTTCAGTGGCGAACCAACAACAACAACGACGACAACTACGATCGAGTTGCGTTCGCGGTTTCGCTGGAGGCTGGACTTTCGACGGGCAAGAATATGCCAGGGATGTGGGCAGTCGACAGCGGTGCGACGCATCACATCTGCAACGACAAAGCCAAGTTTGCAATCCTGAATGAGCGAGAGGAAGGCGAACTATCAGTGGCTGATGGCAGCAAGGCTGCGATCAAGGGTGTGGGAACCATCATGGAACGGGTGGTTCTGCCCAGGAGTGACGAACGCGACATCGAGATCAAGGACGCACTATTCGTACCAAGTATGAGCAAGAATCTGCTTTCGGTGCCACAAATCAACAAGGGTGGCAGGTTCCAAGTCGTGTTCGATGGATCCAAGATGCAAGTGAAGCGCAAGAATTCCACACAAGTCGTGGCGACTGCAGATCTTGTCGATGGACTTTACTGGCTGCGGACTCCTCAACGATCGGCAAATGCAGCAACACGCAACGGGACTATAGACTTGCATGCGCGCATGGGTCATGCACCCCTCGAAGTTCTGCGCAAGATGGTGGCCACTGGCATGATCAAGGACGCCAAGGCACCTCTCAACGCGACTGGTCCAAGTGTGTGTCGCGGTTGCCAGCAAGGAAAGATGGTCCAAAAACCATTCCCAAACAACCGTGACAAACGCCAATATGGTGTGTTCGAGTTGCTGCACTTCGACATCTGCGGGCCAATGGAACAAGTCTCGATCGGCGGCAGCAGATACTTACTGCTTGTGGTTGACGAAGCCAGCGGCTGCATGAAGGGCTTCTGTCTGCGGTCCAAGTCTGAGAGTGAAGTCTGTATCAAGAACCACATTATCAAGATTCAGACTCAGTTCGGCACGAAGATCAAGTTTGTTCGGCACGATGGAGCGAATGAGTTGCGACCAACTCCATCAAGACCTTCTACGAAGATCATGGTATCGAACAACAGATCACGGTGCCGTATGCACACCAGACCAACGGCACCGCAGAACGCGCAATACGGACCATCGTCACGATCGGACGCAGCTTGTTGCATCATGCAAAACTGGAGAAGTGTTTCTGGGCTGAAGCGGCAATGACGGCGATCTACATCAAGAACCGCCTGCCTTCACCCAAGATCGACCACAAGACTCCGTTCGAAATCGTGTACAAGTCGAAACCAAGTGTCAAGCACATGCGCGTGTTTGGATGTCGGGCGTTTATCCTGACACCAAGGGAGAAGCGATTGAAGTGGGACCCGAAGGCTCGTGAAGGGATGTTCATGGGCTACGAAGAAGAGTCAAAAGCTTATCGAGTGTACGACATTGAGGCGGGCCAAGTGGTGATCAGTCGTGACATCACCTTCGGTGGACCGACCAAGTGACGATGATGAAGATGCGGAGTTGGACCTCAACCTCCTGGCGATCAACGAGGATGACGTGCGTCAAACCGTCTACAAGAAAACTGGCAAGCGCAAGAGTGAAGCAAGACCCGGCATGTCACGTTCAGCTCGCCCTCGAACTGGGTTGGAACAAGCAAGTGCGCCAGAACACGTCTCCAACCGTCACCAGAAACGATGATCAAGTGCTCCAGAAACGATGTCTGATGACGAAGAAGATGCAAGCGTCTACGATCAAGATGACGACTCGACGCCTCCAACATTTTGGCGTGCAAGTGCAAACGCAGTGGAAGCAACGGACCTAGCAGAACCTGTGACTTTTCAAGACGCGATCAATGGTCCTGATCAAGCTCACTGGCGAAATGCTGTGAAGGCGGAACTCAAGTCGATGCATCTTCGTGGAGTTTTCCGTGCGGCAAAACTGCCAAGAGGCCAAGGCGCGATCAGCACCAAGTGGGTGTTCAAGATCAAGCGCAAAGCGGATGGATCGGTCGAGAAATACAAGGCGCGTCTCGTTGCCAAGGGCTTCAAGCAGAAGTACGGCATCGACTACACGGAGACGTTCTCGCCCGTGGTCAAGTACGTGACACTGCGTATGGTGATCGCGATCACCAAGTATTTCGACTGGCCACTGGACCAACTCGATGTGGTGACAGCCTTTCTCTACGGAGTGATGAAGGAGAAGGTGTACTGCGTGATACCAGAAGGCGTCGAGATGGATGGCGACTTCGACTGTCTCGAGTTGGTGAAGGCGATCTACGGTCTCAAGCAAGCTTCACGTGTGTGGAACGAGACTTTCGACGAGTTCGTATGCTTCATCGGTTTCGAAGTGTCGGCGTTCGACCCATGTCTCTACATCAAGGTTGTCGACGGTCACTGTGTGCTCGTGCTGGTCTACGTGGATGACGTGTTGTTCACCGGCAGCTCGCTCGAGTTGATTGCGCAGACAAAGGCCGACCTCAAGACGCGTTTCGAGATGACCGAAAGTGGCAAGCGTACTTTTATACTGGGTATCGAACTGGTGGACGAATCGGATGACAGCGTGACGATGTGCCAGCGACGGTATGTCAACGACATCCTCAAGCGTTTCGGCATGTATGAGTGCAAGGCCACAGCAAGTCCGGTCGACTTGAGCACTCGGCTTGTCGCAAGCAGCGAAGCGGCCAAGATCGACGTTCCGTTTCGTGAAGCTGTGGGAGCTTTGATGCACTTGACGACTGCGACACGCCCGGACATTGCGTATGCTGTGGGGTACGTCTCGCGCTTCATGGAGAATCCGCAGCAAGAACATTGGAAGGCGGTGAAGCGCATCTTTCGTTACTTGCAAGGGACCAAGTCGCACGGACTCCGCTTCCAGCCAAGCGACAAGATCGACTTTCGTGGCTACTCGGACGCGGACTGGGCCGGCGACCACGCTGATCGCAAGTCGACTTCGGGGTTACACTTTCATGCTGATGGGTGCTCCTGTGAGTTGGGGAAGCAAGAAGCAGTCAAGTGTGTCGCTGTCGACGAGTGAAGCGGAATACATCGCACTGAGTCTGGCCATCCAGGAAGGCAAGTGAGTGCATCGCCTGCTATGCGAGATTTTGGCGGCCGCAAACGAACCAGGACCGGACCTCGTCATCCGTGAAGACAACCAGTCGTGCATCAAGATGACGAAGAATCCGGTGAATCATGGCCGCGCCAAGCACATCGACATCAAGTACCATCACATCCGTGATGAGGTCAAGCGCGGTGAAGTGCAGCTCGAGTATTGCGAGACTACCGTGATGATGGCGGACATCATGACCAAGGGACTTTCGGGACCTCGTCACAAGGACTTGACGACGGCTCTCGGCATTCGTGCGAGTTCGGATTGAGGGGGCGTGTTGACGGTCATCGGTTTCTACCAGTATTGGTAACCGTGACCGGTCCAATCCGAACCGCCTGTTCAGCTTAGTATTTACGACGTAGTTCTTACGGTAATTACCATAGTTGATTAGACGCGTAGGATGATGAGACGCTTCACATGATTTATATGTGCACCACATATAAATCATGTAGTAAGTAGTAAGCCCCGATAATCAATCACTTTCCAATCTTCCATCTACCCCCAAGTGTCTTCTCCGGTCTTCCGAGTAGACTCCCAGCATCACTCCCAGTTTCGGTCGTCAAGCTTTTCACCTAACAACAAAACGCCACTCGATCGTAGCCATTGCCTTCATCATGATGTCCCCACTGGACATTGCTGACCCCGCGTCCACGACCATTGCCGCCGCGTCGGGCTCCCCGACCTTCGTTCTTCTGCTTTGTCCAGCAACGATCCGCCGTGTGTCCCACCTTGCCACAATGCGTGCATTGGTAGGGCTCACGCTCGGCGCTGAATGCCTTGCTTGCATCTTCAGCCTTCACCGTAGTCGCTGTCGTTGTCCCTTTTTTCTGCTTGACGCTTGGCATGCTCATTCGTCAGGACTCTCACCACATCTTGAGTGCGAAGCTCGGTGCTGCTCATTTCCATGTTGAGCACCACATTTTCGTAGCTCTTCGGAAGACTGAGTAGCAGACAAATTGCAACGTCTTCGTCTTCCATCTTCGCACCGATACCGCTAAGCTTGGCGGAGATGTTGAGGACCTCGTTGCAGTGATGCATGACGTTCGCGCCTTCAGCCATCTTGATACTGAAAAGTTGTCGCTTGAGGTAGATGCGTCCTGCCTTCTGCGACCCACCGTACAGCGTCTTCAGACTTGTCCACGCAACCCAGGCTTCCTCGCAGTTGTCCAGCACATGATGGTAGTCCGCGTTCATGTGCAGCAGCATCATACCAAACGCGACGTTGCTTGCCTTGACGTAGTCATCGGACGCTCGCGGGTCGGTGAAAGTCGGAGTCACTTCACGGTTGACGACGTGCCAGACGGACTTCGTCAAAAACACACCGCGCATGTACCGGCTCCACGTTGCGTAATTGTCTCCGTTGAACTTGTCAATGGAGGCGTTGCTGGTGGACGACATGGCGCTTGGACTCATAACCTGTTGCATTGTATATCGGAGCGAGGAAAGCGGAGCGAACGGAGCGGAGAGACCGAAGAGAGTAGAGCAGCAAACACTTGCCCAATAGTTGGAAGATTCGAAAGTGATTGATTATCGGGGCTTACTACTTACTACATGATTTATATGTGGTGCACATATAAATCATGTGAAGCGTCTCATCATCCTACGCGTCTAATCAACTATGGTAATTACCGTAAGAACTACGCCGTAAATACTAAGCTGAACAGGCGGTTCGGATTGGACCGGTCACGGTTAACAATACTGGTAGGAAACCGATGATCGTCAACACGCTTCAAGAAGATCCGTCCCGCCTTCTTCGATCCGCCGTATAGAGTCTTCAACCGTGTCCACGCAACCCATGCCTCGTCGCAGTCATCAACCACGTGATGATAGTCCGCGCTCATGTGAATTAACATCAAGCCGAGCGCAATGTTGTTCGTCTTGACGTACTCATCACTGGCGCGAGGATCGGCGAAGGTGGGGGTGGTCTCCCGGTTGACCACGTGCCACGTCCGCTTGGTCAGGAACACGCCACGCATGTAGAGGCTCCACGTCGCGTAGTTGTCTCCATCGAATCTATCGATAGAGATCTTGGTGGCGGAATCTTGAGCAGAGAGATTTATGCCGCGCGGTCCTTCAGATCACCCTGGGGTGAACTGCGAGTACTCTGACTTAGTTTGAACTCCTTACAGAACCCGCACTCCTCATTACACTATGGGGCTTTTCGGCTTGTAGGGCCTCCGGACGGCACCGGCCACCCATTGGTGGTGGCTCGTCTACATTATTAGCCTATCTCCGGCGCCCTGTAATCGAACCCCCACCAAGTTTCGATTCAGGTACCTCCCGGTCCCAGATCCAGTGGTCTACCACTCGGCCACTGGGGTCGGTAATCTTAAGCAGAGGACATCGTGCTTGGGCTTATAACCTGTTAAAGTCTGAAGAGCACTGGGCGAGAGAACGAAGCTTGAAAGGCTTGAAAGAAGTCTACACTGCGAAGTGAAGACGACTTGTGTAGGAGAAGGAATAATTGGAAGTGAATTTATTTGTGGGTTTTGTTAAAGCTACCTGATTTATCTCTGCACTGATTTATATGTTGTCCACATATAAATCATGAATCATAAATCATGTAGGTCATCCAATCATCCTATGCGTCTAATCATTGGTAAAAACTCACCGTAATTACGCGGGATCGACTTGGACAGGTTTACGGTTCCCATGACAGCTGATAGCAGTACCTCAACCGTCAACCCACAATAATCAAGATGACGACTCGACGCCTCCAACATTTTGGCGTGCAAGTGCAAACGCAGTGGAAGCAACGGACCTAGCAGAACCTGTGACTTTTCAAGACGCGATCAATGGTCCTGATCAAGCTCACTGGCGAAATGCTGTGAAGGCGGAACTCAAGTCGATGCATCTTCGTGGAGTTTTCCGTGCGGCAAAACTGCCAAGAGGCCAAGGCGCGATCAGCACCAAGTGGGTGTTCAAGATCAAGCGCAAAGCGGATGGATCGGTCGAGAAATACAAGGCGCGTCTCGTTGCCAAGGGCTTCAAGCAGAAGTACGGCATCGACTACACGGAGACGTTCTCGCCCGTGGTCAAGTACGTGACACTGCGTATGGTGATCGCGATCACCAAGTATTTCGACTGGCCACTGGACCAACTCGATGTGGTGACAGCCTTTCTCTACGGAGTGATGAAGGAGAAGGTGTACTGCGTGATACCAGAAGGCGTCGAGATGGATGGCGACTTCGACTGTCTCGAGTTGGTGAAGGCGATCTACGGTCTCAAGCAAGCTTCACGTGTGTGGAACGAGACTTTCGACGAGTTCGTATGCTTCATCGGTTTCGAAGTGTCGGCGTTCGACCCATGTCTCTACATCAAGGTTGTGGATGGTCACTGCGTGCTGCTGCTGGTATACGTGGATGACGTGTTGTTCACCGGCAGCTCGCTCGAGTTGATTGCGCAGACAAAGGCCGACCTCAAGACGCGTTTCGAGATGACCGAAAGTGGCAAGTGTACTTTTGTACTGGGCATCGAACTGGTGGACGAATCGGATGACAGCGTGACGATGTGCCAGCGACGGTATGTCAACGACATCCTCAAGCGTTTCGGCATGTATGAGTGCAAGGCCACAGCAAGTCCGGTCGACTTGAGCACTCGGCTTGTCGCAAGCAGCGAAGCGGCCAAGATCGACGTTCCGTTTCGTGAAGCTGTGGGAGCTTTGATGCACTTGACGACTGCGACACGCCCGGACATTGCGTATGCTGTGGGGTACGTCTCGCGCTTCATGGAGAATCCGCAGCAAGAACATTGGAAGGCGGTGAAGCGCATCTTTCGTTACTTGCAAGGGACCAAGTCGCACGGACTCCGCTTCCAGCCAAGCGACAAGATCGACTTTCGTGGCTACTCGGACGCGGACTGGGCCGGCGACCACGCTGATCGCAAGTCGACTTCGGGTTACACTTTCATGCTGATGGGTGCTCCTGTGAGTTGGGGAAGCAAGAAGCAGTCAAGTGTGTCGCTGTCGACGAGTGAAGCGGAATACATCGCACTGAGTCTGGCCATCCAGGAAGGCAAGTGAGTGCATCGCCTGCTATGCGAGATTTTGGCGGCCGCAAACGAACCAGGACCGGACCTCGTCATCCGTGAAGACAACCAGTCGTGCATCAAGATGACGAAGAATCCGGTGAATCATGGCCGCGCCAAGCACATCGACATCAAGTACCATCACATCCGTGATGAGGTCAAGCGCGGTGAAGTGCAGCTCGAGTATTGCGAGACTACCGTGATGATGGCGGACATCATGACCAAGGGACTTTCGGGACCTCGTCACAAGGACTTGACGACGGCTCTCGGCATTCGTGCGAGTTCGGATTGAGGGGGCGTGTTGACGGTCATCGGTTTCTACCAGTATTGGTAACCGTGACCGGTCCAATCCGAACCGCCTGTTCAGCTTAGTATTTACGACGTAGTTCTTACGGTAATTACCATAGTTGATTAGACGCGTAGGATGATGAGACGCTTCACATGATTTATATGTGCACCACATATAAATCATGTAGTAAATAGTAAGCCCCGATAATCAATCACTTTCCAATCTTCCATCTACCCCCAAGTGTCTTCTCTTCCTGGTCTTCCAGAGTCGACTCCCAGCATCACTCCCAGTTTCGGTCGTCAAGCTTTTCACCTAACAACAAAACGCCACTCGATCGTAGCCATTGCCTTCATCATGATGTCCCCACTGGACATTGCTGACCCCGCGTCCACGACCATTGCCGCCGCGTCGGGCTCCCCGACCTTCGTTCTTCTGCTTTGTCCAGCAACGATCCGCCGTGTGTCCCACCTTGCCACAATGCGTGCATTGGTAGGGCTCACGCTCGGCGCTGAATGCCTTGCTTGCATCTTCAGCCTTCACCGTAGTCGCTGTCGTTGTCCCTTTTTCTGCTTGACGCTTGGCATGCTCATTCGTCAGGACTCTCACCACATCTTGAGTGCGAAGCTCGGTGCTGCTCATTTCCATGTTGAGCACCACATTTTCGTAGCTCTTCGGAAGACTGAGTAGCAGACAAATTGCAACGTCTTCGTCTTCCATCTTCGCACCGATACCGCTAAGCTTGGCGGAGATGTTGAGGACCTCGTTGCAGTGATGCATGACGTTCGCGCCTTCAGCCATCTTGATACTGAAAAGTTGTCGCTTGAGGTAGATGCGTCCTGCCTTCTGCGACCCACCGTACAGCGTCTTCAGACTTGTCCATGCAACCCAGGCTTCCTCGCAGTTGTCCAGCACATGATGGTAGTCCGCGTTCATGTGCAGCAGCATCATACCAAACGCGACGTTGCTTGCCTTGACGTAGTCATCGACGCTCGCGGGTCGGTGAAAGTCGGAGTCACTTCACGGTTGACGACGTGCCAGACGGACTTCGTCAAAAACACACCGCGCATGTACCGGCTCCACGTTGCGTAATTGTCTCCGTTGAACTTGTCAATGGAGGCGTTGCTGGTGGACGACATGGCGCTTGGACTCATAACCTGTTGCATTGTATATCGGAGCGAGGAAAGCGGAGCAAACGGAGCGGAGAGACCGAAGAGAGAGCAGAGCAGCAAACACTTGCCCAATAGTTGGAAGATTCGAAAGTGATTGATTATCGGGGCTTACTACTTACTACATGATTTATATGTAGTCCACATATAAATCATGTGAAGCGTCTCATCATCCTACGCGTCTAATCAACTATGGTAATTACCGTAAGAACTACGCCGTAAATACTAAGCTGAACAGGCGGTTCGGATTGGACCGGTCACGGTTAACAATACTGGTAGGAAACCGATGATCGTCAACACGCTTCAAGAAGATCCGTCCCGCCTTCTTCGATCCGCCGTATAGAGTCTTCAACCGTGTCCACGCAACCCATGCCTCGTCGCAGTCATCAACCACGTGATGATAGTCCGCGCTCATGTGAATTAACATCAAGCCGAGCGCAATGTTGTTCGTCTTGACGTACTCATCACTGGCGCGAGGATCGGCGAAGGTGGGGGTGGTCTCCCGGTTGACCACGTGCCACGTCCGCTTGGTCAGGAACACGCCACGCATGTAGAGGCTCCACGTCGCGTAGTTGTCTCCATCGAATCTATCGATAGAGATCTTGGTGGCGGAATCTTGAGCAGAGAGATTTATGCCGCGCGGTCCTTCAGATCACCCTGGGGTGAACTGCGAGTACTCTGACTTAGTTTGAACTCCTTACAGAACCCGCACTCCTCATTACACTATGGGGCTTTTCGGCTTGTAGGGCCTCCGGACGGCACCGGCCACCCATTGGTGGTGGCTCGTCTACATTATTAGCCTATCTCCGGCGCCCTGTAATCGAACCCCCACCAAGTTTCGATTCAGGTACCTCCCGGTCCCAGATCCAGTGGTCTACCACTCGGCCACTGGGGTCGGTAATCTTAAGCAGAGGACATCGTGCTTGGGCTTATAACCTGTTAAAGTCTGAAGAGCACTGGGCGAGAGAACGAAGCTTGAAAGGCTTGAAAGAAGTCTACACTGCGAAGTGAAGACGACTTGTGTAGGAGAAGGAATAATTGGAAGTGAATTTATTTGTGGGTTTTGTTAAAGCTACCTGATTTATCTTCTGCACTGATTTATATGTTGTCCACATATAAATCATGAATCATAAATCATGTAGGTCATCCAATCATCCTATGCGTCTAATCATTGGTAAAAACTTACCGTAATTACGCGGGATCGACTTGGACAGGTTTACGGTTCCCATGACAGCTGATAGCAGTACCTCAACCGTCAACCCACAATAATCAAGATGACGACTCGACGCCTCCAACATTTTGGCGTGCAAGTGCAAACGCAGTGGAAGCAACGGACCTAGCAGAACCTGTGACTTTTCAAGACGCGATCAATGGTCCTGATCAAGCTCACTGGCGAAATGCTGTGAAGGCGGAACTCAAGTCGATGCATCTTCGTGGAGTTTTCCGTGCGGCAAAACTGCCAAGAGGCCAAGGCGCGATCAGCACCAAGTGGGTGTTCAAGATCAAGCGCAAAGCGGATGGATCGGTCGAGAAATACAAGGCGCGTCTCGTTGCCAAGGGCTTCAAGCAGAAGTACGGCATCGACTACACGGAGACGTTCTCGCCCGTGGTCAAGTACGTGACACTGCGTATGGTGATCGCGATCACCAAGTATTTCGACTGGCCACTGGACCAACTCGATGTGGTGACAGCCTTTCTCTACGGAGTGATGAAGGAGAAGGTGTACTGCGTGATACCAGAAGGCGTCGAGATGGATGGCGACTTCGACTGTCTCGAGTTGGTGAAGGCGATCTACGGTCTCAAGCAAGCTTCACGTGTGTGGAACGAGACTTTCGACGAGTTCGTATGCTTCATCGGTTTCGAAGTGTCGGCGTTCGACCCATGTCTCTACATCAAGGTTGTGGATGGTCACTGCGTGCTGCTGCTGGTATACGTGGATGACGTGTTGTTCACCGGCAGCTCGCTCGAGTTGATTGCGCAGACAAAGGCCGACCTCAAGACGCGTTTCGAGATGACCGAAAGTGGCAAGTGTACTTTTGTACTGGGCATCGAACTGGTGGACGAATCGGATGACAGCGTGACGATGTGCCAGCGACGGTATGTCAACGACATCCTCAAGCGTTTCGGCATGTATGAGTGCAAGGCCACAGCAAGTCCGGTCGACTTGAGCACTCGGCTTGTCGCAAGCAGCGAAGCGGCCAAGATCGACGTTCCGTTTCGTGAAGCTGTGGGAGCTTTGATGCACTTGACGACTGCGACACGCCCGGACATTGCGTATGCTGTGGGGTACGTCTCGCGCTTCATGGAGAATCCGCAGCAAGAACATTGGAAGGCGGTGAAGCGCATCTTTCGTTACTTGCAAGGGACCAAGTCGCACGGACTCCGCTTCCAGCCAAGCGACAAGATCGACTTTCGTGGCTACTCGGACGCGGACTGGGCCGGCGACCACGCTGATCGCAAGTCGACTTCGGGTTACACTTTCATGCTGATGGGTGCTCCTGTGAGTTGGGGAAGCAAGAAGCAGTCAAGTGTGTCGCTGTCGACGAGTGAAGCGGAATACATCGCACTGAGTCTGGCCATCCAGGAAGGCAAGTGAGTGCATCGCCTGCTATGCGAGATTTTGGCGGCCGCAAACGAACCAGGACCGGACCTCGTCATCCGTGAAGACAACCAGTCGTGCATCAAGATGACGAAGAATCCGGTGAATCATGGCCGCGCCAAGCACATCGACATCAAGTACCATCACATCCGTGATGAGGTCAAGCGCGGTGAAGTGCAGCTCGAGTATTGCGAGACTACCGTGATGATGGCGGACATCATGACCAAGGGACTTTCGGGACCTCGTCACAAGGACTTGACGACGGCTCTCGGCATTCGTGCGAGTTCGGATTGAGGGGGCGTGTTGACGGTCATCGGTTTCTACCAGTATTGGTAACCGTGACCGGTCCAATCCGAACCGCCTGTTCAGCTTAGTATTTACGACGTAGTTCTTACGGTAATTACCATAGTTGATTAGACGCGTAGGATGATGAGACGCTTCACATGATTTATATGTGCACCACATATAAATCATGTAGTAAGTAGTAAGCCCCGATAATCAATCACTTTCCAATCTTCCATCTACCCCCAAGTGTCTTCTCCGGTCTTCCAAGTGGACTCCCAGCATCATTCCCGGTTTTGGTCGTCAAGCTTTACACCTATCAACAAGAAAGAAGACCTTCATGCACCCGCTGGCATCGTCGACCACAAGTAGCTAGTATCTGCTGCTGCTGATCGAGACTTGTTACATTGGCCCGCAGATGTCGAATTGTAGCAATTCAAACACACCATAGTGACACTTGTCACGGTTGGTTGGGAATGGTTTTTGGAACATCTTCCCGTGCTGGCAACCGCGACACACACTTGGCTCAGTTGATGAGAGAGGTGCATTGGCTTCCTTGATCATGCCGGTGGCCATCATCTTGCGCAGAGCATCGAGAGGTGCATGACCCATGCGCGTGCGCAAGTCGATGGCCCCATTGTGTGTCGCTGCATTAGTCGATCGTTGAGGAGTCCGCAGCCAGTAAAATTCCGTCGACGGGATCCGCTGTCATCACAACTTGCTTGGAATTCTTGCGCGTTACTTGCATCTTGGACCCATCGAACACGACTTGGAACTTGCGACCCTTGTTGATCTGCAGTACCGAAAGCAGATCCTTGCTCATACTTGGCGCGAACAGTGCTTCCTTGATCTCGATGTCGCGTCCGTCACTCCTGGGCAGAACCTCCCGTTCCATGATGGTTCCCACACCCTTGATCTCAGCCTTTGCTGCCATCAGCCACCGATAGTTTGCCTTCTTCTCGCTCATTCAGGCTTGTGAACTTGGCCTTGTCGATGCAGATCTGATGCGTCGCACCGCTGTCGACTGCCCACATCCTTGGCATATTCTTGCCCGTCGAAAGTCCAGCCTCCAGCGAAACCGCGAACGCAACTCGATCGTAGTTGTCGTCGTAGTTGCTGTGGAATCGCCACTGAAAGTTGTTGGCTCCGCGTCCACGAGCATTGTTGCCGGCGCGTAGAGCTCCTCCTATATTTTCGTTCTTGTTCTTGGTCCAGTACCGCTCCGCCATGTGCCCCAATTTGCCGCAGTACGTACACTGGTGAGGTTCACGCTCAGCACTGAACGCCTTCTCCCCGTCTCCAGTCTCCACCGATATCGTCTCGTCACCTTGTCTCTTGATGTGTATTGAGGGTTACCGGTACAATCCGAACCTAGCGCGTAGTTCTTACGAGATAGTTTTTACATCGGTAATTACCTCAGAGATGATTAGACGCGTAGGATGATTGGACGCGTGTAAATCAGGTTGATTAGATGCACCATGTGATTGGATGCAGTCTAGGGTAGGCAGAAGTTAAGACCTATAAATCAATCACTTTCGAATCCTCCCTCAAGTGAGCAAGTGTTCTCTGCTTCGTTCTCTCCGGTCTCTCCGCTTCGTTTTCTCTTCGCCTCGCGCTCAAGTTACAACAGGTTATGAGCCCAAGCGCCATGTCGTCCAACAACACCTCGGCCAGTGTCTCCATCGATAAGTTCGATGGGGACAACTACTCAACCTGGTGTCGCTACATGCGCGGCGTGTTTCTGACGAAGTCAGTCTGGTACGTCGTGAACCGCGAAACGTCTCCAACCTTCACCGACACGCGAGCTTCCGACGAGTACGTCAAGGCGAGCAACATCGCGTTCGGGTTGATGTTGCTCCACATGGACGCCGACTACCACCATGTGGTCGACAACTGTGAAGAAGCATGGACAGCGTGGTCGCGGTTGAAGATGCTCTATGGTGGGTCGCAGAAGGCGGGACGCATCTACCTCAAGCGCCAGCTGTTCAGCATCAAGATGGCGGAAGGTGCCAACGTCTTGCACCATTGCAACGAAGTCTTGAACATCGGCGCCAAGCTCAGCAGCATCGGTGCCAAGATGGAAGACGAAGACATTGCGATCTGCTTGCTGCTCAGTCTCCCGAAGAGTTTCGAGAACGTGGTTCTGAACTTGGAGATGAGCAATGCAGAGCTGCGCACGCAAGATGTGGTCAAGGTGCTGACTAACGAGCACATCAAGCGACAAGGCGAGAAGATGACAACGGCAACGACAACGGTGAAGACTGAAGATGCGACAAAGGCATTCAGTACCGAGCGCAAGCCCTACCAATGCACATACTGCGGCAAGGTGGGGCACACGGCAGAGCGTTGCTGGACGAAGCAAAAGGATGAAAGTCGAGGAGCCCAACGCGGCGGCAATGGTCGTGGACGCGGGGCAAACAATGTCCAGTGGCGACATTATGATGAAGGCAACAGCTACGATCGAGTGGCGTTTGCAGTTTCGTTCGAATGCGGAGTTTCGACGAACAAGAATGGACCAGGAATGTGGGCCGTTGACAGCGGGGCAACACATCACATCTGCCACGACAAGTTCAAGTTTGCAAGCTTGGTCGAAGGCAATGATGGCGAGATCCTGGTGGCTGATGGCAACAAGGCGGCCATCAAAGGTGTGGGGACCATCGTGGAAAAGGTGATTCTGCCAAACGGGGAAGAGCGCGAGATCGAGATCAAGAACGCGCTCTATGTGCCCAGCATGAGCAAAAATCTGCTCTCGGTGCCGCAGATTAACAAGCACGGCAACTTCCAAGTGGTGTTTGACGGGGATACGATGTACGTCGCTCGCAAGGATTCCAATCAAGTGGTGGCAGCTGCGGATCTTGTAGACGGACTCTACTGGCTTCGCACGACGCAGCGATCGGCCAATGCGACATCACTCAGCAACGCTGTTGATCTACATGCGCGAATGGGCCATGCTCCAGTCGACGTGCTTCGCAGGATTGTGACAAGCCACATGATCAAGGACGCTCACATCCCTTCCAAGCCGAATGGATCAAGTGTGTGTCGAGGATGCCAAGAAGGGAAGATGGTCCAAAAACCATTCCCGAGCAACCGTGACAAGCGCACCTACAACACCTTCGAGATGCTCCACTTCGACATCTGCGGACCCATGGAAGAAAAATCTCTGGGTGGCAGCAAGTATCTGCTGCTGATCGTGGATGAAGCCAGCGGATGCATGAAGGGTTTTTGTCTGCATTCCAAGTCAGAGAGCGAAGAGTGCATCAAGAAGTACATCACGATGATACAGACGCAGTTCAACAAGAAGGTCAAATTTGTGCGACACGATGGAGCCCGCGAGTTTGCGACGAACTCGCTTCAAGATTTCTACGAAGTCGAAGGCATCGAGCAACAAACCACGGTGCCATACGCACATCAAGCCAATGGAACTGCTGAACGCGCAATTAGAACTATCGTCACCATCGGTCGTAGCATGCTCCATCATGCCAAGTTGGACAAGTGCTTCTGGGCTGAAGCGGCAATGACGGCCGTCTATGTGAAGAACCGTTTGCCGTCACCCAAGATTCCACACAAGACACCGTTCGAGATTGTCTACAGTTCTAAGCCAAGTGTCAAGCACATGCGGTTTTTGGGTGCCAAGCATACATCTTGACCCCGAAGGAGAAACGACTCAAGTGGGATCCCAAGGCCCGGGCTGGATTGTTTTTGGGCTACGAAGAAGTGTCCAAGGCGTATCGAGTTTACGACATCGAAGCGGGGCAGGTGATGATAAGTCGCGATGTCAACTTCGATGAGTCGGCCTTTGGAATGTCGATGCTGATTTCCGATGACGATGTTGATGGCCTGGACTTCGAATCGATCGATCTTGATGATGAAGAACCGCGTCCGAGACACTTCAAACAAACAGGAAAGCGAAAGGCCCAACCCAGTCACGACAATGACGACGCAAGCATGCCCCGAGCAGTGCGCCAACGACCCGGATTGGAAGAGTCAAGTGCGCCGGATGACCTCTCTTCACGTCGAGCCGACGAAGATGAAGAAAGGAAGTCGGAGGAACAACATGACACACCGACTTCCTCCGCGTTTTGGCATGCGAGTGCAAACGCCGTCGAAGCAGCGGTCGATTTTTCGGAGCCGTCGACATTTGAAGAAGCAGTGTCTGGCCCGGACCAAGTACACTGGCGCAAGGCAATTGATGCGGAGCTCGATTCGATGAAGCTTCGCGGTGTCTTTCGTGCGGCCAAGTTACCCAACGGACAAAGCGCCATTGGCACAAAGTGGGTCTTCAAGATCAAGCGCAAGGCGGATGGGTCGATCGAGAAATACAAGGCACGACTTGTGGCCAAGGGTTTTCGCCAAAAGTATGGCATCGACTACACGGAGACGTTCTCGCCCGTGGTCAAGTATGTGACGCTGCGAATGGTCATCGCCATTACCAAGCACTTTGGATGGCCCCTCGACCAGCTCGATGTGGTGACTGCGTTCCTGTATGGAGTGATGAAGGAGAAGGTGTTCTGCGCTGTTCCGGAAGGCGTCAAGATGGAAGGTGATTTCGACTGTCTCGAGCTGATCAAGGCGATCTACGGTCTCAAGCAAGCCTCGCGTGTTTGGAACGAGACCTTCGACGAGTTCATACGCTCGATTGGTTTTCAAGCGTCGGGATTCGATCCATGTCTCTACATCATGACTTCGGAAGGCCATTGTGTTTTTGTGCTGGTCTACGTGGACGATGTCTTGGTGACTGGAAGCTCGCTCGAGATGATTGCGCGCACCAAGAACGACCTCAAGACACGCTTCGAGATGACGGACAGCGGCAAGTGTGCCTTTGTTCTTGGGATCGAGTTATTGGACGGTGAAGATGGCAGCGTGACTATGTGTCAGCGCCGTTATGTCGACGATGTCCTCAAGCGCTTTGGAATGGATGAGTGCAAGGCTGTGACAAGTCCGGTGGACGTCAGCTCTCGACTGGTTCCAAGCAACTCTGCAAGCAAGGTGGATGTCCCATTCCGTGAAGCAGTGGGTGCTTTGATGCATCTGACGACTGCAACGCGACCGGACATCGCCTATGCTGTAAGCTTTGTGTCACGGTTCATGGAGAAACCCCAAGAAGAACACTGGGTTGCAGTCAAGCGCATCTTCCGCTACCTACAAGGCACCAAGATGCATGGAATCTGCTACAAGCCAAGTGCGAAGATCGACTTTCGTGGCTATTCAGATGCAGACTGGGCCGGTGACCTTGCTGATCGCAAATCGACGTCCGGCTACGTCTTCATGCTATTGGGTGCTCCGGTGAGTTGGGGCAGCAAGAAACAGCCAAGTGTGTCACTGTCTACAAGTGAAGCGGAGTACATCGCGCTCAGCCTGGCGATCCAAGAAGGCAAGTGGATCAATCGCTTGCTGTGCGAGATCATGGCGGCTGCAAACGAAGAAGGACCCGAGCTCGTCATCCGTGAAGACAACCAGTCGTGCATCAAGATGACGAAGAATCCGGTCAACCACGGCCGCGCTAAACACATCGACATCAAGTACCATCACATCCGTGATGAAGTCAAGCGCGGCGAAGTGAAGCTTGAATACTGCGAGACGACGTTGATGTTGGCGGACATCATGACGAAGGGACTTCACGGACCGCGTCACAAGGACTTGACGGCGGCGCTTGGCATCCGTGCGTGTTCGGATTGAGGGGGCGTATTGAGGGTTACCGGTACAATCCGAACCTAGCGCGTAGTTCTTACGAGATAGTTTTTACATCGGTAATTACCTCAGAGATGATTAGACGCGTAGGATGATTGGACGCGTGTAAATCAGGTTGATTAGATGCACCATGTGATTGGATGCAGTCTAGGGTAGGCAGAAGTTAAGACCTATAAATTAATCACTTTCGAATCCTCCCTCAAGTGAGCAAGTGTTCTCTGCTTCGTTCTCTCCGGTCTCTCCGCTTCGTTTTCTCTTCGCCTCGCGCTCAAGCAACAATGTGCTCATTTGTGAGCACATCACGACGTCTCGCGATTGCAGCGCTGCTCAACTACAAGCTTAACACGACATTCTCGTAGCGTCTAGGGAGGCTGCGCAACAAGCAGGTCGCCACGTCCTCGTCCTCCATCTTGGCGCCGATGCTGCTTATCTTCGCGCTGATGTTGAGGACTTCATGGTAATGTGATGCACCACATTGCCGCCTTCCTTCATCTCCATGCTGAACAGCTGGCGCTTCAAGTAGATTCGCCCAGCCTTCTGCGACCCACCGTACATTGTCTTCAAACGCGCTCACACGACCCACGCTTCCTCATAATCATCGACGATGTGATGGTAGTCGGCGTCCATGTGATGCAACATCAGTACGAACACGATGTTATTTGTCTTGACGTAGACGTCCATGGAGCGGTCGTCCGCATAGGTCGGCGACGTCTTCCGGATCACCACGTACCACGTCGACTTAGTCAGGAACACGCCACGCATGTAGCGGCTCCATGTCGCGTGGTTGTATCCGTCGAACTTGTTGATGGAGATATTGGTAATGGTATCTTGGGCAGAGGATATCGTGCTTGGGCTCATAACCTGTTGAAAGGTGCGAAGATTGGTGACCGCAACTGGGAAGGATGCTGAAAAGTCCACTCGGAAAACGAGAGAAGACACTTGGGCAGTAGATGGAAGATTGGAAAGTGATTGATTATCGGAGCTTATCTGCCTACGCCCTGATTTACATGCGTCCACAGATAAATCGGTCGGCGCGTCTAATCACCCTGCTTGTCGAATCTTTCCTGCAAAATTACCGACGTAAAAACGATCCCATAAGAACTACACAGTTCGGGTTGTTTCGATAACCTTCAATACGTCCCCTCAATTCGAACACGCACAGATGTCGAGAGCTGTCGTCAAGTTCTTGTGACGAGGTCCCGCAAGTCCCTTGGTAATGATGTCCGCCATCATCACGGAAGTCTCGCAATACTCGAGCTTCACTTCACCGCGCTTGACCTCATCACGGATGTGATGGCAATTGATGTCGATGTGCTTGGCGCGGCCGTGGTTGACCGGATTCTTGGTCATTTTGATGCAGGACTGGTTGTTTTTGTGGATCATGAGCTCGGGTCCGTCCTCGTTAGCAGCCGCCATGATCTCGCATAGTAAGCGGTGGATCCACTTGCCTTCTTGAATTGCCAGGCTTAGCGCAATGTACTCCGCTTAGCTCGCCGACAGCGACACACTTGACTGCTCCTTGCTTCCCCAACTCACAGGAGCACCCATCAGTATGAAAGCCCGAAGTCGATCAGTATGAAAGTGTAACCCGAAGTTGACTTGCGATCAGCATGGTCGCCGGCCCAGACAGATCTGAGTATCCACGAAATCAATCTTGTCGCTTGGCTGGAAGCGGAGTCCGCGCGACTTGGTCCCTTGAAAATAACGAATGATCCGCCGTCCAACAGTCTTGCTGCGGATTATCCATGAAGTGTGAGAAGTACCCCACAGCATACGCGATGGCGCGTCACAGTCGTTAAGTGCATTGGAGATACAACAGCTTCGCGAAACGGAACGTTGATCTTGGCCGATTCGCTGCTTGCGACAAGCCGAGTGCTCAAACCGACCGGACTTGCTGTGGCCTTGCACTCATACCTGCCGAAACGCTTGAAGACGTCGTTGGCATACCGTCGCTGGCACATCGTCACGCTGCCATCCAAGCCGTCCACCAGTTCGATGCCAAGTACAAAAGTACACTTGCCACTGTTGGTCATCTCGAAGCGTGTCTTGAGATCAGCCTTCGTTGCGCAATCAACTCGAGCGATCTGACGGTCACCAACACGCCATCCACGTAAACCAGCACGGGAACACACTGACCATCGACCACCTTGATGTATAGACATGGGTCGAACGCCGGCACCTCGAAACCGATGGAGCACACGAACACGTCGAAATTCTCGTTCCATACCCGCGAAGCTTGCTTGAGACCGTAGATCGCCTTCACCAACTCCAAACGATCAAAGTCGTCATCTTGATCGTAGGCGCCTAAATCTTCTTCGTCATCAGACATCGTTTCGGGAGCACTTGATCGTCGTTTCTGGTGACGGTTGGAGACGCGTTCCGGCACACTTGCTTGTTCCAACCCAGTTCGATGGTGAGATGATCGTGACATGCCGGTGCTTGCTTCACTCTTGCGCTTGCCAGTCTGCTTGTAGGTGATCTGACGCACGTCGTCATTGTTGATCGCCAGGAGGTTGAGGTCCAACTCCGCATCTTTATCGTCGTCACTTGATCGGCTCATCGAAAAGTCAAAAGTCGATTTGTCGGAGGTGAAGTCACGACTGATCACCGCTTGGCCTGCCTCAATGTCGTACACTCGGTACGCCTTTGACGCTTCTTCGTAGCCCATGAACATCCGTGCACGAGCCTTCGAGTCACACTTCATTCGCTTCACCTTTAGTGTCAGGATGTACGCTTGACATCCAAACACGCGCATGTGCTTGACGCTTGGCTTCGACTTGTACACGATCTCGAACGGAGTCTTGTGGTCGATCCTGGGTGACGGCAGGCGGTTCTTGATGTAGATCGTCGTCATTGCCGCTTCAGCCCAGAAATGCTTTTCCAGATTTGCATGATGCAACAAGCTGCGTCCGATCGTGACGATGGTCCGTATCGCGCGTTCTGCAGTGCCGTTGGTCTGGTGTGCATACGGCACCGTGATCTGTTGTTCGATACCTTGATCTTCATAGAAGGTCTTGATCGAGTTGGTCGCGAACTCGTGCGCTCCATCATGCCGAACGAACTTGATCTTCTTGCCGAACTGAGTTTGAATCTTGAGAATATAGTTCTTGGTGCAGTCTTCACTATCAGACTTGGACCGCAGACAGAAGACCTTCATGCACCCGCTGGCATCGTCGACCACAAGCAGCTAGTATCTGCTGCCGCCGATCGAGACTTGTTACATTGGCCCGCAGATGTCGAATTGTAGCAATTCAAACACACCATAGTGACACTTGTCACGTTTGGTTGGGAATGGTTTTTGGAACATCTTCCCGTGCTGGCAACCGCGACACACACTTGGCTCAGTTGATGAGAGAGGTGCATTGGCTTCCTTGATCATGCCGGTGGCCATCATCTTGCGCAGAGCATCGAGGGATGCATGACCCATGCGCGTGCGCAAGTCGATGGCCCCATTGTGTGTCGCTGCATTAGTCGATCGTTGAGGAGTCCGCAGCCAGTAAAATTCCGTCGACGAGATCCGCTGTCATCACAACTTGCTTGGAATTCTTGCGCGTTACTTGTATCTTGGAGCCATCGAACACGACTTGGAACTTGCCACCCTTGTTGATCTGCAGTACCGAAAGCAGATCCTTGCTCATACTTGGCACGAACAGTGCTTCCTTGATCTCGATGTCGCGTCCGTCACTCCTGGGCAGAACCTCCCGTTCCATGATGGTTCCCACACCCTTGATCTCAGCCTTTGCTGCCATCAGCCACCGATAGTTTGCCTTCTTCTCGCTCATTCAGGCTTGTGAACTTGGCCTTGTCGTTGCAGATGTGATGCGTTGCACCGCTGTCGACCGCCCACATCCTTGGCATATTCTTGCCCGTCGAAAGTCCAGCCTCCAGCGAAACCGCGAACGCAACTCGATCGTAGTTGTCGTCGTAGTTGCTGTGGAATCGCCACTGAAAGTTGTTGGCTCCGCGTCCACGAGCATTGTTGCCGGCGCGTAGAGCTCCTCCTATATTTTCGTTCTTGTTCTTGGTCCAGTACCGCTCCGCCGTGTGCCCCAATTTGCCGCAGTACGTACACTGGCGAGGTTCACGCTCAGCACTGAACGCCTTCTCCGCGTCTCCAGTCTCCACCGATATCGTCTCGTCACCTTGTCTCTTGATGTGCTCATTTGTGAGCACATCACGACGTCTCGCGATTGCAGCGCTGCTCAACTACAAGTTCAACACGACATTCTCGTAGCGTCTAGGGAGGCTGCGCAACAAGCAGGTCGCCACGTCCTCGTCCTCCATCTTGGCGCCGATGCTGCTTATCTTCGCGCTGATGTTGAGGACTTCATGGTAATGTGATGCACCACATTGCCGCCTTCCTTCATCTCCATGCTGAACAGCTGGCGCTTCAAGTAGATTCGCCCAGCCTTCTGCGACCCACCGTACATTGTCTTCAAACGCGCTCACACGACCCACGCTTCCTCATAATCATCGACGATGTGATGGTAGTCGGCGTCCATGTGATGCAACATCAGTACGAACACGATGTTATTTGTCTTGACGTAGACGTCCATGGAGCGATCGTCCGCATAGGTCGGCGACGTCTTCCGGATCACCACGTACCACGTCGACTTAGTCAGGAACACGCCACGCATGTAGCGGCTCCATGTCGCGTGGTTGTATCCGTCGAACTTGTTGATGGAGATATTGGTAATGGTATCTTGGGCAGAGGATATCGTGCTTGGGCTCATAACCTGTTGAAAGGTGCGAAGATTGGTGACCGCAACTGGGAAGGATGCTGAAAAGTCCACTCGGAAAACGAGAGAAGACACTTGGGCAGTAGATGGAAGATTGGAAAGTGATTGATTATCGGAGCTTATCTGCCTACGCCCTGATTTACATGCGTCCACAGATAAATCGGTCGGCGCGTCTAATCACCCTGCTTGTCGAATCTTTCCTGCAAAATTACCGACGTAAAAACGATCCCATAAGAACTACACAGTTCGGGTTGTTTCGATAACCTTCAATACGTCCCCTCAATTCGAACACGCACAGATGTCGAGAGCTGTCGTCAAGTTCTTGTGACGAGGTCCCGCAAGTCCCTTGGTAATGATGTCCGCCATCATCACGGAAGTCTCGCAATACTCGAGCTTCACTTCACCGCGCTTGACCTCATCACGGATGTGATGGCAATTGATGTCGATGTGCTTGGCGCGGCCGTGGTTGACCGGATTCTTGGTCATTTTGATGCAGGACTGGTTGTTTTTGTGGATCATGAGCTCGGGTCCGTCCTCGTTAGCAGCCGCCATGATCTCGCATAGTAAGCGGTGGATCCACTTGCCTTCTTGAATTGCCAGGCTTAGCGCAATGTACTCCGCTTAGCTCGCCGACAGCGACACACTTGACTGCTCCTTGCTTCCCCAACTCACAGGAGCACCCATCAGTATGAAAGCCCGAAGTCGATCAGTATGAAAGTGTAACCCGAAGTTGACTTGCGATCAGCATGGTCGCCGGCCCAGACAGATCTGAGTATCCACAAAATCAATCTTGTCGCTTGGCTGGAAGCGGAGTCCGCGCGACTTGGTCCCTTGAAAATAACGAATGATCCGCCGTCCAACAGTCTTGCTGCGGATTATCCATGAAGTGTGAGAAGTACCCCACAGCATACGCGATGGCGCGTCGCAGTCGTTAAGTGCATTGGAGATACAACAGCTTCGCGAAACGGAACGTTGATCTTGGCCGATTCGCTGCTTGCGACAAGCCGAGTGCTCAAACCGACCGGACTTGCTGTGGCCTTGCACTCATACCTGCCGAAACGCTTGAAGACGTCGTTGGCATACCGTCGCTGGCACATCGTCACGCTGCCATCCAAGCCGTCCACCAGTTCGATGCCAAGTACAAAAGTACACTTGCCACTGTTGGTCATCTCGAAGCGTGTCTTGAGATCAGCCTTCGTTGCGCAATCAACTCGAGCGATCTGACGGTCACCAACACGCCATCCACGTAAACCAGCACGGGAACACACTGACCATCGACCACCTTGATGTATAGACATGGGTCGAACGCCGGCACCTCGAAACCGATGGAGCACACGAACACGTCGAAATTCTCGTTCCATACCCGCGAAGCTTGCTTGAGACCGTAGATCGCCTTCACCAACTCCAAACGATCAAAGTCGTCATCTTGATCGTAGGCGCCTACATCTTCTTCGTCATCAGACATCATTTCGGGAGCACTTGATCGTCGTTTCTGGTGACGGTTGGAGACGCGTTCCGGCACACTTGCTTGTTCCAACCCAGTTCGATGGTGAGATGATCGTGACATGCCGGTGCTTGCTTCACTCTTGCGCTTGCCAGTCTGCTTGTAGGTGATCTGACGCACGTCGTCATTGTTGATCGCCAGGAGGTTGAGGTCCAACTCCGCATCTTTATCGTCGTCACTTGATCGGCTCATCGAAAAGTCAAAAGTCGATTTGTCGGAGGTGAAGTCACGACTGATCACCGCTTGGCCTGCCTCAATGTCGTACACTCGGTACGCCTTTGACGCTTCTTCGTAGCCCATGAACATCCGTGCACGAGCCTTCGAGTCACACTTCATTCGCTTCACCTTTAGTGTCAGGATGTACGCTTGACATCCAAACACGCGCATGTGCTTGACGCTTGGTTTCGACTTGTACACGATCTCGAACGGAGTCTTGTGGTCGATCCTGGGTGACGGCAGGCGGTTCTTGATGTAGATCGCCTTCATTGCCGCTTCAGCCCAGAAACACTTCTCCAGCTTGCATGATGCAACAAGCTGCGTCCGATCGTGACGATGGTCCTTATCGCGCGTTCTGCGGTGCCGTTGGTCTGGTGTGCATACGGCACCGTGATCTGTTGTTCTATACCATGATCTTCGTAGAAGGTCTTGATGGAGTTGGTCGCGAACTCGTGCGCTCCATCATGCCGAACGAACTTGATCTTCTTGCCGAACTGAGTTTGAATCTTGAGAATATAGTTCTTGGTGCAGTCTTCACTATCAGACTTGGACCGCAGACAGAAGACCTTCATGCACCCGCTGGCATCGTCGACCACAAGCAGCTAGTATCTGCTGCTGCTGATCGAGGCTTGTTATATTGGCCCGCAGATGTCGAATTGTAGCAATTCAAACACACCATAGTGACACTTGTCACGGTTGGTTGGGAATGGTTTTTGGAACATCTTCCCGTGCTGGCAACCGCGACACACACTTGGCTCAGTTGATGAGAGAGGTGCATTGGCTTCCTTGATCATGCCGGTGGCCATCATCTTGCGCAGAGCATCGAGGGATGCATGACCCATGCGCGTGCGCAAGTCGATGGCCCCATTGTGTGTCGCTGCATTAGTCGATCGTTGAGGAGTCCGCAGCCAGTAAATTCCGTCGACGGGATCCGCTGTCATCACAACTTGCTTGGAATTCTTGCGCGTTACTTGTATCTTGGAGCCATCGAACACGACTTGGAACTTGCCACCCTTGTTGATCTGCAGTACCGAAAGCAGATCCTTGCTCATACTTGGCACGAACAGTGCTTCCTTGATCTCGATGTCGCGTCCGTCACTCCTGGGCAGAACCTCCCGTTCCATGATGGTTCCCACACCCTTGATCGCAGCCTTTGCTGCCATCAGCCACCGATAGTTTGCCTTCTTCTCGCTCATTCAGGCTTGTGAACTTGGCCTTGTCGTTGCAGATGTGATGCGTCGCACCGCTGTCGACCGCCCACATCCTTGGCATATTCTTGCCCGTTGAAAATCCAGCCTCCAGCGAAACCGCGAACGCAACTCGATCGTAGTTGTCGTCGTAGTTGCTGTGGAATCGCCACTGAACGTTGTTGGCTCCGCGTCCACGAGCATTGTTGCCGGCGCGTAGAGCTCCTCCTATATTTTCGTCCTTGTTCTTGGTCCAGTACCGCTCCGCCGTGTGCCCCAATTTGCCGCAGTACGTACACTGGCGAGGTTCACGCTCAGCACTGAACGCCTTCTCCGCGTCTCCAGTCTCCACCGATATCGTCTCGTCACCTTGTCTCTTGATGTGCTCATTTGTGAGCACATCACGACGTCTCGCGATTGCAGCGCTGCTCAACTACAAGTTCAACACGACATTCTCGTAGCGTTTAGGGAGGCTGCGCAACAAGCAGGTAGCCACGTCCTCGTCCTCCATCTTGGCGCCGATGCTGCTTATCTTCGCGCTGATGTTGAGGACTTCATGGCAATGTGATGCACCACATTGCCGCCTTCCTTCATCTCCATGCTGAACAGCTGGCGCTTCAAGTAGATTCGCCCAGCCTTCTGCGACCCACCGTACATTGTCTTCAAACGCGCTCACACGACCCACGCTTCCTCATAATCATCGACGATGTGATGGTAGTCGGCGTCCATGTGATGCAACATCAGTACGAACACGATGTTATTTGTCTTGACGTAGACGTCCATGGAGCGATCGTCCGCATAGGTCGGCGACGTCTTCCGGATCACCACGTACTACGTCGACTTAGTCAGGAACACGCCACGCATGTAGCGGCTCCATGTCGCGTGGTTGTATCCGTCGAACTTGTTGATGGAGATATTGGTAATGGTATCTTGGGCAGAGGACATCGTGCTTGGGATCATAACCTGTTGAAAGGTGCGAAGATTGGTGACCGAAACTGGGAAGGATGCTGAAAAGTCCACTCGGAAAACGAGAGAAGACACTTGGGCAGTAGATGGAAGATTGGAAAGTGATTGATTATCGGAGCTTATCTGCCTACGCCCTGATTTACATGCGTCCACAGATAAATCGGTCGGCGCGTCTAATCACCCTGCTTGTCGAATCTTTCCTGCAAAATTACCGACGTAAAAACGATCCCATAAGAACTACACAGTTCGGGTTGTTTCGATAACCTTCAATACGTCCCCTCAATTCGAACACGCACAGATGTCGAGAGCTGTCGTCAAGTTCTTGTGACGAGGTCCCGCAAGTCCCTTGGTCATGATGTCCGCCATCATCACGGAAGCCTCGCAATACTCGAGCTTCACTTCACCGCGCTTGACCTCATCACGTCAACTGTGATGGCATATTGGTCATGGTGATGCTTGGCGCGGCCGTGGTTGTGTTGAGAGGTGAAAAGCTTGACGACCGAAACTGGGAGTGATGCTGGGAGTCTACTCGGAAGACCGGAGAAGACACTTGGGGGTAGATGGAAGATTGGAAAGTGATTGATTATCGGGGCTTACTACTTACTACATGATTTATATGTGGTGCACATATAAATCATGTGAAGCGTCTCATCATCCTACGCGTCTAATCACTATAATTACCGGTAAGAACTACCCCGTAAGAACTACACAGGTCGGTTGATGGTAATTACATACGTAGAAAGGCCGTGTGGGCGTCAATCTTGTGACCGGCGACAATACTGGTAATGATGACCGGCCACCCACCGTGGTTGACCGGATTCTTGGTCATTTTGATGCAGGACTGGTTGTTTTTGTGGATCATGAGCTCGGGTCCGTCCTCGTTAGCAGCCGCCATGATCTCGCATAGTAAGCGGTGGATCCACTTGCCTTCTTGAATTGCCAGACTTAGCGCAATGTACTCCGCTTAGCTCGCCGACAGCGACACACTTGACTGCTCCTTGCTTCCCCAACTCACAGGAGCACCCATCAGTATGAAAGCCCGAAGTCGATCAGTATGAAAGTGTAACCCGAAGTTGACTTGCGATCAGCATGGTCGCCGGCCCAGACAGATCTGAGTATCCACAAAATCAATCTTGTCGCTTGGCTGGAAGCGGAGTCCGCGCGACTTGGTCCCTTGAAAATAACGAATGAACCGCCGTCCAACAGTCTTGCTGCAGATTATCCATGAAGTGTGAGAAGTACCCCACAGCATACGCGATGGCGCGTCGCAGTCGTTAAGTGCATTGGAGATACAACAGCTTCGCGAAACGGAACGTTGATCTTGGCCGATTCGCTGCTTGCGACAAGCCAAGTGCTCAAACCGACCGGACTTGCTGTGGCCGTGCACTCATATATGCCGAAACGCTTGAGGACGTCGTTGGCATACCGTCGCTGGCACATCGTCACGCTGCCATCCAAGCCGTCTACCAGTTCGAGCCAAGTACAAAAGTACACTTGCCACTGTTGGTCATCTCGAAGCGTGTCTTGAGATCAGCCTTCGTTACGCAATCAACTCGAGCGATCTGACGGTCACCAACACGCCATCCACGTAAACCAGCACGGGAACACACTGACTACCGACCACCTTGATGTATAGACATGGGTCGAACGCCGGCACTTCGAAACCGATGGAGCACACGAACACGTCGAAATTCTCGTTCCATACCCGCGAAGCTTGCTTGAGACCGTAGATCGCCTTCACCAACTCCAAACGATCAAAGTCGTCATCTTGATCGTAGGCGCCTACATCTTCTTCGTCATCTGACATCATTTCGGGAGCACTTGATCGTCGTTTCTGGTGACGGTTGGAGACGCGTTCCGGCACACTTGCTTGTTCCAACCCAGTTCGATGGTGAGATGATCGTGACATGCCGGTGCTTGCTTCACTCTTGCGCTTGCCAGTCTGCTTGTAGGTGATCTGACGCACGTCGTCATTGTTGATCGCCAGGAGGTTGAGGTCCAACTCCGCATCTTTATCGTCGTCACTTGATCGGCTCATCGAAAAGTCAAAAGTCGATTTGTCGGAGGTGAAGTCACGACTGATCACCGCTTGGCCTGCCTCAATGTCGTACACTCGGTACGCCTTTGACGCTTCTTCGTAGCCCATGAACATCCGTGCACGAGCCTTCGAGTCACACTTCATTCGCTTCACCTTTAGTGTCAGGATGTACGCTTGACATCCAAACACGCGCATGTGCTTGACGCTTGGTTTCGACTTGTACACGATCTCGAACGGAGTCTTGTGGTCGATCCTGGGTGAAGGCAGGCGGTTCTTGATGTAGATCGCCTTCATTGCCGCTTCAGCCCAGAAACACTTCTCCAGCTTGCATGATGCAACAAGCTGCGTCCGATCGTGACGATGGTCCTTATCGCGCGTTCTGCGGTGCCGTTGGTCTGGTGTGCATACGGCACCGTGATCTGTTGTTCTATACCATGATCTTCGTAGAAGGTCTTGATGGAGTTGGTCGCGAACTCGTGCGCTCCATCATGCCGAACGAACTTGATCTTCTTGCCGAACTGAGTTTGAATCTTGAGAATATAGTTCTTGGTGCAGTCTTCACTATCAGACTTGGACCGCAGACAGAAGACCTTCATGCACCCGCTGGCATCGTCGACCACAAGCAGCTAGTATCTGCTGCTGCTGATCGAGGCTTGTTATATTGGCCCGCAGATGTCGAATTGTAGCAATTCAAACACACCATAGTGACACTTGTCACGGTTGGTTGGGAATGGTTTTTGGAACATCTTCCCGTGCTGGCAACCGCGACACACACTTGGCTCAGTCGATGAGAGAGGTGCATTGGCTTCCTTGATCATGCCGGTGGCCATCATCTTGCGCAGAGCATCGAGGGATGCATGACCCATGCGCGTGCGCAAGTCGATGGCCCCATTGTGTGTCGCTGCATTAGTCGATCGTTGAGGAGTCCGCAGCCAGTAAATTCCGTCGACGGGATCCGCTGTCATCACAACTTGCTTGGAATTCTTGCGCGTTACTTGTATCTTGGACCCATCGAACACGACTTGGAACTTGCCACCCTTGTTGATCTGCAGTACCGAAAGCAGATCCTTGCTCATACTTGGCACGAACAGTGCTTCCTTGATCTCGATGTCGCGTCCGTCACTCCTGGGCAGAACCTCCCGTTCCATGATGGTTCCCACACCCTTGATCGCAGCCTTTGCTGCCATCAGCCACCGATAGTTTGCCTTCTTCTCGCTCATTCAGGCTTGTGAACTTGGCCTTGTCGTTGCAGATGTGATGCGTCGCACCGCTGTCGACCGCCCACATCCTTGGCATATTCTTGCCCGTTGAAAATCCAGCCTCCAGCGAAACCGCGAACGCAACTCGATCGTAGTTGTCGTCGTAGTTGCTGTGGAATCGCCACTGAACGTTGTTGGCTCCGCGTCCACGAGCATTGTTGCCGGCGCGTAGATTTCCTCCTATATTTTCGTCCTTGTTCTTGGTCCAGTACCGCTCCGCCGTGTGCCCCAATTTGCCGCAGTACGTACACTGGCGAGGTTCACGCTCAGCACTGAACGCCTTCTCCGCGTCTCCAGTCTCCACCGATATCGTCTCGTCACCTTGTCTCTTGATGTGCTCATTTGTGAGCACATCACGACGTCTCGCGATTGCAGCGCTGCTCAACTACAAGCTTAACACGACATTCTCGTAGCGTCTAGGGAGGCTGCGCAACAAGCAGGTAGCCACGTCCTCGTCCTCCATCTTGGCGTCGATGCTGCTTATCTTCGCGCTGATGTTGAGGACTTCATGGCAATGTGATGCACCACATTGCCGCCTTCCTTCATCTCCATGCTGAACAGCTGGCGCTTCAAGTAGATTCGCCCAGCCTTCTGCGACCCACCGTACATTGTCTTCAAACGCGCTCACACGACCCACGCTTCCTCATAATCATCGACGATGTGATGGTAGTCGGCGTCCATGTGATGCAACATCAGTACGAACACGATGTTATTTGTCTTGACGTAGACGTCCATGGAGCGATCGTCCGCATAGGTCGGCGTCGTCTTCCGGATCACCACGTACTACGTCGACTTAGTCAGGAACACGCCACGCATGTAGCGGCTCCATGTCGCGTGGTTGTATCCGTCGAACTTGTTGATGGAGATATTGGTAATGGTATCTTGGGCAGAGGACATCGTGCTTGGGCTCATAACCTGTTGAAAGGTGCGAAGATTGGTGACCGAAACTGGGAAGGATGCTGAAAAGTCCACTCGGAAGACGAGAGAAGACACTTGGGCAGTAGATGGAAGATTGGGAAAGTGATTGATTATCGGAGCTTATCTGCCTACGCCCTGATTTACATGCGTCCACAGATAAATCGGTCGGCGCGTCTAATCACCCTGCTTGTCGAATCTTTCCTGCAAAATTACCGACGTAAAAACGATCCCATAAGAACTACACAGTTCGGGTTGTTTCGATAACCTTCAATACGTCCCCTCAATTCGAACACGCACAGATGTCGAGAGCTGTCGTCAAGTTCTTGTGACGAGGTCCCGCAAGTCCCTTGGTAATGATGTCCGCCATCATCACGGAAGTCTCGCAATACTCGAGCTTCACTTCACCGCGCTTGACCTCATCACGGATGTGATGGCAATTGATGTCGATGTGCTTGGCGCGGCCGTGGTTGACCGGATTCTTGGTCATTTTGATGCAGGACTGGTTGTTTTTGTGGATCATGAGCTCGGGTCCGTCCTCGTTAGCAGCCGCCATGATCTCGCATAGTAAGCGGTGGATCCACTTGCCTTCTTGAATTGCCAGACTTAGCGCAATGTACTCCGCTTAACTCGCCGACAGCGACACACTTGACTGCTCCTTGCTTCCCCAACTCACAGGAGCACCCACCAGTATGAAAGCCCGAAGTCGATCAGTATGAAAGTGTAACCCGAAGTTGACTTGCGATCAGCATGGTCGCCGGCCCAGACAGATCTGAGTATCCACAAAATCAATCTTGTCGCTTGGCTGGAAGCGGAGTCCGCGCGACTTGGTCCCTTGAAAATAACGAATGAACCGCCGTCCAACAGTCTTGCTGCAGATTATCCATGAAGTGTGAGAAGTACCCCACAGCATACGCAATGTCGGCGCGTCGCAGTCGTTAAGTGCATTGGAGATACAACAGCTTCGCGAAACGGAACGTTGATCTTGGCCGATTCGCTGCTTGCGACAAGCCAAGTGCTCAAACCGACCGGACTTGCTGTGGCCTTGCACTCATATATGCCGAAACGCTTGAGGACGTCGTTGGCATACCGTCGCTGGCACATCGTCACGCTGCCATCCAAGCCGTCTACCAGTTCGAGCCAAGTACAAAAGTACACTTGCCACTGTTGGTCATCTCGAAGCGTGTCTTGAGATCAGCCTTCGTTACGCAATCAACTCGAGCGATCTGACGGTCACCAACACGCCATCCACGTAAACCAGCACGGGAACACACTGACTACCGACCACCTTGATGTATAGACATGGGTCGAACGCCGGCACCTCGAAACCGATGGAGCACACGAACACGTCGAAATTCTCGTTCCATACCCACGAAGCTTGCTTGAGACCGTAGATCGCCTTCACCAACTCCAAACGATCAAAGTCGTCATCTTGATCGTAGGCGCCTACATCTTCTTCGTCATCTGACATCATTTCGGGAGCACTTGATCGTCGTTTCTGGTGACGGTTGGAGACGCGTTCCGGCACACTTGCTTGTTCCAACCCAGTTCGATGGTGAGATGATCGTGACATGCCGGTGCTTGCTTCACTCTTGCGCTTGCCAGTCTGCTTGTAGGTGATCTGACGCACGTCGTCATTGTTGATCGCCAGGAGGTTGAGGTCCAACTCCGCATCTTTATCGTCGTCACTTGATCGGCTCATCGAAAAGTCAAAAGTCGATTTGTCGGAGGTGAAGTCACGACTGATCACCGCTTGGCCTGCCTCAATGTCGTACACTCGGTACGCCTTTGACGCTTCTTCGTAGCCCATGAACATCCGTACACGAGCCTTTGAGTCACACTTCATTCGCTTCAATTTTAGTGTCAGGATGTACGCTTGACATCCAAACACGCGCATGTGCTTGACGCTTGGTTTCGACTTGTACACGATCTCGAACGGAGTCTTGTGGTCGATCCTGGGTGAAGGCAGGCGGTTCTTGATGTAGATCGTCGTCATTGCCGCTTCAGCCCAGAAACACTTCTCCAGCTTGCATGATGCAACAAGCTGCGTCCGATCGTGACGATGGTCCTTATCGCGCGTTCTGCGGTGCCGTTGGTCTGGTGTGCATACGGCACCGTGATCTGTTGTTCTATACCATGATCTTCGTAGAAGGTCTTGATGGAGTTGGTCGCGAACTCGTGCGCTCCATCATGCCGAACGAACTTGATCTTCTTGCCGAACTGCGTCTGAATCTTGAGAATCTAGTTCTTGGTGCAGTATTCACTATCAGACTTGGACCGCAGACAGAAGACCTTCATGCACCCGCTGGCATCGTCGACCACAAGCAGCTAGTATCTGCTGCTGCTGATCGAGGCTTGTTATATTGGCCCGCAGATGTCGAATTGTAGCAATTCAAACACACCATAGTGACACTTGTCACGGTTGGTTGGGAATGGTTTTTGGAACATCTTCCCGTGCTGGCAACCGCGACACACACTTGGCTCAGTCGATGAGAGAGGTGCATTGGCTTCCTTGATCATGCCGGTGGCCATCATCTTGCGCAGAGCATCGAGGGATGCATGACCCATGCGCGTGCGCAAGTCGATGGCCCCATTGTGTGTCGCTGCATTAGTCGATCGTTGAGGAGTCCGCAGCCAGTAAATTCCGTCGACGGGATCCGCTGTCATCACAACTTGCTTGGAATTCTTGCGCGTTACTTGTATCTTGGACCCATCGAACACGACTTGGAACTTGCCACCCTTGTTGATCTGCAGTACCGAAAGCAGATCCTTGCTCATACTTGGCACGAACAGTGCTTCCTTGATCTCGATGTCGCGTCCGTCACTCCTGGGCAGAACCTCCCGTTCCATGATGGTTCCCACACCCTTGATCGCAGCCTTTGCTGCCATCAGCCACCGATAGTTTGCCTTCTTCTCGCTCATTCAGGCTTGTGAACTTGGCCTTGTCGTTGCAGATGTGATGCGTCGCACCGCTGTCGACCGCCCACATCCTTGGCATATTCTTGCCCGTTGAAAATCCAGCCTCCAGCGAAACCGCGAACGCAACTCGATCGTAGTTGTCGTCGTAGTTGCTGTGGAATCGCCACTGAACGTTGTTGGCTCCGCGTCCACGAGCATTGTTGCCGGCGCGTAGATTTCCTCCTATATTTTCGTCCTTGTTCTTGGTCCAGTACCGCTCCGCCGTGTGCCCCAATTTGCCGCAGTACGTACACTGGCGAGGTTCACGCTCAGCACTGAACGCCTTCTCCGCGTCTCCAGTCTCCACCGATATCGTCTCGTCACCTTGTCTCTTGATGTGCTCATTTGTGAGCACATCACGACGTCTCGCGATTGCAGCGCTGCTCAACTACAAGTTCAACACGACATTCTCGTAGCGTTTAGGGAGGCTGCGCAACAAGCAGGTAGCCACGTCCTCGTCCTCCATCTTGGCGCCGATGCTGCTTATCTTCGCGCTGATGTTGAGGACTTCATGGCAATGTGATGCACCACATTGCCGCCTTCCTTCATCTCCATGCTGAACAGCTGGCGCTTCAAGTAGATTCGCCCAGCCTTCTGCGACCCACCGTACATTGTCTTCAAACGCGCTCACACGACCCACGCTTCCTCATAATCATCGACGATGTGATGGTAGTCGGCGTCCAGGTGATGCAACATCAGTACGAACACGATGTTATTTGTCTTGACGTAGACGTCCATGGAGCGATCGTCCGCATAGGTCGGCGACGTCTTCCGGATCACCACGTACTACGTCGACTTAGTCAGGAACACGCCACGCATGTAGCGGCTCCATGTCGCGTGGTTGTATCCGTCGAACTTGTTGATGGAGATATTGGTAATGGTATCTTGGGCAGAGGACATCGTGCTTGGGCTCATAACCTGTTGAAAGGTGCGAAGATTGGTGACCGAAACTGGGAAGGATGCTGAAAAGTCCACTCGGAAGACGAGAGAAGACACTTGGGCAGTAGATGGAAGATTGGAAAGTGATTGATTATCGGAGCTTATCTGCCTACGCCCTGATTTACATGCGTCCACAGATAAATCGGTCGGCGCGTCTAATCACCCTGCTTGTCGAATCTTTCCTGCAAAATTACCGACGTAAAAACGATCCCATAAGAACTACACAGTTCGGGTTGTTTCGATAACCTTCAATACGTCCCCTCAATTCGAACACGCACAGATGTCGAGAGCTGTCGTCAAGTTCTTGTGACGAGGTCCCGCAAGTCCCTTGGTAATGATGTCCGCCATCATCACGGAAGTCTCGCAATACTCGAGCTTCACTTCACCGCGCTTGACCTCATCACGGATGTGATGGCAATTGATGTCGATGTGCTTGGCGCGGCCGTGGTTGACCGGATTCTTGGTCATTTTGATGCAGGACTGGTTGTTTTTGTGGATCATGAGCTCGGGTCCGTCCTCGTTAGCAGCCGCCATGATCTCGCATAGTAAGCGGTGGATCCACTTGCCTTCTTGAATTGCCAGACTTAGCGCAATGTACTCCGCTTAACTCGCCGACAGCGACACACTTGACTGCTCCTTGCTTCCCCAACTCACAGGAGCACCCACCAGTATGAAAGCCCGAAGTCGATCAGTATGAAAGTGTAACCCGAAGTTGACTTGCGATCAGCATGGTCGCCGGCCCAGACAGATCTGAGTATCCACAAAATCAATCTTGTCGCTTGGCTGGAAGCGGAGTCCGCGCGACTTGGTCCCTTGAAAATAACGAATGAACCGCCGTCCAACAGTCTTGCTGCAGATTATCCATGAAGTGTGAGAAGTACCCCACAGCATACGCAATGTCCGGGCGCGTCGCAGTCGTTAAGTGCATTGGAGATACAACAGCTTCGCGAAACGGAACGTTGATCTTGGCCGATTCGCTGCTTGCGACAAGCCAAGTGCTCAAACCGACCGGACTTGCTGTGGCCTTGCACTCATATATGCCGAAACGCTTGAGGACGTCGTTGGCATACCGTCGCTGGCACATCGTCACGCTGCCATCCAAGCCGTCTACCAGTTCGAGCCAAGTACAAAAGTACACTTGCCACTGTTGGTCATCTCGAAGCGTGTCTTGAGATCAGCCTTCGTTACGCAATCAACTCGAGCGATCTGACGGTCACCAACACGCCATCCACGTAAACCAGCACGGGAACACACTGACTACCGACCACCTTGATGTATAGACATGGGTCGAACGCCGGCACCTCGAAACCGATGGAGCACACGAACACGTCGAAATTCTCGTTCCATACCCACGAAGCTTGCTTGAGACCGTAGATCGCCTTCACCAACTCCAAACGATCAAAGTCGTCATCTTGATCGTAGGCGCCTACATCTTCTTCGTCATCAGACATCATTTCGGGAGCACTTGATCGTCGTTTCTGGTGACGGTTGGAGACGCGTTCCGGCACACTTGCTTGTTCCAACCCAGTTCGATGGTGAGATGATCGTGACATGCCGGTGCTTGCTTCACTCTTGCGCTTGCCAGTCTGCTTGTAGGTGATCTGACGCACGTCGTCATTGTTGATCGCCAGGAGGTTGAGGTCCAACTCCGCATCTTTATCGTCGTCACTTGATCGGCTCATCGAAAAGTCAAAAGTCGATTTGTCGGAGGTGAAGTCACGACTGATCACCGCTTGGCCTGCCTCAATGTCGTACACTCGGTACGCCTTTGACGCTTCTTCGTAGCCCATGAACATCCGTACACGAGCCTTTGAGTCACACTTCATTCGCTTCAATTTTAGTGTCAGGATGTACGCTTGACATCCAAACACGCGCATGTGCTTGACGCTTGGTTTCGACTTGTACACGATCTCGAACGGAGTCTTGTGGTCGATCCTGGGTGAAGGCAGGCGGTTCTTGATGTAGATCGTCGTCATTGCCGCTTCAGCCCAGAAACACTTCTCCAGCTTGCATGATGCAACAAGCTGCGTCCGATCGTGACGATGGTCCTTATCGCGCGTTCTGCGGTGCCGTTGGTCTGGTGTGCATACGGCACCGTGATCTGTTGTTCTATACCATGATCTTCGTAGAAGGTCTTGATGGAGTTGGTCGCGAACTCGTGCGCTCCATCATGCCGAACGAACTTGATCTTCTTGCCGAACTGAGTTTGAATCTTGAGAATATAGTTCTTGGTGCAGTCTTCACTATCAGACTTGGACCGCAGACAGAAGACCTTCATGCACCCGCTGGCATCGTCGACCACAAGCAGCTGGTATCTGCTGCTGCTGATCGAGGCTTGTTATATTGGCCCGCAGATGTCGAATTGTAGCAATTCAAACACACCATAGTGACACTTGTCACGGTTGGTTGGGAATGGTTTTTGGAACATCTTCCCGTGCTGGCAACCGCGACACACACTTGGCTCAGTCGATGAGAGAGGTGCATTGGCTTCCTTGATCATGCCGGTGGCCATCATCTTGCGCAGAGCATCGAGGGATGCATGACCCATGCGCGTGCGCAAGTCGATGGCCCCATTGTGTGTGGCTGCATTAGTCGATCGTTGAGGAGTCCGCAGCCAGTAAATTCCGTCGACGAGATCCGCTGTTGCCACAACTTGCTTGGAATTCTTGCGCGTTACTTGTATCTTGGACCCATCGAACACGACTTGGAACTTGCCACCCTTGTTGATCTGCAGTACCGAAAGCAGATCCTTGCTCATACTTGGCACGAACAGTGCTTCCTTGATCTCGATGTCGCGTCCGTCACTCCTGGGCAGAACCTCCCGTTCCATGATGGTTCCCACACCCTTGATCGCAGCCTTTGCTGCCATCAGCCACCGATAGTTTGCCTTCTTCTCGCTCATTCAGGCTTGTGAACTTGGCCTTGTCGTTGCAGATGTGATGCGTCGCACCGCTGTCGACCGCCCACATCCTTGGCATATTCTTGCCCGTTGAAAATCCAGCCTCCAGCGAAACCGCGAACGCAACTCGATCGTAGTTGTCGTCGTAGTTGCTGTGGAATCGCCACTGAACGTTGTTGGCTCCGCGTCCACGAGCATTGTTGCCGGCGCGTAGATTTCCTCCTATATTTTCGTCCTTGTTCTTGGTCCAGTACCGCTCCGCCGTGTGCCCCAATTTGCCGCAGTACGTACACTGGCGAGGTTCACGCTCAGCACTGAACGCCTTCTCCGCGTCTCCAGTCTCCACCGATATCGTCTCGTCACCTTGTCTCTTGATGTGCTCATTTGTGAGCACATCACGACGTCTCGCGATTGCAGCGCTGCTCAACTACAAGTTCAACACGACATTCTCGTAGCGTTTAGGGAGGCTGCGCAACAAGCAGGTAGCCACGTCCTCGTCCTCCATCTTGGCGCCGATGCTGCTTATCTTCGCGCTGATGTTGAGGACTTCATGGCAATGTGATGCACCACATTGCCGCCTTCCTTCATCTCCATGCTGAACAGCTGGCGCTTCAAGTAGATTCGCCCAGCCTTCTGCGACCCACCGTACATTGTCTTCAAACGCGCTCACACGACCCACGCTTCCTCATAATCATCGACGATGTGATGGTAGTCGGCGTCCAGGTGATGCAACATCAGTACGAACACGATGTTATTTGTCTTGACGTAGACGTCCATGGAGCGATCGTCCGCATAGGTCGGCGACGTCTTCCGGATCACCACGTACTACGTCGACTTAGTCAGGAACACGCCACGCATGTAGCGGCTCCATGTCGCGTGGTTGTATCCGTCGAACTTGTTGATGGAGATATTGGTAATGGTATCTTGGGCAGAGGACATCGTGCTTGGGCTCATAACCTGTTGAAAGGTGCGAAGATTGGTGACCGAAACTGGGAAGGATGCTGAAAAGTCCACTCGGAAGACGAGAGAAGACACTTGGGCAGTAGATGGAAGATTGGAAAGTGATTGATTATCGGAGCTTATCTGCCTACGCCCTGATTTACATGCGTCCACAGATAAATCGGTCGGCGCGTCTAATCACCCTGCTTGTCGAATCTTTCCTGCAAAATTACCGACGTAAAAACGATCCCATAAGAACTACACAGTTCGGGTTGTTTCGATAACCTTCAATACGTCCCCTCAATTCGAACACGCACAGATGTCGAGAGCTGTCGTCAAGTTCTTGTGACGAGGTCCCGCAAGTCCCTTTGGTAATGATGTCCGCCATCATCACGGAAGTCTCGCAATACTCGAGCTTCACTTCACCGCGCTTGACCTCATCACGGATGTGATGGCAATTGATGTCGATGTGCTTGGCGCGGCCGTGGTTGACCGGATTCTTGGTCATTTTGATGCAGGACTGGTTGTTTTTGTGGATCATGAGCTCGGGTCCGTCCTCGTTAGCAGCCGCCATGATCTCGCATAGTAAGCGGTGGATCCACTTGCCTTCTTGAATTGCCAGACTTAGCGCAATGTACTCCGCTTAACTCGCCGACAGCGACACACTTGACTGCTCCTTGCTTCCCCAACTCACAGGAGCACCCACCAGTATGAAAGCCCGAAGTCGATCAGTATGAAAGTGTAACCCGAAGTTGACTTGCGATCAGCATGGTCGCCGGCCCAGACAGATCTGAGTATCCACAAAATCAATCTTGTCGCTTGGCTGGAAGCGGAGTCCGCGCGACTTGGTCCCTTGAAAATAATGAATGAACCGCCGTCCAACAGTCTTGCTGCAGATTATCCATGAAGTGTGAGAAGTACCCCACAGCATACGCAATGTCCGGGCGCGTCGCAGTCGTTAAGTGCATTGGAGATACAACAGCTTCGCGAAACGGAACGTTGATCTTGGCCGATTCGCTGCTTGCGACAAGCCAAGTGCTCAAACCGACCGGACTTGCTGTGGCCTTGCACTCATATATGCCGAAACGCTTGAGGACGTCGTTGGCATACCGTCGCTGGCACATCGTCACGCTGCCATCCAAGCCGTCTACCAGTTCGAGCCAAGTACAAAAGTACACTTGCCACTGTTGGTCATCTCGAAGCGTGTCTTGAGATCAGCCTTCGTTACGCAATCAACTCGAGCGATCTGACGGTCACCAACACGCCATCCACGTAAACCAGCACGGGAACACACTGACTACCGACCACCTTGATGTATAGACATGGGTCGAACGCCGGCACCTCGAAACCGATGGAGCACACGAACACGTCGAAATTCTCGTTCCATACCCACGAAGCTTGCTTGAGACCGTAGATCGCCTTCACCAACTCCAAACGATCAAAGTCGTCATCTTGATCGTAGGCGCCTACATCTTCTTCGTCATCAGACATCATTTCGGGAGCACTTGATCGTCGTTTCTGGTGACGGTTGGAGACGCGTTCCGGCACACTTGCTTGTTCCAACCCAGTTCGATGGTGAGATGATCGTGACATGCCGGTGCTTGCTTCACTCTTGCGCTTGCCAGTCTGCTTGTAGGTGATCTGACGCACGTCGTCATTGTTGATCGCCAGGAGGTTGAGGTCCAACTCCGCATCTTTATCGTCGTCACTTGATCGGCTCATCGAAAAGTCAAAAGTCGATTTGTCGGAGGTGAAGTCACGACTGATCACCGCTTGGCCTGCCTCAATGTCGTACACTCGGTACGCCTTTGACGCTTCTTCGTAGCCCATGAACATCCGTACACGAGCCTTTGAGTCACACTTCATTCGCTTCAATTTTAGTGTCAGGATGTACGCTTGACATCCAAACACGCGCATGTGCTTGACGCTTGGTTTCGACTTGTACACGATCTCGAACGGAGTCTTGTGGTCGATCCTGGGTGAAGGCAGGCGGTTCTTGATGTAGATCGTCGTCATTGCCGCTTCAGCCCAGAAACACTTCTCCAGCTTGCATGATGCAACAAGCTGCGTCCGATCGTGACGATGGTCCTTATCGCGCGTTCTGCGGTGCCGTTGGTCTGGTGTGCATACGGCACCGTGATCTGTTGTTCTATACCATGATCTTCGTAGAAGGTCTTGATGGAGTTGGTCGCGAACTCGTGCGCTCCATCATGCCGAACGAACTTGATCTTCTTGCCGAACTGCGTCTGAATCTTGAGAATCTAGTTCTTGGTGCAGTATTCACTATCAGACTTGGACCGCAGACAGAAGACCTTCATGCACCCGCTGGCATCGTCGACCACAAGCAGCTAGTATCTGCTGCTGCTGATCGAGGCTTGTTATATTGGCCCGCAGATGTCGAATTGTAGCAATTCAAACACACCATAGTGACACTTGTCACGGTTGGTTGGGAATGGTTTTTGGAACATCTTCCCGTGCTGGCAACCGCGACACACACTTGGCTCAGTCGATGAGAGAGGTGCATTGGCTTCCTTGATCATGCCGGTGGCCATCATCTTGCGCAGAGCATCGAGGGATGCATGACTCATGCGCGTGCGCAAGTCGATGGCCCCATTGTGTGTGGCTGCATTAGTCGATCGTTGAGGAGTCCGCAGCCAGTAAATTCCGTCGACGGGATCCGCTGTCATCACAACTTGCTTGGAATTCTTGCGCGTTACTTGTATCTTGGACCCATCGAACACGACTTGGAACTTGCCACCCTTGTTGATCTGCAGTACCGAAAGCAGATCCTTGCTCATACTTGGCACGAACAGTGCTTCCTTGATCTCGATGTCGCGTCCGTCACTCCTTGGGCAGAACCTCCCGTTCCATGATGGTTCCCACACCCTTGATCGCAGCCTTTGCTGCCATCAGCCACCGATAGTTTGCCTTCTTCTCGCTCATTCAGGCTTGTGAACTTGGCCTTGTCGTTGCAGATGTGATGCGTCGCACCGCTGTCGACCGCCCACATCCTTGGCATATTCTTGCCCGTTGAAAATCCAGCCTCCAGCGAAACCGCGAACGCAACTCGATCGTAGTTGTCGTCGTAGTTGCTGTGGAATCGCCACTGAACGTTGTTGGCTCCGCGTCCACGAGCATTGTTGCCGGCGCGTAGATTTCCTCCTATATTTTCGTCCTTGTTCTTGGTCCAGTACCGCTCCGCCGTGTGCCCCAATTTGCCGCAGTACGTACACTGGCGAGGTTCACGCTCAGCACTGAACGCCTTCTCCGCGTCTCCAGTCTCCACCGATATCGTCTCGTCACCTTGTCTCTTGATGTGCTCATTTGTGAGCACATCACGACGTCTCGCGATTGCAGCGCTGCTCAACTACAAGTTCAACACGACATTCTCGTAGCGTTTAGGAGGCTGCGCAACAAGCAGGTCGCCACGTCCTCGTCCTCCATCTTGGCGCCGATGCTGCTTATCTTCGCGCTGGATGTTGAGGACTTCATGGTAATGTGATGCACCACATTGCCGCCTTCCTTCATCTCCATGCTGAACAGCTGGCGCTTCAAGTAGATTCGCCCAGCCTTCTGCGACCCACCGTACATTGTCTTCAAACGCGCTCACACGACCCACGCTTCCTCATAATCATCGACGATGTGATGGTAGTCGGCGTCCAGGTGATGCAACATCAGTACGAACACGATGTTATTTGTCTTGACGTAGACGTCCATGGAGCGATCGTCCGCATAGGTCGGCGACGTCTTCCGGATCACCACGTACTACGTCGACTTAGTCAGGAACACGCCACGCATGTAGCGGCTCCATGTCGCGTGGTTGTATCCGTCGAACTTGTTGATGGAGATATTGGTAATGGTATCTTGGGCAGAGGACATCGTGCTTGGGCTCATAACCTGTTGAAAGGTGCGAAGATTGGTGACCGAAACTGGGAAGGATGCTGAAAAGTCCACTCGGAAGACGAGAGAAGACACTTGGGCAGTAGATGGAAGATTGGAAAGTGATTGATTATCGGAGCTTATCTGCCTACGCCCTGATTTACATGCGTCCACAGATAAATCGGTCGGCGCGTCTAATCACCCTGCTTGTCGAATCTTTCCTGCAAAATTACCGACGTAAAAACGATCCCATAAGAACTACACAGTTCGGGTTGTTTCGATAACCTTCAATACGTCCCCTCAATTCGAACACGCACAGATGTCGAGAGCTGTCGTCAAGTTCTTGTGACGAGGTCCCGCAAGTCCCTTGGTAATGATGTCCGCCATCATCACGGAAGTCTCGCAATACTCGAGCTTCACTTCACCGCGCTTGACCTCATCACGGATGTGATGGCAATTGATGTCGATGTGCTTGGCGCGGCCGTGGTTGACCGGATTCTTGGTCATTTTGATGCAGGACTGGTTGTTTTTGTGGATCATGAGCTCGGGTCCGTCCTCGTTAGCAGCCGCCATGATCTCGCATAGTAAGCGGTGGATCCACTTGCCTTCTTGAATTGCCAGACTTAGCGCAATGTACTCCGCTTAACTCGCCGACAGCGACACACTTGACTGCTCCTTGCTTCCCCCAACTCACAGGAGCACCCACCAGTATGAAAGCCCGAAGTCGATCAGTATGAAAGTGTAACCCGAAGTTGACTTGCGATCAGCATGGTCGCCGGCCCAGACAGATCTGAGTATCCACAAAATCAATCTTGTCGCTTGGCTGGAAGCGGAGTCCGCGCGACTTGGTCCCTTGAAAATAACGAATGAACCGCCGTCCAACAGTCTTGCTGCAGATTATCCATGAAGTGTGAGAAGTACCCCACAGCATACGCAATGTCCGGGCGCGCTCGCAGTCGTTAAGTGCATTGGAGATACAACAGCTTCGCGAAACGGAACGTTGATCTTGGCCGATTCGCTGCTTGCGACAAGCCAAGTGCTCAAACCGACCGGACTTGCTGTGGCCTTGCACTCATATATGCCGAAACGCTTGAGGACGTCGTTGGCATACCGTCGCTGGCACATCGTCACGCTGCCATCCAAGCCGTCTACCAGTTCGAGCCAAGTACAAAAGTACACTTGCCACTGTTGGTCATCTTGAAGCGTGTCTTGAGATCAGCCTTCGTTACGCAATCAACTCGAGCGATCTGACGGTCACCAACACGCCATCCACGTAAACCAGCACGGGAACACACTGACTACCGACCACCTTGATGTATAGACATGGGTCGAACGCCGGCACCTCGAATCCGATGGAGCACACGAACACGTCGAAATTCTCGTTCCATACCCACGAAGCTTGCTTGAGACCGTAGATCGCCTTCACCAACTCCAAACGATCAAAGTCGTCATCTTGATCGTAGGCGCCTACATCTTCTTCGTCATCAGACATCATTTCGGGAGCACTTGATCGTCGTTTCTGGTGACGGTTGGAGACGCGTTCCGGCACACTTGCTTGTTCCAACCCAGTTCGATGGTGAGATGATCGTGACATGCCGGTGCTTGCTTCACTCTTGCGCTTGCCAGTCTGCTTGTAGGTGATCTGACGCACGTCGTCATTGTTGATCGCCAGGAGGTTGAGGTCCAACTCCGCATCTTTATCGTCGTCACTTGATCGGCTCATCGAAAAGTCAAAAGTCGATTTGTCGGAGGTGAAGTCACGACTGATCACCGCTTGGCCTGCCTCAATGTCGTACACTCGGTACGCCTTTGACGCTTCTTCGTAGCCCATGAACATCCGTACACGAGCCTTTGAGTCACACTTCATTCGCTTCAATTTTAGTGTCAGGATGTACGCTTGACATCCAAACACGCGCATGTGCTTGACGCTTGGTTTCGACTTGTACACGATCTCGAACGGAGTCTTGTGGTCGATCCTGGGTGAAGGCAGGCGGTTCTTGATGTAGATCGTCGTCATTGCCGCTTCAGCCCAGAAACACTTCTCCAGCTTGCATGATGCAACAAGCTGCGTCCGATCGTGACGATGGTCCTTATCGCGCGTTCTGCGGTGCCGTTGGTCTGGTGTGCATACGGCACCGTGATCTGTTGTTCTATACCATGATCTTCGTAGAAGGTCTTGATGGAGTTGGTCGCGAACTCGTGCGCTCCATCATGCCGAACGAACTTGATCTTCTTGCCGAACTGCGTCTGAATCTTGAGAATCTAGTTCTTGGTGCAGTATTCACTATCAGACTTGGACCGCAGACAGAAGACCTTCATGCACCCGCTGGCATCGTCGACCACAAGCAGCTAGTATCTGCTGCTGCTGATCGAGGCTTGTTATATTGGCCCGCAGATGTCGAATTGTAGCAATTCAAACACACCATAGTGACACTTGTCACGGTTGGTTGGGAATGGTTTTTGGAACATCTTCCCGTGCTGGCAACCGCGACACACACTTGGCTCAGTCGATGAGAGAGGTGCATTGGCTTCCTTGATCATGCCGGTGGCCATCATCTTGCGCAGAGCATCGAGGGATGCATGACCCATGCGCGTGCGCAAGTCGATGGCCCCATTGTGTGTCGCTGCATTAGTCGATCGTTGAGGAGTCCGCAGCCAGTAAATTCCGTCGACGGGATCCGCTGTCATCACAACTTGCTTGGAATTCTTGCGCGTTACTTGTATCTTGGACCCATCGAACACGACTTGGAACTTGCCACCCTTGTTGATCTGCAGTACCGAAAGCAGATCCTTGCTCATACTTGGCACGAACAGTGCTTCCTTGATCTCGATGTCGCGTCCGTCACTCCTGGGCAGAACCTCCCGTTCCATGATGGTTCCCACACCCTTGATCGCAGCCTTTGCTGCCATCAGCCACCGATAGTTTGCCTTCTTCTCGCTCATTCAGGCTTGTGAACTTGGCCTTGTCGTTGCAGATGTGATGCGTCGCACCGCTGTCGACCGCCCACATCCTTGGCATATTCTTGCCCGTTGAAAATCCAGCCTCCAGCGAAACCGCGAACGCAACTCGATCGTAGTTGTCGTCGTAGTTGCTGTGGAATCGCCACTGAACGTTGTTGGCTCCGCGTCCACGAGCATTGTTGCCGGCGCGTAGATTTCCTCCTATATTTTCGTCCTTGTTCTTGGTCCAGTACCGCTCCGCCGTGTGCCCCAATTTGCCGCAGTACGTACACTGGCGAGGTTCACGCTCAGCACTGAACGCCTTCTCCGCGTCTCCAGTCTCCACCGATATCGTCTCGTCACCTTGTCTCTTGATGTGCTCATTTGTGAGCACATCACGACGTCTCGCGATTGCAGCGCTGCTCAACTACAAGCTTAACACGACATTCTCGTAGCGTTTAGGGAGGCTGCGCAACAAGCAGGTCGCCACGTCCTCGTCCTCCATCTTGGCGCCGATGCTGCTTATCTTCGCGCTGATGTTGAGGACTTCATGGTAATGTGATGCACCACATTGCCGCCTTCCTTCATCTCCATGCTGAACAGCTGGCGCTTCAAGTAGATTCGCCCAGCCTTCTGCGACCCACCGTACATTGTCTTCAAACGCGCTCACACGACCCACGCTTCCTCATAATCATCGACGATGTGATGGTAGTCGGCGTCCAGGTGATGCAACATCAGTACGAACACGATGTTATTTGTCTTGACGTAGACGTCCATGGAGCGATCGTCCGCATAGGTCGGCGACGTCTTCCGGATCACCACGTACTACGTCGACTTAGTCAGGAACACGCCACGCATGTAGCGGCTCCATGTCGCGTGGTTGTATCCGTCGAACTTGTTGATGGAGATATTGGTAATGGTATCTTGGGCAGAGGACATCGTGCTTGGGCTCATAACCTGTTGAAAGGTGCGAAGATTGGTGACCGAAACTGGGAAGGATGCTGAAAAGTCCACTCGGAAGACGAGAGAAGACACTTGGGCAGTAGATGGAAGATTGGAAAGTGATTGATTATCGGAGCTTATCTGCCTACGCCCTGATTTACATGCGTCCACAGATAAATCGGTCGGCGCGTCTAATCACCCTGCTTGTCGAATCTTTCCTGCAAAATTACCGACGTAAAAACGATCCCATAAGAACTACACAGTTCGGGTTGTTTCGATAACCTTCAATACGTCCCCTCAATTCGAACACGCACAGATGTCGAGAGCTGTCGTCAAGTTCTTGTGACGAGGTCCCGCAAGTCCCTTGGTAATGATGTCCGCCATCATCACGGAAGTCTCGCAATACTCGAGCTTCACTTCACCGCGCTTGACCTCATCACGGATGTGATGGCAATTGATGTCGATGTGCTTGGCGCGGCCGTGGTTGACCGGATTCTTGGTCATTTTGATGCAGGACTGGTTGTTTTTGTGGATCATGAGCTCGCGGGTCCGTCCTCGTTAGCAGCCGCCATGATCTCGCATAGTAAGCGGTGGATCCACTTGCCTTCTTGAATTGCCAGACTTAGCGCAATTTCTCCGCTTAACTCGCCGACAGCGACACACTTGACTGCTCCTTGCTTCCCCAACTCACAGGAGCACCCACCAGTATGAAAGCCCGAAGTCGATCAGTATGAAAGTGTAACCCGAAGTTGACTTGCGATCAGCATGGTCGCCGGCCCAGACAGATCTGAGTATCCACAAAATCAATCTTGTCGCTTGGCTGGAAGCGGAGTCCGCGCGACTTGGTCCCTTGAAAATAACGAATGAACCGCCGTCCAACAGTCTTGCTGCAGATTATCCATGAAGTGTGAGAAGTACCCCACAGCATACGCAATGTCCGGGCGCGTCGCAATCGTTAAGTGCATTGGAGATACAACAGCTTCGCGAAACGGAACGTTGATCTTGGCCGATTCGCTGCTTGCGACAAGCCAAGTGCTCAAACCGACCGGACTTGCTGTGGCCTTGCACTCATATATGCCGAAACGCTTGAGGACGTCGTTGGCATACCGTCGCTGGCACATCGTCACGCTGCCATCCAAGCCGTCTACCAGTTCGAGCCAAGTACAAAAGTACACTTGCCACTGTTGGTCATCTCGAAGCGTGTCTTGAGATCAGCCTTCGTTACGCAATCAACTCGAGCGATCTGACGGTCACCAACACGCCATCCACGTAAACCAGCACGGGAACACACTGACTACCGACCACCTTGATGTATAGACATGGGTCGAACGCCGGCACCTCGAAACCGATGGAGCACACGAACACGTCGAAATTCTCGTTCCATACCCACGAAGCTTGCTTGAGACCGTAGATCGCCTTCACCAACTCCAAACGATCAAAGTCGTCATCTTGATCGTAGGCGCCTACATCTTCTTCGTCATCAGACATCATTTCGGGAGCACTTGATCGTCGTTTCTGGTGACGGTTGGAGACGCGTTCCGGCACACTTGCTTGTTCCAACCCAGTTCGATGGTGAGATGATCGTGACATGCCGGTGCTTGCTTCACTCTTGCGCTTGCCAGTCTGCTTGTAGGTGATCTGACGCACGTCGTCATTGTTGATCGCCAGGAGGTTGAGGTCCAACTCCGCATCTTTATCGTCGTCACTTGATCGGCTCATCGAAAAGTCAAAAGTCGATTTGTCGGAGGTGAAGTCACGACTGATCACCGCTTGGCCTGCCTCAATGTCGTACACTCGGTACGCCTTTGACGCTTCTTCGTAGCCCATGAACATCCGTACACGAGCCTTTGAGTCACACTTCATTCGCTTCAATTTTAGTGTCAGGATGTACGCTTGACATCCAAACACGCGCATGTGCTTGACGCTTGGTTTCGACTTGTACACGATCTCGAACGGAGTCTTGTGGTCGATCCTGGGTGAAGGCAGGCGGTTCTTGATGTAGATCGTCGTCATTGCCGCTTCAGCCCAGAAACACTTCTCCAGCTTGCATGATGCAACAAGCTGCGTCCGATCGTGACGATGGTCCTTATCGCGCGTTCTGCGGTGCCGTTGGTCTGGTGTGCATACGGCACCGTGATCTGTTGTTCTATACCATGATCTTCGTAGAAGGTCTTGATGGAGTTGGTCGCGAACTCGTGCGCTCCATCATGCCGAACGAACTTGATCTTCTTGCCGAACTGAGTTTGAATCTTGAGAATATAGTTCTTGGTGCAGTCTTCACTATCAGACTTGGACCGCAGACAGAAGACCTTCATGCACCCGCTGGCATCGTCGACCACAAGCAGCTATTATCTGCTGCCGCCGATCGAGACTTGTTACATTGGCCCGCAGATGTCGAATTGTAGCAATTCAAACACACCATAGTGACACTTGTCACGTTTGGTTGGGAATGGTTTTTGGAACATCTTCCCGTGCTGGCAACCGCGACACACACTTGGCTCAGTCGATGAGAGAGGTGCATTGGCTTCCTTGATCATGCCGGTGGCCATCATCTTGCGCAGAGCATCGAGGGATGCATGACCCATGCGCGTGCGCAAGTCGATGGCCCCATTGTGTGTCGCTGCATTAGTCGATCGTTGAGGAGTCCGCAGCCAGTAAAGTCCATCGACGAGATCCGCTGTTGCCACGACTTGTGTGGAATTCTTGCGCGTTACTTGTATCTTGGACCCATCGAACACGACTTGGAACTTGCCACCCTTGTTGATCTGCAGTACCGAAAGCAGATCCTTGCTCATACTTGGCACGAACAGTGCTTCCTTGATCTCGATGTCGCGTCCGTCACTCCTGGGCAGAACCTCCCGTTCCATGATGGTTCCCACACCCTTGATCGCAGCCTTTGCTGCCATCAGCCACCGATAGTTTGCCTTCTTCTCGCTCATTCAGGCTTGTGAACTTGGCCTTGTCGTTGCAGATGTGATGCGTCGCACCGCTGTCGACCGCCCACATCCTTGGCATATTCTTGCCCGTTGAAAATCCAGCCTCCAGCGAAACCGCGAACGCAACTCGATCGTAGTTGTCGTCGTAGTTGCTGTGGAATCGCCACTGAACGTTGTTGGCTCCGCGTCCACGAGCATTGTTGCCGGCGCGTAGATTTCCCTCCTATATTTTCGTCCTTGTTCTTGGTCCAGTACCGCTCCGCCGTGTGCCCCAATTTGCCGCAGTACGTACACTGGCGAGGTTCACGCTCAGCACTGAACGCCTTCTCCGCGTCTCCAGTCTCCACCGATATCGTCTCGTCACCTTGTCTCTTGATGTGCTCATTTGTGAGCACATCACGACGTCTCGCGATTGCAGCGCTGCTCAACTACAAGTTCAACACGACATTCTCGTAGCGTTTAGGGAGGCTGCTCAACAAGCAGGTCGCCACGTCCTCGTCCTCCATCTTGGCGCCGATGCTGTCTATCTTCACGCTGATGTTGAGGACTTCATGGCAATGTGATGCACCACATTGCCGCCTTCCTTCATCTCCATGCTGAACAGCTGGCGCTTCAAGTAGATTCGCCCAGCCTTCTGCGACCCACCGTACATTGTCTTCAAACGCGCTCACACGACCCACGCTTCCTCATAATCATCGACGATGTGATGGTAGTCGGCGTCCAGGTGATGCAACATCAGTACGAACACGATGTTATTTGTCTTGACGTAGACGTCCATGGAGCGATCGTCCGCATAGGTCGGCGACGTCTTCCGGATCACCACGTACTACGTCGACTTAGTCAGGAACACGCCACGCATGTAGCGGCTCCATGTCGCGTGGTTGTATCCGTCGAACTTGTTGATGGAGATATTGGTAATGGTATCTTGGGCAGAGGACATCGTGCTTGGGCTCATAACCTGTTGAAAGGTGCGAAGATTGGTGACCGAAACTGGGAAGGATGCTGAAAAGTCCACTCGGAAGACGAGAGAAGACACTTGGGCAGTAGATGGAAGATTGGAAAGTGATTGATTATCGGAGCTTATCTGCCTACGCCCTGATTTACATGCGTCCACAGATAAATCGGTCGGCGCGTCTAATCACCCTGCTTGTCGAATCTTTCCTGCAAAATTACCGACGTAAAAACGATCCCATAAGAACTACACAGTTCGGGTTGTTTCGATAACCTTCAATACGTCCCCTCAATTCGAACACGCACAGATGTCGAGAGCTGTCGTCAAGTTCTTGTGACGAGGTCCCGCAAGTCCCTTGGTAATGATGTCCGCCATCATCACGGAAGTCTCGCAATACTCGAGCTTCACTTCACCGCGCTTGACCTCATCACGGATGTGATGGCAATTGATGTCGATGTGCTTGGCGCGGCCGTGGTTGACCGGATTCTTGGTCATTTTGATGCAGGACTGGTTGTTTTTGTGGATCATGAGCTCGGGTCCGTCCTCGTTAGCAGCCGCCATGATCTCGCATAGTAAGCGGTGGATCCACTTGCCTTCTTGAATTGCCAGACTTAGCGCAATGTACTCCGCTTAACTCGCCGACAGCGACACACTTGACTGCTCCTTGCTTCCCCAACTCACAGGAGCACCCACCAGTATGAAAGCCCGAAGTCGATCAGTATGAAAGTGTAACCCGAAGTTGACTTGCAATCAGCATGGTCGCCGGCCCAGACAGATCTGAGTATCCACAAAATCAATCTTGTCGCTTGGCTGGAAGCGGAGTCCGCGCGACTTGGTCCCTTGAAAATAACGAATGAACCGCCGTCCAACAGTCTTGCTGCAGATTATCCATGAAGTGTGAGAAGTACCCCACAGCATACGCAATGTCCGGGCGCGTCGCAGTCGTTAAGTGCATTGGAGATACAACAGCTTCGCGAAACGGAACGTTGATCTTGGCCGATTCGCTGCTTGCGACAAGCCAAGTGCTCAAACCGACCGGACTTGCTGTGGCCTTGCACTCATATATGCCGAAACGCTTGAGGACGTCGTTGGCATACCGTCGCTGGCACATCGTCACGCTGCCATCCAAGCCGTCTACCAGTTCGAGCCAAGTACAAAAGTACACTTGCCACTGTTGGTCATCTCGAAGCGTGTCTTGAGATCAGCCTTCGTTACGCAATCAACTCGAGCGATCTGACGGTCACCAACACGCCATCCACGTAAACCAGCACGGGAACACACTGACTACCGACCACCTTGATGTATAGACATGGGTCGAACGCCGGCACCTCGAAACCGATGGAGCACACGAACACGTCGAAATTCTCGTTCCATACCCACGAAGCTTGCTTGAGACCGTAGATCGCCTTCACCAACTCCAAACGATCAAAGTCGTCATCTTGATCGTAGGCGCCTACATCTTCTTCGTCATCTGACATCATTTCGGGAGCACTTGATCGTCGTTTCTGGTGACGGTTGGAGACGCGTTCCGGCACACTTGCTTGTTCCAACCCAGTTCGATGGTGAGATGATCGTGACATGCCGGTGCTTGCTTCACTCTTGCGCTTGCCAGTCTGCTTGTAGGTGATCTGACGCACGTCGTCATTGTTGATCGCCAGGAGGTTGAGGTCCAACTCCGCATCTTTATCATCGTCACTTGATCGGCTCATCGAAAAGTCAAAAGTCGATTTGTCGGAGGTGAAGTCACGACTGATCACCGCTTGGCCTGCCTCAATGTCGTACACTCGGTACGCCTTTGACGCTTCTTCGTAGCCCATGAACATCCGTACACGAGCCTTTGAGTCACACTTCATTCGCTTCAATTTTAGTGTCAGGATGTACGCTTGACATCCAAACACGCGCATGTGCTTGACGCTTGGTTTCGACTTGTACACGATCTCGAACGGAGTCTTGTGGTCGATCCTGGGTGAAGGCAGGCGGTTCTTGATGTAGCTCGTCGTCATTGCCGCTTCAGCCCAGAAACACTTCTCCAGCTTGCATGATGCAACAAGCTGCGTCCGATCGTGACGATGGTCCTTATCGCGCGTTCTGCGGTGCCGTTGGTCTGGTGTGCATACGGCACCGTGATCTGTTGTTCTATACCATGATCTTCGTAGAAGGTCTTGATGGAGTTGGTCGCGAACTCGTGCGCTCCATCATGCCGAACGAACTTGATCTTCTTGCCGAACTGCGTCTGAATCTTGAGAATATAGTTCTTGGTGCAGTCTTCACTATCAGACTTGGACCGCAGACAGAAGACCTTCATGCACCCGCTGGCATCGTCGACCACAAGCAGCTATTATCTGCTGCCGCCGATCGAGGCTTGTTATATTGGCCCGCAGATGTCGAATTGTAGCAATTCAAACACACCATAGTGACACTTGTCACGTTTGGTTGGGAATGGTTTTTGGAACATCTTCCCGTGCTGGCAACCGCGACACACACTTGGCTCAGTTGATGAGAGAGGTGCATTGGCTTCCTTGATCATGCCGGTGGCCATCATCTTGCGCAGAGCATCGAGGGATGCATGACCCATGTGCGTGCGCAAGTCGATGGCCCCATTGTGTGTCGCTGCATTAGTCGATCGTTGAGGAGTCCGCAGCCAGTAAATTCCGTCGACGGGATCCGCTGTCATCACAACTTGCTTGGAATTCTTGCGCGTTACTTGTATCTTGGACCCATCGAACACGACTTGGAACTTGCCACCCTTGTTGATCTGCAGTACCGAAAGCAGATCCTTGCTCATACTTGGCACGAACAGTGCTTCCTTGATCTCGATGTCGCGTCCGTCACTCCTGGGCAGAACCTCCCGTTCCATGATGGTTCCCACACCCTTGATCGCAGCCTTTGCTGCCATCAGCCACCGATAGTTTGCCTTCTTCTCGCTCATTCAGGCTTGTGAACTTGGCCTTGTCGTTGCAGATGTGATGCGTCGCACCGCTGTCGACCGCCCACATCCTTGGCATATTCTTGCCCGTTGAAAATCCAGCCTCCAGCGAAACCGCGAACGCAACTCGATCGTAGTTGTCGTCGTAGTTGCTGTGGAATCGCCACTGAACGTTGTTGGCTCCGCGTCCACGAGCATTGTTGCCGGCGCGTAGATCTCCTCCTATATTTTCGTCCTTGTTCTTGGTCCAGCACCGCTCCGCCGTGTGCCCCAATTTGCCGCAGTACGTACACTGGCGAGGTTCACGCTCAGCACTGAACGCCTTCTCCGCGTCTCCAGTCTCCACCGATATCGTCTCGTCACCTTGTCTCTCGATGTGCTCATTTGTGAGCACATCACGACGTCTCGCGATTGCAGCGCTGCTCAACTACAAGTTCAGCACGACATTCTCGTAGCGTTTAGGGAGGCTGCGCAACAAGCAGGTCGCCACGTCCTCGTCCTCCATCTTGGCGCCGATGCTGCTTATCTTCGCGCTGATGTTGAGGACTTCATGGCAATGTGATGCACCACATTGCCGCCTTCCTTCATCTCCATGCTGAACAGCTGGCGCTTCAAGTAGATTCGCCCAGCCTTCTGCGACCCACCGTACATTGTCTTCAAACGCGCTCACACGACCCACGCTTCCTCATAATCATCGACGATGTGATGGTAGTCGGCGTCCATGTGATGCAACATCAGTACGAACACGATGTTATTTGTCTTGACGTAGACGTCCATGGAGCGATCGTCCGCATAGGTCGGCGACGTCTTCCGGATCACCACGTACTACGTCGACTTAGTCAGGAACACGCCACGCATGTAGCGGCTCCATGTCGCGTGGTTGTATCCGTCGAACTTGTTGATGGAGATATTGGTAATGGTATCTTGGGCAGAGGACATCGTGCTTGGGCTCATAACCTGTTGAAAGGTGCGAAGATTGGTGACCGAAACTGGGAAGGATGCTGAAAAGTCCACTCGGAAGACGAGAGAAGACACTTGGGCAGTAGATGGAAGATTGGAAAGTGATTGATTATCGGAGCTTATCTGCCTACGCCCTGATTTACATGCGTCCACAGATAAATCGGTCGGCGCGTCTAATCACCCTGCTTGTCGAATCTTTCCTGCAAAATTACCGACGTAAAAACGATCCCATAAGAACTACACAGTTCGGGTTGTTTCGATAACCTTCAATACGTCCCCTCAGTTCGAACACGCACAGATGTCGAGAGCTGTCGTCAAGTTCTTGTGACGAGGTCCCGCAAGTCCCTTGGTAATGATATCCGCCATCATCACGGAAGTCTCGCAATACTCGAGCTTCACTTCACCGCGCTTGACCTCATCACGGATGTGATGGCAATTGATGTCGATGTGCTTGGCGCGGCCGTGGTTGACCGGATTCTTGGTCATTTTGATGCAGGACTGGTTGTTTTTGTGGATCATGAGCTCGGGTCCGTCCTCGTTAGCAGCCGCCATGATCTCGCATAGTAAGCGGTGGATCCACTTGCCTTCTTGAATTGCCAGACTTAGCGCAATGTACTCCGCTTAACTCGCCGACAGCGACACACTTGACTGCTCCTTGCTTCCCCAACTCACAGGAGCACCCACCAGTATGAAAGCCCGAAGTCGATCAGTATGAAAGTGTAACCCGAAGTTGACTTGCGATCAGCATGGTCGCCGGCCCAGACAGATCTGAGTATCCACAAAATCAATCTTGTCGCTTGGCTGGAAGCGGAGTCCGCGCGACTTGGTCCCTTGAAAATAACGAATGAACCGCCGTCCAACAGTCTTGCTGCAGATTATCCATGAAGTGTGAGAAGTACCCCACAGCATACGCAATGTCCGGGCGCGTCGCAGTCGTTAAGTGCATTGGAGATACAACAGCTTCGCGAAACGGAACGTTGATCTTGGCCGATTCGCTGCTTGCGACAAGCCAAGTGCTCAAACCGACCGGACTTGCTGTGGCCTTGCACTCATATATGCCGAAACGCTTGAGGACGTCGTTGGCATACCGTCGCTGGCACATCGTCACGCTGCCATCCAAGCCGTCTACCAGTTCGAGCCAAGTACAAAAGTACACTTGCCACTGTTGGTCATCTCGAAGCGTGTCTTGAGATCAGCCTTCGTTACGCAATCAACTCGAGCGATCTGACGGTCACCAACACGCCATCCACGTAAACCAGCACGGGAACACACTGACTACCGACCACCTTGATGTATAGACATGGGTCGAACGCCGGCACCTCGAAACCGATGGAGCACACGAACACGTCGAAATTCTCGTTCCATACCCACGAAGCTTGCTTGAGACCGTAGATCGCCTTCACCAACTCCAAACGATCAAAGTCGTCATCTTGATCGTAGGCGCCTACATCTTCTTCGTCATCAGACATCATTTCGGGAGCACTTGATCGTCGTTTCTGGTGACGGTTGGAGACGCGTTCCGGCACACTTGCTTGTTCCAACCCAGTTCGATGGTGAGATGATCGTGACATGCCGGTGCTTGCTTCACTCTTGCGCTTGCCAGTCTGCTTGTAGGTGATCTGACGCACGTCGTCATTGTTGATCGCCAGGAGGTTGAGGTCCAACTCCGCATCTTTATCATCGTCACTTGATCGGCTCATCGAAAAGTCAAAAGTCGATTTGTCGGAGGTGAAGTCACGACTGATCACCGCTTGGCCTGCCTCAATGTCGTACACTCGGTACGCCTTTGACGCTTCTTCGTAGCCCATGAACATCCGTACACGAGCCTTTGAGTCACACTTCATTCGCTTCAATTTTAGTGTCAGGATGTACGCTTGACATCCAAACACGCGCATGTGCTTGACGCTTGGTTTCGACTTGTACACGATCTCGAACGGAGTCTTGTGGTCGATCCTGGGTGAAGGCAGGCGGTTCTTGATGTAGATCGCCTTCATTGCCGCTTCAGCCCAGAAATGCTTTTCCAGATTTGCATGGTGCAGCAAGCTGCGTCCAATCGTGACGATGGTCCGTATCGCGCGTTTTGCAGTGCCGTTGGTCTGGTGTGCATACGGCACCGTGACCTGCTGCTCTATACCTTGATCTTCGTAGAAGGTCTTGATCGAGTTGGTCGCGAACTCGTGCGCTCCATCATGCCGAACGAACTTGATCTTCTTGCCGAACTGCGTCTGAATCTGGAGAATATAGTTCTTGGTGCAGTCTTCACTATCAGACTTGGACCGCAGACAGAAGACCTTCATGCACCCGCTGGGATCGTCGACCACAAGCAGCTAGTATCTGCTGCTGCTGATCGAGGCTTGTTATATTGGCCCGCAGATGTCGAATTGTAGCAATTCAAACACACCATAGTGACACTTGTCACGGTTGGTTGGGAATGGTTTTTGGAACATCTTCCCGTGCTGGCAACCGCGACACACACTTGGCTCAGTCGATGAGAGAGGTGCATTGGCTTCCTTGATCATGCCGGTGGCCATCATCTTGCGCAGAGCATCGAGGGATGCATGACCCATGCGCGTGCGCAAGTCGATGGCCCCATTGTGTGTCGCTGCATTAGTCGATCGTTGAGGAGTCCGCAGCCAGTAAATTCCGTCGACGGGATCCGCTGTCATCACAACTTGCTTGGAATTCTTGCGCGTTACTTGTATCTTGGACCCATCGAACACGACTTGGAACTTGCCACCCTTGTTGATCTGCAGTACCGAAAGCAGATCCTTGCTCATACTTGGCACGAACAGTGCTTCCTTGATCTCGATGTCGCGTCCGTCACTCCTGGGCAGAACCTCCCGTTCCATGATGGTTCCCACACCCTTGATCGCAGCCTTTGCTGCCATCAGCCACCGATAGTTTGCCTTCTTCTCGCTCATTCAGGCTTGTGAACTTGGCCTTGTCGTTGCAGATGTGATGCGTCGCACCGCTGTCGACCGCCCACATCCTTGGCATATTCTTGCCCGTTGAAAATCCAGCCTCCAGCGAAACCGCGAACGCAACTCGATCGTAGTTGTCGTCGTAGTTGCTGTGGAATCGCCACTGAACGTTGTTGGCTCCGCGTCCACGAGCATTGTTGCCGGCGCGTAGATCTCCTCCTATATTTTCGTCCTTGTTCTTGGTCCAGCACCGCTCCGCCGTGTGCCCCAATTTGCCGCAGTACGTACACTGGCGAGGTTCACGCTTAGCACTGAACGCCTTCTCCGCGTCTCCAGTCTCCACCGATATCGTCTCGTCACCTTGTCTCTTGATGTGCTCATTTGTGAGCACATCACGACGTCTCGCGATCGCAGCGCTGCTCAACTACAAGTTCAACACGACATTCTCGTAGCGTTTAGGGAAGCTGCGCAACAAGCAGGTCGCCACGTCCTCGTCCTCCATCTTGGCGCCGATGCTGTCTATCTTCACGCTGATGTTGAGGACTTCATGGCAATGTGATGCACCACATTGCCGCCTTCCTTCATCTCCATGCTGAACAGCTGGCGCTTCAAGTAGATTCGCCCAGCCTTCTGCGACCCACCGTACATTGTCTTCAAACGCGCTCACACGACCCACGCTTCCTCATAATCATCGACGATGTGATGGTAGTCGGCGTCCATGTGATGCAACATCAGTACGAACACGATGTTATTTGTCTTGACGTAGACGTCCATGGAGCGATCGTCCGCATAGGTCGGCGACGTCTTCCGGATCACCACGTACTACGTCGACTTAGTCAGGAACACGCCACGCATGTAGCGGCTCCATGTCGCGTGGTTGTATCCGTCGAACTTGTTGATGGAGATATTGGTAATGGTATCTTGGGCAGAGGACATCGTGCTTGGGCTCATAACCTGTTGAAAGGTGCGAAGATTGGTGACCGAAACTGGGAAGGATGCTGAAAAGTCCACTCGGAAGACGAGAGAAGACACTTGGGCAGTAGATGGAAGATTGGAAAGTGATTGATTATCGGAGCTTATCTGCCTACGCCCTGATTTACATGCGTCCACAGATAAATCGGTCGGCGCGTCTAATCACCCTGCTTGTCGAATCTTTCCTGCAAAATTACCGACGTAAAAACGATCCCATAAGAACTACACAGTTCGGGTTGTTTCGATAACCTTCAATACGTCCCCTCAATTCGAACACGCACAGATGTCGAGAGCTGTCGTCAAGTTCTTGTGACGAGGTCCCGCAAGTCCCTTGGTCATGATGTCCGCCATCATCACGGAAGTCTCGCAATACTCGAGCTTCACTTCACCGCGCTTGACCTCATCACGGATGTGATGGCAATTGATGTCGATGTGCTTGGCGCGGTCGTGGTTGACCGGATTCTTGGTCATTTTGATGCAGGACTGGTTGTTTTTGTGGATCATGAGCTCGGGTCCGTCCTCGTTAGCAGCCGCCATGATCTCGCATAGTAAGCGGTGGATCCACTTGCCTTCTTGAATTGCCAGACTTAGCGCAATGTACTCCGCTTAACTCGCCGACAGCGACACACTTGACTGCTCCTTGCTTCCCCAACTCACAGGAGCACCCACCAGTATGAAAGCCCGAAGTCGATCAGTATGAAAGTGTAACCCGAAGTTGACTTGCAATCAGCATGGTCGCCGGCCCAGACAGATCTGAGTATCCACAAAATCAATCTTGTCGCTTGGCTGGAAGCGGAGTCCGCGCGACTTGGTCCCTTGAAAATAATGAATGAACCGCCGTCCAACAGTCTTGCTGCAGATTATCCATGAAGTGTGAGAATTACCCCACAGCATACGCAATGTCCGGGCGCGTCGCAGTCGTTAAGTGCATTGGAGATCCAACAGCTTCGCGAAACGGAACGTTGATCTTGGCCGATTCGCTGCTTGCGACAAGCCAAGTGCTCAAACCGACCGGACTTGCTGTGGCCTTGCACTCATATATGCCGAAACGCTTGAGGACGTCGTTGGCATACCGTCGCTGGCACATCGTCACGCTGCCATCCAAGCCGTCTACCAGTTCGAGCCAAGTACAAAAGTACACTTGCCACTGTTGGTCATCTCGAAGCGTGTCTTGAGATCAGCCTTCGTTACGCAATCAACTCGAGCGATCTGACGGTCACCAACACGCCATCCACGTAAACCAGCACGGGAACACACTGACTACCGACCACCTTGATGTATAGACATGGGTCGAACGCCGGCACCTCGAAACCGATGGAGCACACGAACACGTCGAAATTCTCGTTCCATACCCACGAAGCTTGCTTGAGACCGTAGATCGCCTTCACCAACTCCAAACGATCAAAGTCGTCATCTTGATCGTAGGCGCCTACATCTTCTTCGTCATCAGACATCATTTCGGGAGCACTTGATCGTCGTTTCTGGTGACGGTTGGAGACGTGTTCCGGCACACTTGCTTGTTCCAACCCAGTTCGATGGTGAGATGATCGTGACATGCCGGTGCTTGCTTTACTCTTGCGCTTGCCAGTCTGCTTGTAGGTGATCTGACGCACGTCGTCATTGTTGATCGCCAGGAGGTTGAGGTCCAACTCCGCATCTTTATCGTCGTCACTTGATCGGCTCATCGAAAAGTCAAAAGTCGATTTGTCGGAGGTGAATTCACGACTGATCACCGCTTGGCCTGCCTCAATGTCGTACACTCGGTACGCCTTTGACGCTTCTTCGTAGCCCATGAACATCCGTACACGAGCCTTTGAGTCACACTTCATTCGCTTCACCTTTAGTGTCAGGATGTACGCTTGACATCCAAACACGCGCATGTGCTTGACGCTTGGTTTCGACTTGTACACGATCTCGAACGGAGTCTTGTGGTCGATCCTGGGTGACGGCAGGCGGTTCTTGATGTAGATCGCCTTCATTGCCGCTTCAGCCCAGAAACACTTCTCCAGATTTGCGTGATGCAGCAAGCTGCGTCCAATCGTGACGATGGTCCGTATCGCGCGTTCTGCAGTGCCGTTGGTCTGGTGTGCATACGGCACCGTGACCTGCTGCTCTATACCTTGATCTTCGTAGAAGGTCTTGATCGAGTTGGTCGCGAACTCGTGCGCTCCATCATGCCGAACGAACTTGATCTTCTTGCCGAACTGCGTCTGAATCTGGAGAATATAGTTCTTGGTGCAGTCTTCACTATCAGACTTGGACCGCAGACAGAAGACCTTCATGCACCCGCTGGCATCGTCGACCACAAGCAGCTAGTATCTGCTGCTGCTGATCGAGGCTTGTTATATTGGCCCGCAGATGTCGAATTGTAGCAATTCAAACACACCATAGTGACACTTGTCACGTTTGGTTGGGAATGGTTTTTGGAACATCTTCCCGTGCTGGCAACCGCGACACACACTTGGCTCAGTTGATGAGAGAGGTGCATTGGCTTCCTTGATCATGCCGGTGGCCATCATCTTGCGCAGAGCATCGAGGGATGCATGACCCATGCGCGTGCGCAAGTCGATGGCCCCATTGTGTGTCGCTGCATTAGTCGATCGTTGAGGAGTCCGCAGCCAGTAAAGTCCATCGACGAGATCCGCTGTTGCCACGACTTGTGTGGAATTCTTGCGCTTCACTTGCATCTTGGACCCATCGAACACGACTTGGAACCTGCCACCCTTGTTGATCTGTGGCACCGAAAGCAGATCCTTGCTCATACTTGGCACGAACAGTGCTTCCTTGATCTCGATGTCGCGTCCGTCACTCCTGGGCAGAACCTCCCGTTCCATGATGGTTCCCACACCCTTGATCGCAGCCTTTGCTGCCATCAGCCACCGATAGTTTGCCTTCTTCTCGCTCATTCAGGCTTGTGAACTTGGCCTTGTCGTTGCAGATGTGATGCGTCGCACCGCTGTCGACCGCCCACATCCTTGGCATATTCTTGCCCGTTGAAAATCCAGCCTCCAGCGAAACCGCGAACGCAACTCGATCGTAGTTGTCGTCGTAGTTGCTGTGGAATCGCCACTGAACGTTGTTGGCTCCGCGTCCACGAGCATTGTTGCCGGCGCGTAGATCTCCTCCTATATTTTCGTCCTTGTTCTTGGTCCAGCACCGCTCCGCCGTGTGCCCCAATTTGCCGCAGTACGTACACTGGCGAGGTTCACGCTTAGCACTGAACGTCTTCTCCGCGTCTCCAGTCTCCACCGATATCGTCTCGTCACCTTGTCTCTTGATGTGCTCATTTGTGAGCACATCACGACGTCTCGCGATCGCAGCGCTGCTCAACTACAAGTTTAACACGACATTCTCGTAGCGTTTAGGGAGGCTGCGCAACAAGCAGGTCGCCACGTCCTCGTCCTCCATCTTGGCGCCGATGCTGTCTATCTTCACGCTGATGTTGAGGACTTCATGGCAATGTGATGCACCACATTGCCGCCTTCCTTCATCTCCATGCTGAACAGCTGGCGCTTCAAGTAGATTCGCCCAGCCTTCTGCGACCCACCGTACAGTGTCTTCAAACGCGCTCACACGACCCACGCTTCCTCATAATCATCGACGATGTGATGGTAGTCGGCGTCCATGTGATGCAACTGTGGTGAAGTCGATCTCACAAATTTGCTTGTATGAGTGTCGATCTTCCACTTGCCCAGACTTGCCGACTCACGGAGGGGGTCCTCCGATCCGTGCCTTGTTGTATGACCTTGTGCTCACCTTGTGTACCCGTCGGTTGGGCTGGCTTGAGCTCTTCGTAACGGCCTTGAGAGATGTCGATCTCGCTGAGAGGTTGGGTTGAGGGTTCGCTTCCGGTGCGGAAATCTTCACACCACGAACGGGGGTTCTGCGATCCCGATCTTGGATTGCACCGATCTTGATTTGTCTTCGAGATCGGGGTCTTTGCTGTGCGGAAATCTTCACTCAGCAAATAAAAGTCCTGCGTCGATCTTGCCTTGGGATCGGTCCGATCTGGTCTTGGGATCGGCCGATCTTGCCGGAAGTGCGCAATTTGGGTAGATCGGTGTCTTGTTTCGCCAAAATGAAACGTGCCGATCTGTCCAGGGGATCGCTTCGATCCTGCTCGGTCTTGTCTTGAACGCCTTGTCCAGATCTTCTGACCACTTGAGCCGTCTCGCGATCCTGTGTCCAAAATCCTTTTCCTTTTCCGTTGTGTGCTGCTACCCTAGCAGTTGAGTTGAGTGTGAGTACTTGATCGATCCGGGCCAGATATCCCGGGATCGCTCTTCTCGATCTTGGCCAACAATCCAAGATCGGTCTTCTGTGTCCCTGTAACACGCGTGCCTTAACCCGCCGGGGAAGCCAAATCAATCTTGCCTGGAGAAGAGGGGAGGATAACGTGCGTCGTGAGCAGAAGAAGTAGAGTTCAAGTCAGTTTATTAACCAACCAAATTACTATCCAACCTACCCTTAAGCCTATTCTTAACTATAGGTCACTCTTCAAACCGATATCGCCTTGAATCTGGATCGCCCCCTTGCCACGTGTCGAAATTTTGTGCCCTGTACTCCAATGATAGCGCCAATATCCCCGATATCGTACCTAGAGCACCAAATGGACCAAAATCTCCTATATGGTACCAAATACCCATTCTTGGCACCCAAGTACCCAATATATGACCCAAAATGCCGAATGTGTCCAAATTCACTTTGCGACGTCAATTTTTTTCGGACAGCTTCCACTGGCTCTTTCGGCATGAAACTTCTTGACATCACTTAGTGACCTCTATCAAGTATATTCCACATGATCCAGTATCTTCATCAACCATATATTCATGATCAGTGTGGAACATGACCGATCTGTCATCCAATATCGAGATGTTGGAGGTCGATCCGGTCTAAATCGGCAATTAACACTTTTTCATCTCCTCATACGTGCTTCAATATCATCCTCCAGTGTTATCCAATCGACAACTTCATTCATACGTCTCGACATCGGTTTCCTTGACCCCCCTGAGTATGCAAAACTTCCAGATCGGTGTAAAATTAACCAAAATCAGTACTCCCAATTTAGGATCGGTAAAGAGTATCACCGATCCGTATGGTGTTGCACCTTCTTTGCCGATTCACCGACCCGTACCACCTGGTCCCAGATGCACTTTGGGGAGTCACCTTGTCCCAGATGCGTCAATTCTCCAACAAACCGTTGCCACAACATGTCGATCTGCGATCTGATCTTAGCCTGCTTCAATGTACGTATACTTCTTCTTGACCGGCATTCCAATGAGCTGTATGACTTCATCCCGATGTCTGGTTCCAGATCGCCCCGTAACATTCTGCAAGATGTTACACCTTCGTCGCAGAGTCATATCCCATCACCCGGTCCCAGATCCTTGTCCCAGATTGTTCCATGTAAATCGTTCCAGATCGCTCCGTCCCAGGTCGATCCATACCCATTAGTCTAACGACAGTTGGATCGGTTCGCCGATCCCGTTAAGATCATCTTCCACCTCCGTATTGGATCGCCGAGTCTCATGGCCTCCTTTTCCACCAGTAAGCGGCGCTTTAAAGGTGTGGCCACCGATCCTCGTACAAAATTCGAGTAGTGACTTTGCCACAACCGCCCCCTGTACTGAAGTCTTTTGTACAGCAATTGACCTCAGTACAGTCACTCATCAACTTCGTTCCAAGCACTCAAGTCCGTCTCATGGCCTCTCCGACGCATCCACCCACCTCGCCGATCTCTTCAGAAGTAACCACCATGTTTCTGTCTCCAGATCGCGACCTGTCGCCCGGATCGCCCGATCTCGGAGGACACACCCCAGCGGTCCCCGATCGGCCTGGGTCTCCGCGCCATCTAGGCCCAACCGGATCGCCCACAATCCCCACGGGATCGCCAGATCGACATCTGACCAGACCCTCGTCTCCATCCCGAGACTCGCCATCTAGATCGCCGGATCGCGGGTGGTATGCTCCTATCGTCCCAGATCAACATGAGTCTCTCAGTAATCCCAGATCGGTCGGATCGCTCTCGACCGACGCGGAATTATCAGATCGTTCATCCGAGCCATTCCCGCTTCCCACTCCTCCGGC